AACGCGTGGATGTTCCTTAAATCATAGAACAAATTTTATTTGTCTTAGACTCTCAAAATAATGTCACTAATAAATACAAATTATATAATAAATAATATGATCAAAATTCAATAAAGATATCAAAAAGTGGACTTAGAAATTAAAATATTTTAAATAGAATATATTCTTTTTACGGAAGCAAGTTTAGGAATTAGGATCCTCAACCTCAAATAATTGAACACACAATCATTTAGAGTAATAATTGAACACATACTGCGTGCAAATTAGCCATTCCACGTGATTATATGACTAATTTAAATACATAGAATCTTGAGATCTTATTATATAGTGTACGGGTAATGAATATTTAGTTTTATTTTTATAAATAATTAACTGATAAATTGTTTTAATAAAAGCAAGAGTCAAAAATTGATTTCCACCTTCACGAAGAAAAGGAAATTAGCGTATAATGTTATTCCGATGTAATTGACTGATTATATATTCCTTCTTTGTTTTCTAAGGTATGATATAATAAAGTTGTGATGTAACCGGGATTTTTCTTTTCTTTCTTTCTACGCAACTTTGTTTCATAACCATGTAATGGAAACACTGACAAAGTTTACTATGATGTTGACACGCATGGAAGCTGGAAGCTCAACATCAACTACAAAGATAATGGATTGAATTCAATATTCAAACAATATTAGAGCCTCGACCAACCACTCAAACAAAAATGATAATCTCTAGGTATACTATATAACAAAATTTTAATCCTTCAATAAAAAAATAATGGAAAATTAAGTTACCATCCTGTTCTTAATCATTATAATACTTAAGATCCTATTCATAAGTTTGTCTTTCTTCTCATTTTAGAATGGTTAAAATTTGAGATAAAGTGTTTTTTCTTTCTTTAATAATATTCGATTGAGATGGAACCTAAATTAATCCTGTGATGGTAGAAAAAAAATGTTGGAATAATACCCATGATTTAAAGATCGATTAAAATAAATCAAAAGTTGTGAGCACTCACTTGCAAGTAAGACTCAAGATGTCTTTATTCACTTTTCTCTTTTAAAATTATTTTAATATTCATGTCCATTCATGTACTTAAAGAGAAGTGTTTTTGTACATTTATTTTATACAAGTATATTTTTTTCTTAAGATACGCGCCATATTAAATAAATAAATATCTTGTTTATCGTTCAAAAATAATATTTTTTAAAATATTATTTTATAATATATTTATCATATACATGTATGTAAAAGAAAAAGAAAAGTAACATGTAAAAAATCATATTTATATATTCTATTAATCTTTATAATTTAAACAATAAAATATTTTTAAATCTTGAAATGAACCCGGCAGAAAATGAAAGTAGATTTGACGATTTGAAACCGTGTTTAAAATTACATATAAATATCAATTTTATATGAAACAAATTAGTTTTGCTGTATTTTGATATTTTTCAACAGATTATTTACAAATTTGTAAAACAATTATTAAATAAAAAGATATTAAATTTTTTTATTTATTTAATAGTTAGAACTATTTATAAACATAAAAAAATAGAACTATTTAAAGGGTCTTATTTGCATACGAGAGTACTAGATCACAGAAAATCAAGCTAAATATATTAAAAAAATACAACATAAAAAAACATTGATAATAATTTTTAATTTTTGAACTAAAACTTTTATAGCATTAGTTAATATCTGTCTTATTTAAAATAATTTTACAAAAGACAAAATAGAAAGAAAAAGTCAGATATGTTCTCAATTGGCACAAGAGCGTGAATGCACGCACGATAGAAGTGACAGTGGTGATGATTATCGATACATGTTCATTGATGCGTCGTTTTCGTAATATATTAACAATAATTTTAATCACTAAAAAACTTTTAAATTTTTTATGACCAAATGGAGTCAATCTTTTTGTTCGGTCACCACATCACACCACCGATCCGATATTTATCAACCTCTTTTATACCTTGATAAATCACGACATATTGACCCGCGAGAAATTCCTTTTTCTCGAGAAAGTGAGGTTCATAATTTGCTGTCATCTCCATTCTCTCTCTGTCTCTCTTTTTTTTTTTTTTAATATTTATAATAATTTTTAAATATATATTAAAGAGGCTTTTGTATATGGAAAAAGTTTAAAATACTCATCGATAAACATGAAACTATTATCCAGTTAAATATAAAAACGAGTATAAGTAATTTTTAGTCATCCTTGTCATTCATCGTTATCCATAGTTATTAGTAAACAAACAAAATATTTATTATTTTAAGATAATAATATTTTTTAAAAGTTATTAACTTGTAATAAATTTTAAAAAAGTCATTTATAAATATAATATTTATAATACTCTTATATCTTACAAATAATAATAAATTTTAACAAAAATATTAATTTTAATTATTTAAATTTTCTATAAACTGAAAAATAATATATTTCGTGTGTAAGATGCACGTGGTGTGTTGGAGCTATGATTTCATATTTTTGGTCAGAAATGGGATTGAGCTGAAGTTGATATTGAACTCAAATGTGATCGAGTTAAGCCGTCCACACCCTGAATTGGTTTCGCTCGACAGCTTCAGGTTATCACGCTGACGATAGTATTTAAATTTAGATTATCTATCTCTTCAATTATTATATTTTATTTTTAATTAAAAGATTAGTTTTATTTTAATTATAAGTTAAAATTATACAATTTTTTATTTTTAAGAATTAAAAAATAAATAAAACTTTTATAAAAACTAGAATAAATAATTATAACAAATTTAAGGTGAGGAATAAATAATTTTCCAAGTACCACGCACAATCCCTCAAATAAATAAATGTTTATTTAATATTATTTGTATGAAATATTCAGGAATTGTAACTCAACTTAATACATCAATGATATTAAATATCATATTTGAAAGAATTTTCATTGTATTTTTTAATACATATGAAAAATTATAACTAACGTTAAATTAAAAGTTGAAAATTGAGTCTCACGCGCTGGGAAGTAAACAGGAAGAAGAGGCAGCTACTGAGATACACAGCTGTTGCGGTTTTCTTTTATACTTATATAAAGGGTGCTTAATAATAAAAGTTAATAAATAAAAAAATGGTATTAGAAATTAAAAAAAGATATTTGGTAATTAATTTGTGAAAAGGTAGCGGAAGAGAGGTTAAGGAGAGAGAGAAGTGGGACCCAGGGGAGGCAAGTTGCACTACCGGCTTTGTACGATGTCATTGTCGTTCATCAATAGGTCGTGGCCGTGGGTGGGTGGGGAGGTGAGTGGTGACCGTTACCCTTTGTGGAGTCTGCCCATTTCATTCTTATGCTTTTTTGCCCCTTTTGGATTACTTAAACTCTCTTAACCACTCTTTTTACTCCTTGAAATTAAACAAGTGCTTATTTTGAAAATGGTACATTGTAATATAGCTTATATTTATTATATAATAAAATATTTAAGAAATATGCTGTGGTAAGGGCATTGAATGGAAAGAAGGATGGATGATTTGACATTATTATAGAATGAAGAAAAGGAAACAAGTCACAATGTTGGTAGGGGGGAAGAAAACAAGAAAGTATGTGTGGGGGACGCATTTTCCAAATTGTTAAGCACCAATGAGGTTCCTCCTGCCATTATTATTTTTAAACACTCTCTTGATAGGGACGATTTTAAGAGGGCCATCCTTTAGATTTTTGTATCTCCCAATGTGAACATATCACTTTTAGTGCCTATACTCTCTCTCCCCCATGTTTAAATACATTCTTCTAATCCCTCTTATCAAAATTATTTTTATAATTGTTCTTAAATGAGCTCTTGTGCCATACACAAATTAAAAAGACTAAAATAACAATATGTTAGTCAGGATAATAAAATCCCCGGTACTCGACATGTAATAGCGATGGGTTAAAACTTTTATTAATAAATATTTATGATTTTTTTCTTCTCCATTTACTAAATACTTAACAAAAATGTTAACTATATTACCATTTAAAACATTTTTAATGAAAACGACGGTTTAAAAGTATGGATTATTATTTATTTCTTTAACCTGTCAAATACAAAATTTTAAAAAAATCAATTTAAAATATGCAATTTTTACAAAATTTAAAAGCTTATTTATACTTGCTTACTATATTTGAAAATTTGTAAATACAATATATGATATTTACGTTATTAGTTGATTAAATTATGGTATTTTTAATTTTCATAATATTGTATAATTAAAGTGAGATAATATGTTGTTATTTTTGTATTAATTACTAAATTTAAGGGACGAGGTTAATATTTTCTAAAAAAAGTATATTTCTCTTCAATTTATCGTTGCTACGTGGAAAAGAACAGGCAGACGTACACACCTGACAGGGACAATAACCTACACACCTCTCTGACCACACATTTAATTCACTTCACTTACTTTATTAACTTCCATCTCGCGACATATCTCGCGCGTTTGGAACAAACCTAAACATCTCGTATCGCAATCATATCCATGTCACGGGATAAAACGAGGTACCACTTCATCTCGTGTTGGCAGGTTCCGTAATATTTAGCAATTTATAGGGTCAAGCTTCATGGCTTCCTGAAACTTTGTCGTTACCGGGGGGATCGCAACCGAGTAAAAGTCGCTTTCTCAGCATCTATCCGCTCCTTTCCCCTATTCTTCAATCTCCTATAGCCACCGTTAGATTCTCCACATCATCATCTACATAAGCGGAACCTGAACATCTGACGGTGGAGATAATAGACTCTCTGCGATTGCACACCACAGGAATATTGCTCACGGTCTGGAGCTGAAGGACAGCTGTTAGCTCGAGATTCCGAGCCGATTGTTTATAAAAAACCGAAGCCGGCTTAGTGGGCCCCGCAATTAACTGCACTTGTATGATAAGTGCTCTCACTTCAACAATAATCTATCATTCACGAGATAAGTCGTATTGATAAGTAGAACTGCTTATCATCTCCTCTATCTGTCGCCTCGTATATAAAATACGCCTATTTCTGCAAGTTCAAATGACCCCTTTCTCTCTCTATATATATTTTGAAGTTTCTAGAGAGAAAGCGAGTAGATTAGTCCATTTCTGTGAGGAGAGAGAAAGTGGGAGAATCGGAAGATAGAGAGAGAAAGCTTTGGCCTTTTTGGGTGACTCTCTTGTGGGGTGGTTTCATATTCGCATCCTTTGTTTTGTTGTTCCTTCTTTCCCATGTGTGATGTGTTAGCTTTCAAGGTGAGAACTTCTCTCTCTTTCAAGTTTCCGAATCTGTTGCTTTAAAGTCTGTAACTTTTTCTGTTTATTTTTAACTTTTTTTAATTTTAATTTTATTTTTTTTTGGGGTTGACACTTTTGGTTCATGCATCTTAGATTAAAGCTGCTTTCTTGATCGTCTGGGATATATAGATAGAGTCAAATCGTTCTAGTTTTTTCTTCGTTTTTGTTTGGCCACAGAAACCGCATCGATTTTTTTTTTTGAATGTAATTTTGGAAATATGGAAGGTTTTCTTCCATAAATGCTTCTGGTTAGATGATTTCACTGACGGTGTGGATTTCAATTATTAGTATTTTTTATTTTTATTTTTGTGATTTATTTTGCTGACCCTTGTGCAATTTTAATTTTTTTTTGCAGATCTAGTTCACTGTTGCTCATTTTATTGCGTATCTAATCGAAGAGGGAGGGGTTAAGATGTCGTCTCTTAGTAGGGAATTGGTGTTCTTGATCTTGCAGTTTCTGGATGAGGAAAAGTTCAAAGAGACTGTTCACAAGTGGGGCTAGTTTGTTATTTTGTTAGCTTATTTTTGGTATATTTATTGCATTTGTTTTTACCCCATTCATTAATTAACTAATTACTTTTTTTTGTTGTTTTTTTAAAAATTAACAGGCTTGAGCAGGAATCAGGGTTTTTCTTTAATATGAAGTACTTTGAGGATGAAGTGCACAATGGCAATTGGGATGAGGTTGAAAAATACCTCTCTGGTTTCACAAAGGTAGATGATAATAGGTATTCTATGAAGATATTTTTTGAGATAAGGAAGCAGAAGTATCTGGAGGCATTAGATAAGTAAGCTCACAAAAAGTTCATGTTTATGTTTTGTTGTTGACTCTTAGCCATTCTAGTTCTAGGCATCTCGCATACAGCTTCTGTTGAACTGTGTTAAATTTTGATAGGCATGACCGGTCGAAGGCTGTAGAAATATTAGTGAAGGATTTGAAAGTGTTTGCTACATTTAACGAAGAATTGTTCAAGGAAATCACACAGCTTTTGACATTGGAAAACTTTAGGTGCCCATCTAAACTTTTACTCCCGTTTTCGTTGTTGAACTTCTGTAAAATGTAGCTAATGAGATTCTGTTATTGTAGGGAAAATGAACAATTGTCTAAGTATGGCGATACTAAGTCTGCACGAGCAATTATGTTGGTGGAGCTCAAAAAGCTCATTGAAGCAAATCCCCTGTTTCGAGACAAATTGCAATTTCCCAACCTTAAAAACTCAAGGTTACGGACCCTAATCAATCAAAGGTAGTTTCTTTTCCAATTTCTAAGCATACTGATTTCTCAATATTGAACAAAAATTGGTGCTGAACGTGAAAATAGTTTTCTGGTACCTAATGCAATCATTTAGTATCTTTATTTACAATTGATGGAGATCATCTGTCATATTAAAGATTCCTGTGTTTATAACAGTTTATACTTGCATAATGTTATTGTTATCCTATCATTTTGTAATTTCGATTTTTACATTCACAATTTTCTTAATCATTAATAGGGTAGGATAATAGAAGATTAATATCATTAATCTGCATATGCATCTAGTTCAATATGCTGCAATATATGACTGTGCGTTGTCTGTTTTTGTGCATCTTTGCTGTTAAGTTATAGATCATTATGTAGCTATGGTGCTAGGTTTTGCATTGAAGATACTCTTCTGACAATTGATAAGAATTATCTTCTATTAACAAAGAACTTTTTTTCTTTTTTTTCTTTTTTAAAATAAATTACAGCTTAAATTGGCAGCATCAACTTTGCAAGAATCCTAGGTCAAATCCTGATATAAAAACTCTTTTTGTTGATCACTCATGTGGACAACCGAATGGAGCTCGAGCTCCTTCACCTGCTAATAATCCACTACTAGGATCCTTACCAAAGGCAGGGGGATTTCCTCCTCTTGGTGCACATGGGGTGGGTTACTGAACTGATTTGCTATCTTCTTTAGTATTTTGCGTCTGTTATGTTTCGATTCTTATTTTTGGTGCTGGACTTTGCTGTGCTTCTTGTTTACAGCCTTTTCAACCTACTCCAGCACCAGTGCAGACCTCCCTGGCTGGTTGGATGTCAAATCCTACCACTGTTGCACATGCTGCAGTTTCTGGAGGTGGAGCTATAGGTCTCGGTGCTCCATCAATCCCTGGTAATACACTCTTTCACTTTCTTTTAGTCACCAACTCTGTGTAGTTGTAACCTCTTACTTAGATCTTATAGGCGATGTCCAATTTTATCATTGATTTTTAACATGTTTACATTGCCTTGTAAGCTGCTTTGAAGCATCCGAGGACCCCCCCTACTAATCCTTCTGTTGACTACCCATCTGGAGACTCAGATCATGTTGCTAAGAGAACAAGGCCAATGGGAATTTCAGATGAGGTATTTGGACTTCACTTATGGACATATCATTAGCAATTCATAGGTAGGCATATGTAAGCTTTGACCTCATGTTTTCTGGTATTCATCACTTTATGCAGGTGAATCTACCTGTCAATGTGTTGTCAGCAACATTCCCAGGTCATGGTCAACATGGTCAAGCTTTTAATACACCCGATGACATACCTAAGGCTGTTGTGCGAACTCTTAATCAGGGTTCATCTCCTATGAGCATGGATTTTCATCCAGTCCAACAATCTTTACTACTTGGTCTGCTCCTCCTCCATGGTCTTTTAAAAGTGTTGATTTTCTTTTAAGTTGGAAGTATTTGCTATCAAGTTGCCATTTGACTTAGTTTCATCTGATGCAATATTTCAGTTGGTACGAATGTGGGGGAAATTGCCTTGTGGGAGGTGGGTTCTAGGGACCGGTTGGTCTCAAGAAACTTCAAAGTTTGGGATCTTAGTGCATGTTCAATGCCTTTTCAGGTTGTCTCTTTACCTTTACATATATGGATGTTCTTGATAAAATTTTGTGCAGAACCGCAATACTTGTAATTTTGCAATGACTAAAGAGAAAACTAATTAATATCTATTCAGGCTGCTCTTGTCAAAGATCCTGGTGTTTCTGTCAACCGTGTGATTTGGAGTCCTGATGGTGCTTTATTTGGTAAGTTGAGAATTGTTTAATTTTTCAATGTTTGGGTTTGGAATGATGATAATGATAAAATATACACCTTGAGATGTCAACAGAACCGATTAGTAATATCTTGAGTTTGTTTGATGAACAGGGGTTGCTTACTCAAGGCACATTGTTCAGATATACTCTTACCACGGTGGGGATGATATACGACAGCACCTGGAGGTACACACACAAACATATATTCGCATATATACATGTGTATTTTTGTACTTGTTTACTTATGAACCTTTTTTCTAGATTGATGCTCATGTTGGTGGAGTGAATGATCTAGCATTTTCCCACCCAAATAAGCTACTAAGTGTGATAACTTGTGGTGACGATAAGACCATTAAGGTAAGTTTGTCAAAACATGAGTTTGGACTGCTGAAGTGGAGGAGGTGAATATGTTGTTAATTAAATTATGTAATTTAAGGTATGGGATGCTGCTTCGGGTGCAAAGCAGTATACTTTTGAAGGTCATGAAGCTCCTGTTTATTCTGTCTGCCCACATTATAAAGAAAACATTCAGGTACGGATTGACTTCCTTATCGTTGGGGATTGTTTGTTGAGCTTGTTGGCATGATTCCTTCATCTAAGTTAATATAGTACCCCAAGGAGAAGTTCTTTTTCTATTTTCATGGTTGGATTTCTTGCTGATGCACATTGTGTTATGTTGTAGTTCATCTTTTCAACAGCATTAGATGGAAAAATAAAAGCATGGTTGTATGACAATTTGGGATCTCGTGTTGATTATGATGCTCCTGGTCGTTGGTGCACAACCATGGCTTATAGTGCTGATGGTACAAGGTATATATTCTCAACCATGGCTGTGTATCTTGTTGAATCTTGCAGTGTAGCTGAATTATACTTTCTTTTTCATTACTTAATGTTCAAATGTTTTTGGCTATGGCTGTATACTACAGGCTCTTTTCATGTGGGACAAGCAAAGATGGGGAATCCTCTATTGTTGAGTGGAATGAAAGTGAAGGAGCTGTTAAAAGGAGTTATCAAGGATTTCGTAAACGATCTTTGGGTGTTGTGCAATTTGATACTACCAAAAATCGATATTTGGCTGCTGGTGATGATTTCTCCATCAAATTTTGGGATATGGATAGTGTTCAGCTTTTGACAACTGTTGATGCTGATGGAGGTCTCCCTGTAAGTTCATTATTTTACTGTAAATTGGAGAGCTAGCCTCTAGAAGTAGTAGTTGCTTGCTAATTGTTGCCTGATCTAAACTCTAGGCAAGCCCACGTATTCGTTTCAACAAGGATGGAACTCTTTTAGCTGTCTCTGCAAATGAAAATGGAATTAAAATTTTAGCCAATGGAGATGGTATGCGATTGTTGCGTACACTAGAGAATTCTTTATATGATGCATCAAGAGCATCAGAAGCCTTGGCAAAGGTAAACTTATAGATGTTATACTTTCTTCACCTTTTATTGGTAAAATCTAATCTAACACAATGTTTCTAGCAGCCTACAATTAATCCAATTTCTGCTTCTGCCGCCGCCGCAACCAGTGCTGCACTTGCTGAGAGGGCCTCGTCTGTAGTAGCTATTGCAGGAATGGTTCGTGATCTCGTCCTTGTATTAGTGGAACTTGTCATTTATTTGCATGTTACTTCTACCTTTCTTTTTCAATGTTTATTGCTTACTGTGGAACTCTTGTTTAAGAAATGTATTTTCTTCTTCCTCTACCTCTACTGAGAAATAAGAATGATTGTACTTATTGTGATTATTACTGTTTATAAATTTAACTATATGTCAATTTCATCTTGATAGAATGGGGATACCCGAAACTTGGGTGATGTTAAACCTAGAATAAGTGAAGAATCCAATGATAAGTCCAAGATATGGAAGCTCACTGAAATCAGTGAACCATCTCAATGTAGATCCTTGAAGCTACCGGAGAATGTAAGAGTGACCAAGGTATGATATTTTCTTCAAAATTATCATATACCCTCCTATAGAAGTTCTATTAACAAACTCTTATAGCAACTTTATAGAAGTTTTGGTGATTAAATGTAATTATATATCAAACCCATGTAGTCAACTACAATTACCAAGGAAAAGGGTCCGCTTGAGTGAGTGTATCCACCCTTCATTTAATCTAAAAAGCAACACGATCTTAATCACTATATGATTGGATACACCCTTCCTTGCTTACTTTAAAGGAGCCTTTTCCAATTATCTGGTAACACTAGTATCTTACAGACTTACTTAATGCAACTAAGGAGAATTGGGGATTTCTTGCTTCCATTTGCTTTACTTTTGCAGGGAAAGTAGTCCTGTTCTATGTAAAATTTCTTATTAGCCAAACTCGTGATTCCGGTTTGCATTACCATTTAGATAGAACGTGTTTTATGTCTTAATGCATAAATGAGGGTGCTAAAGTAGTCGAGTATGAAATTACCGTACTAATTTTTCATGTAATTTAATGAATCCTTTATCATTTTGTACAAAATTATTTCAATACCTGAATGTGGTAAAAAAATTATAAAATAAGTTATAAAAATGATCGAACAATTGTGACCTTTCTTGCAAGGTTTCTCTGCTTTGACTCCTCTCCCTTAATGAAAATGTTCTGATCTTTCTTGACAGATATCAAGGTTGATATATACAAATTCTGGTGGTGCTATTCTGGCATTAGCTTCAAATGCCATTCACCTGCTCTGGAAATGGCAGCGTAGTGAGCGAAACACATCTGGAAAGGTGTGAGAGCTTGTGTAGTTACTTCACCACCACTATTTTTTATTTAGAAATTGGTAATGGTAATTATGCGCTCTTTGATGTTGATATTTCATCCTGTAGGCCACTGCCACTGTGCAACCTCAGTTGTGGCAACCAACAAGTGGCATCCTGATGTCTAATGACATTGCTGATAGCAATCCTGAGGATGCTGTGCCCTGCTTTGCTTTGTCCAAAAATGACTCGTATGTAATGTCTGCATCAGGAGGGAAGATATCTCTGTTCAATATGATGACTTTTAAGGTAACCTATGAGCCTATTCATTATTCAAGACAATATGGTTTGGAATTATGCTAACTAACTGATTGCAATCTTCTTGGGTAAGTGCAGACAATGACAACTTTCATGCCTCCACCACCTGCGGCAACCTTTCTTGCTTTCCATCCTCAGGATAACAATATTATTGCTATAGGCATGGACGATTCCTCTATTCAAATATATAATGTCCGGGTTGATGAGGTAACAAATCTCTGTACACAGTTTATGCTTGTGTTTTGAGATTTTTGGTGTTAATGCAAAGTTCTTTTGCAGGTTAAAAGTAAACTCAAAGGCCATACTAAAAGAATAACTGGTCTTGCTTTCTCTCATGCATTGAATGTATTAGTTTCATCTGGAGCAGATGCTCAGGTAAGGTGTCTAGTGTAGATCTATCTTCAGAATCTGGCTTTTCTATGATTTAGTTTCACTGAAAGAACTTCCTAGTTTTGAATCCTTAATTGGGTTTTATCAACTATAGGTCCCCTTTTGTTAGTTATACCGAAGGCAATACAATTTTCGTAGTTATGATATGGAGAGCTACTTCCTGTTTGTTATGTAGATTTGTGTCTGGAACACTGATGGATGGGAAAAGCAGAGGTCTAGATTCTTGCAGCTTCCTCCTGGGAGGACACCATCAGCGCAATCAGATACCCGTGTGCAGTTTCATCAGGATCAGTTACAATTCTTGGTTGTGCATGAAACTCAGCTTATCATTTATGAAGCAACAAAACTAGAAGGTCTAAAGCAGGTTAGTTCCTGGAGTTTAATTCAGCATGCTGTGTAAATAAACAATTTCATTTTTTTTTTCTGATATCAATAGCTTCAACTGTAGTGGCTCCCACGAGATTCTGCTGCACCAATATCACATGCAACTTTCTCATGTGATAGCCAGCTGATATATGCCAGCTTTTTAGATGCAACAATCTGTGTATTTAGTGCTTCAAACCTCAGATTACGCTGTCGTATTAATCCTTCTGCTTATCTTCCTGCAAGTGTCAGGTAATCCTTTTGTTTAGAGTTGTGTCAGATGGCACAATACTGGTTCCATGTTATGAATATTTTATTTTATATTTTAACGTGCTACACAACTATTTTCATTTGAGCTTTCTTTTAATGGTTACAGTAAGTATTTATGCAAAAACTGCTGCCAGTATTTGAGGAAGAGACTATAAATTCACAGAAAAATATCTAACAAGCTTTAATCTCTATACTGTATTGGTCTATAATTAATTACTTTTTGAAGCTATCATGCATTATTATAAATTTATAATTTTCTTGTTTTATGTTTTAATCTTTATAACGTGTTTTTTTGTTGAATACTAACATTGTCTTAATGTGGCAGTTCCAACGTGCAACCACTTGTAATCGCGGCACATCCACAAGAACCAAATCAGTTTGCTGTGGGACTGTCAGACGGTGGAGTTCATGTCTTTGAACCCCTTGAGTCTGAAAGCAAGTGGGGGGTGCCTCCTCCTATTGAGAATGGGTCAGCAAGCAATGTGGCAGCTCCTTCAGTTGGACCTTCTTCAGATCAAGCTCAAAGATGATCCATGTCAAGCCTAAGACAAGTTTCTTTTATATACTTGGCTTGATGGGCATTTTAAGAACTAAATCTGTACTTAAGTTAATGCAGGGCACTCTCCAAATCAGTTGATCCATCGTGTTGTACTTAAGTTAATCAAGACAATCACATCATGCCAGACCTCTGGAGCAACTCATTTGGCTGAAGGCCAAAACCTCATTGTAATTTGCCAATAGATGTGAAAAATTCTTTTTAAGTTTAATGCTACAGATGTAGTTCTTTTGAGTACTTAAAAGCTTCTGGCTATTTAATTAGATTGGTTGATCCTAACTTGTGGCCTTTTGTTAGTTCCACATTCCAAATCTTGCATGTAACTTACTATGCTAATATTGTCTTCATCTTACTACTCATCGCTCCCATATTATCTAATATAAATACAGTTTTTAAATGTGCAGCTTGTAACTAGTAGATTTAAATCATATTGGATCAGGATTAAGCGAGTAATCTGCTTTAGTTTTTTTCGTTCTAGATTGCTGGAGTTGTTTCAAATGCTATTGCACGAATACAAATTCAAGAGAATACCTCCTGTGGTTTCTTTACAAGCCATGCTACTCATCCATGAAGGAGATTAAGGAGGCCTATCAAAGTTGAATAAGAATAATTTGTGGTTAGCTTTTAGGAAGACTTGAATTATTCTCATGAGAGTGAATTGTATTTACCTCCTTTGCAAGAACGACTTCAAGAAAAACTTAGGAAATAAGGGACCATTTGTAAAGATTTTTTTTTAAAATGTTAGTAATATATTATTTTTTTAGTGAAACTCTCATGAAATCGACCAATAACAAAATGTGTAAACAAAAGAATGTGTTATTAGTTCAAAGTTCTTTTTATAAAATATTAAAATATTTTTTATTTCTTTATTATTTAAGGAGTTTTCACTCACTTTTTAATTAAATTGCTATTTTTTAAATAAAAAATAGCCACTTAATCTTATTGCATAAAAGAAAAATTGATATTTATTTTACCTCTGTTTCGTGTTTCTTTTCTTTTCTCCATCTACCAAAAAAGAAAGTAGAAGATACCTAAGGACGAAAGACAAAGAACAGTAATTATGTGCTATGTTGAAAAGTTCGGTAGACTTATAGATGCTTTTCCATATGATTTTAAGCATCGTTCCACTCTTCAACCGTTGGCATATAATTTTCTTGGGTCCAAACGAAATTTCAATTTGATTAAATTAATGGATGGCTTTTTCCTCCTATGCTTTTGTCCCGAGGAATCCGCCACGACTGTTGTGGTACTAGTCACTGTATTTTCGTAGACAGTTCAGTCTCTGCAGAACCAACGCTCCAATTTTTGGTTGCAATTTTGATTAAGGTCCATCAATGCTGCATTTCACTCTGGGACCTACTGACCTAAGGTAGGGTCGAATATGATGATTTATTTTCATACAAATTATACAATAGAGATCCACGTTCACAGCTACTGCTACTGTTTTTACTTGTTTGGCACCTACACTGCCAGGGTCCTCGTTCACATCAATTTCAGTTTCTCGAATAATAAAATAGGATCATTGGTAAAATTGTTCACACCCATTGATAACATTAATAAATACTGATGGACTTTAAATTCAATTATATTATGAATTGATATATCAGAATCAGAGATGCTCAAGACAGACGAAATGTCTTTGCTTAAATTTTCTTTTACACGTCAAAGGTGGTGAAATATTGAAGCATGTATGTAAATAAATATTGATTTGGATTCTCTTTCGTTGTTGAATTCTGCGAATATCTGACACAGACAAAAAAAATTATTACTTTTTAAATAAAACTAATGCTTGCTAATCATTTTTTTTAAAACTCAGTTAACTCAAAATCCATTGGAAGCCGAGTCACTAGCCGCTATACTCAACCATCAAGATAAATCCCTGCATGTGACTAAAGACAATCAAAACTCAATTACATCTTCCATTTTTATTTATCTATAAAAAACTAAAAAAGTGTTTCTATTTATCTCTTAATATAAAAGTTTGGAACAGCATTAGTCAATATCTTTGTATTAATATATTTGTTTATATAAAAATTCTAAAAATAATAAAAAAAACATTTACACTGCTTAAATAACTCAAAAGTTAAAAAAATACTAATAAAAGATAAATTTAAAAATTACTAAATAATTTTAACAAGATAATTAAAATTTTAGTATATTTAATTTCTTCTCTATAAAAAATAAATACGAATGAAGATAATATTTAGTCAGTTTGGATATATTTTGGTTCAATATCAATGAAATATAACATTCTTTTGGATACCGTGCAAATAGCTTGCTTTTAAATGTTTCAACAATATGGTATTAAAATAATTATAAAACTTAATTACACTTTTTTTTTAAATAAACGATTTAATTTTACATTTTGTCTTCGTATTTTAACTTATATGTAATTTTATCCCCCTAATTTTAATTCTTCAAATTAATTTTTTTCTAAAATTTTATTTAAATATCTTATATATCTTTTTGTTAATTTATACAGATTAATAATATCGTTTATTTCTCTTAATTAATAGATAAGATTTTGACATATGAAACTTAATTTCAACAATTAAAACTATAAAAATCAAAATCTGACATAGAATATGAAAGATATGTATAATTCAACCAAACAATAATAATAAATTATTTTAGCATCAATAATTTACTTAGAGAGTACAAAATACTGCTCGATAAAAAGTTTAATCACCAAATTTTCATCTTTAAATTTTAAAGACGTAGCAAATACGCCATAGCGTCGTTTTTGTACATAAACAAAAACAAAATAAAAGAGAGCTTCGCACCACAAGCAGAATGACACCATTATTATATAGCTTATGTACAATTTGAGGTTGCCTTTACATGCTTTTCTAACACCGTCAGTACGACTTACATATATATAATATATACATATACACATATTAGAGTGCCACGCTGACTATCCAGGCCGAAAGCTTACCAGATTCGGGAGGTACACTGATTTAAGTTTCTTGATGTCATTTGCTGTCACCTTACAGGATTCCAACGTCAGAGATCTCAAGTTCTTGAGTGTTTTCAAATACTGCAGTCCAGCATTGGTGATGCGAGAATTTGAAACATTCAAAGAAATCAACCCAGTAAGCCCTGAAATTGTGAGCATAAACATGTGAATGACGTGATCACAGATATATAGCTAAACTACAACCACGCAAGTTTCAGAACTCTACTCAATGCAATAAATGCAAACCGTTTGTTTTACATTATTGAAAATACCAATAAAATAATGGAGAAATTTGTTGCAGCTATGATTCTCAGGAATTTGTGTCTAGAGCCTCACTATCAGCTATGGTCCCGCGGTTGGAAATTGCATAATAAGTACCAAGTATTACGTAAAAGAAAACAACAAAAATTAAGATAGCCCCGCTTTTCCTGAAGTAACCATCCAGCACAACATTGGTAACCTAATTTCAGCCTATCTTCCAGCAGACCCAAAAAATTTACATCCCAACTGCAGGAATTAAATCCAATCATCACACATTTTCCAACTAGAAGCTCCTTGAATAGCCAACTAATTGATGCATTTAGGACTTTCATAATCAATCACCCTCTGAAAAGAAAAACATCTCTTCAAGTTTAATCTATAACCCAAGCCTTACGATTTCGTTAGTATATTTTCCAGCAGCTGTTTTCAACTTGATCAAGTGGAAAACAAAGCAAGCAAAATGAGACCACATATCTCTCAGAAAACAAAGGTCTGCTAAAGTACCGGAAATCAACTCCAGGGTTTTGTCAGTAAGGTTGCTGTTTTGTGATAAATTTAAGCATACTAGAGAAGACAGTTCTTTGATATTTTTCACACCAGCATCAGTCAATCCTCCACCGCATATTTCCAAGGACCTCAGGTTCTTAAATTCTGTTTCACAATAAACATAGTTAGCAAACCAATGACTTCAAATTATAACTGACATGGACTCAATCAAAGAACTAACACTAACATGCAATTAATTCTACATAATACAGCTGACCACAAGGGGAATTAAGATTGAATTTGGATCCTATTTTACAAGAGAGGTTCATCAAATTTACTGTGAATATCAGTCGGTAGGTGCATAATCATTTCACACGAGACTAACAAAAATGTTGACTGAGACAGGGAGTTAAAGATGACAACTGCATATTACAATTGTCAAATGGAGATTTAGTGATCAAATTATACTTATACCAAAATCATGAATTTTCAGTAACCTCAGCATCACAAATTAAGATACAAGCATTTTCCAATTACATTTCGGATAAAATTAGGTTCATGCAATTTAACTGTAACAGTTATAACCAGACATTCTTCTATTAGCTATATATAAAAAAGAAACAAAAACAAAAGGCCAAAAACTGTAAGAAAATCATATTGTTGGAAAAAGGTAAAGAATATATCCAAAAATAATTGCATTGTAGGTGAAATATTCCATACTTTTCAAATAGTTTGTCCCAAAATCTGAGATTTGTGCACCGAATAAATCTAGGTCAGTGAGGCCAGTCAAACCTGCACAGCAAATTAAAAAATTATGCATGCAGCAAACCATTCTTGGGATTGTAAATTTTTCATAGGAACACCTACTCGTAAGGTTTTCCAGTCCAGCATCAGTGATTTGGTAAGCATCCAAATTAAGTGACTTCAGAGATGAGAGTCCACACAATTTCCTTAAACTGCTATTACTAACCACGGTAAATGACAGATTTATTTTCTGCAGACAAGACAATCCTACAAGTAGAATAAAATTAATCAAAGAAATACTGTAGTCCATGGTAAATATCTTATGCACATAATACACTTTACATTGTATGAAGCACAATTCAAAGGATATATCTTTCCCTGACAAGTTCTATTCATTACTCAGCAATTAACCAAGTCAAGAGATTAGCATATGAGAATATCAGAAGTTTGCCAGAACATTCAATGTAAAAGGGGATATAGCTAACTTCAACAGAAAGGAATACAACCCAAAACACAGAACTATAGAGAGAGGGAAGTGGTTATAAATGCCCAAATCAGATAACCAAACATAATTTTAGTACCAGAAAGTATCTCTCAAAATGGATGACAAAGCCAAACTCATTTAAGTTAAAGCCAAAGTTCATCCAAAAGTGAACAAACTTTGGAAGTAGTAAGAAATGGCATAACAAACCTGATAAATGCCGTAGCCCATTGCTTCCAACTTCTGTATCAGACAATTCCAAGCAGATCAATTGCTTAAGGCCTAAAAGCATTGTGAAGAAAATATGAGACACACATTCGCTAGGACAGGAATGTGCATTTCCAATGACAAATCACATGCAACACAATCGTTCTTCAAATCAATGATTCATTTGAAGATTGTTGTATTGCATTTTGCCAAGTTACTAATTATGCCAATTTGCAACCAATTATGCCAAGTAGATAATGTGCTAGATTACTTATTTCTTATTTTATTTTTTTAATATCTTAAGGCAACAATTTAATCCAGTGAGTCATCACTAAGAAATAAGGGAAAAAGAGGGAATTCAAATATCTACCAGCCAAATTGACTAATCCTTCATCACCAATTTTGCATGAATCAAGGTTCAAGCTCTCCAACTTTGTCAATCCTGATTGAAAACATGCATCACATTGTTAGATACAATTGTCTTCTTTCAAATATAATGCATATTTCTGTCCTAGCAAACCAACTTTATATTTTTTTCAGTTATATATATTAATAATACATTAACAATCTGCACATAGAAGTTAATATAGTGTTACTATGTAAACCAGTTTTATCAAGAACAGTAGGTGCAAGTAAGATCACTCCATAAGATGGTAAGAAACTAAGAATATTTTTTCAACTAGATATTAGCCAGTCCATATCATTGCTGGAATTGTAGGATTGTTACAAATAGTCATTACATTTGAGCAATGCAATGTGTTCCAAAAGCTGTACAATATAGCCCCAAATGATGACTTAATCAAGTCAGCAGTACTACATGAACAAACAAACTTAAAAGGGTATAGTTGAGACCCACGGAAGATCATAATATTTAAAACAAATAAAATTAAATTTGATTGTGAATAGTTTTCTTTTAATTTACTTTTGAGTTGCATATTTATATAATTTAATAGTTGGGTGACAAAGCTCACTTGGACTGCCACTTAATTTGGAACCACAATTTTAATATACATTTATGGAGAATTTAGCATTTTGCTTTAAATTATTAACCAGATCTTGCAGCCATGGAAAAGGCTGGATTTTTCTCCCTAGCTGCCCAAATGGCATGTAAAACTTGCATTTAGACAGAGAATATATGCGGTTGTCTCTCAACTTAGAGTTTAAAGATGGTTTACATATATAACATATTCACAGTAATCCAGGATGAATAGGCAAATAGAGAGAGAGATTTGAAATAACCTTTCAAGTGAACTAAACATGTATCTGTAATGACATTAAATCCCAAGTTTAATACTTTCAAATTTTCCAGTCCTGTAGAAAAAAGGTTAATGTTACAAATGTAAGGCTTCAATAATTTTTATGGTGTCAAATAGTAAAACAAAATGTGTATAATATATAATTACAGCCTGAAAGAAGTGGCTATACAATTCTGAACCACTTACGGGAAAACTTTTCGCATCCACTGTTAGAAAGATTACATCTATTTAGATTCAAGTTTGACAGCGCAGGAAGCTCTGGCAGAAAACATAATATCATCAAATCAAAACTTCAATGGATGTTTCAGGTTCATTAAATCATTATAGACTAGAAAGACATGATTAAATTACACTTTCTGCATTTAACAAGGTTCACTGATAATAATAAAACTAATAGCAGTTGGTTCAACATAATATGTGCATTAAGCTGAAATATTTTCTGATTGAATGATTCAGGCAGACACATAATATTAAAACCTCAAAAATACTGAATAAACCAGAAAGATGAATACACTGTTGTCATTGCTGGAATTAGGGTTCCTACCCATTACTCTCCCACCTGAGACAACTAAATTCAAAATAAGTCATTTAAGTCTTTCAAAGTTCGGAATCACATTCCAACACCTGAAGTTTTTTCTTTTTAAAGTTTCACAATTAGTATACTTTTCTTGATCAAATCACAATCTGCATGGAGTGATATGCTCAAGGCATCCTAATAAACATAAAACTCAGCTTCAATCAAGGAGGAGAAGAAGAGCAAGCTTAAAGCATTCATGGCTGAATAAGACAATAACCAAGAGATTATATCCTAGCAAATAGTTAGCGCTAGCAAGCCATAATATAACCATATCAAGACTAATAGAATAAGCATGAAAGTCTTAAAAGGAATTCAACCTGCAAGAGAATCTAAGCATGCAGCTGTGACAAGGCACCCTTCCAAATTTAACAAGACAAGCTTTCGTAACCCTGAACCAAGACAAAATTGAGAATAAATGAGACATGCATGAATGTAAAATGATGAAATCAAAATTTCCTTTTAACTGGTAAGCTCAGGCACTTGTACATCAGCACTAGGAAGTACACTCAACTGCACAACTTCTCTACTAACCAATTTAACAAGATCAACTTTAAAAGGATATTTGACAAATTATTACATCATAAAAAAATAGATTTGCTATAAATGAATTTTTAAAAAAGCATTCTGGCTTATACACAATTGGAGTCTACATTTAAAAATTGAAGCACAACTAAAATAGGATATCTAACTGAAATTAATAAAAAAGGAACTTAATTGATCTTCAAAATCAGACAAATCTTTAAAAAAGATTAGTTGATTTTGCACACATTACTATACATTCCTGTAAAGCTTTTTATCTATAACTTAGTTCAATAAAATCTTGTTACATACAAATGAAAATACTTCGAAGATGAAAATGCTAGATTGAATCTAATTGTTTCAAGCTTCACTCTTCCAAAAGAGAAATGTATCAACAAGAAGGATTATTACAGATATATATAAAATTTTCAGAATACAAAAACATGTAATAAGAGTACCAGCAATAAAATAATCATATAATCCCTATTGCTCTCAAATGTCACAATAATGAAAGGCATGGCACAATACCTTTCAGAAAGCTGATGCCAAAATCAGTGACTTTACTGGATGAAATCTCTAGACTTTTCAGGCTTGCAAGCTCTGGAAGTAAATTGAATTAGATAAATTGTACTGTTGATTATTGAACCATATGTCTAATAAGATGGAAATGATTAGTGATCACTTCTATAAACACAAAGGCAAACTGACAATTACATGTTGTCAAATACAGCTGTTGACATGTTCTTTCTAGAGATATAAAACAATTCATAGACTTCCACTAAGGTAAATAAACTTGGGTAGAATATGTGCAGTTCCTTAAATAGAGGATACCAATAATCAGAACAGGAACTACTCTGTAGTGGAAACACACTAATTGCATAAAAGAAAATTTAGACAATTAATCTTAGGAAAAATTTTCAGCAACTGTGATCAAAAGGAAGCAAGATGAAATAAACCTGATAGAGGCTTCATATCAGAATCTGTTATGCAGTTACACCACTTTATATTGAGAGATTCCAGCTTGGTCAAACCTGAAAATTTTGGACCAAATCATTGGATTCAAGCTATATGGAAATCAATTATGTATGGCTGTTCATGCAACTTGCTACAGTGACACAGATACTGTAATAGAATTCCTTCAATCTTTTACTATCCTCTTATGAGTGTTTTTGCTTAGTTACATAGTAGATCCTGTATCACTACTATAATTGTAAGTGAAAAAGACCTTATATTAGGAAAAAGTGAGGTCATTTATTGATTACTGTATAAAGTCAAAAAGTAGCTCAAAAAATATTACTCCATTTGGGTGCTCTGTAAATTGCATTCCACTTCATTATCAACACAATGTCAATTGAAAGTTGAAATAACTAACAACTGTGATAGACAAAATACATCACCATGGGATATATTAGCTCCCTCAAGAACTAAATAAGTTTAGCAGCAAGAAAATGCAATCATTTTCTTAGTGTTCTATAATAACTGGGGTAGCTGAAGTACACCAAAGAATATTGGTTAGTAAAGCTCAATTTCACACAAAATTAATCTCAGAGCCAACCTTGAAGATGAACAAGGCCTCCATGAATCCCAGGACATCTCTCCAAATCCAACTTGACCAAGTTAACAAGACCAGAAAAGGCACTCATGCCTTGAGCAGATATTGAATCATTTCTTCTAAAACTCAAACTTGTTAAGTTTGACAGACCTGGAATATTTTATTAGAGTTGTTATAAATCTTCAGTAAAAGCAATTTATGGACAAAGCTTCTAGACAGAAGTAATTTCACAAGAATATTAATATGGTGATATGGAAGACACCTGGCTGAGGAAAATTTGGAAAATGTTATGTTATGAGGCAAAAAGACTAAGGAAGATGGCTGAGGTAAACGGAAATAATGATATGCAGCCTTTTATACATAAATGCATAAAAATCACTTCATCCTCACTATGCAGAATTCATTATGTCAAATTGGAGTAATATTTAAGTGGGTCTTAGAAGTCATTCCTTTCTCTACAAGAAACCTCAATGGCAGGAAAATAATTAGGTAGATGATCAGCATAAGATTTTCATATGCACATTTTTCAATATTAACTAAAAAGTAAATTAAAAATATGGGTGCCAATAGGAAATCAATTTGCCAAAAGTAGAGAAATCTAAAAAATTTCCAGTTTGGAGAATTAACCAGCCCAAGTGATTAATGATATTTAATATAATTAATGACTAAATACATATTTAATTGATCTCTTTGGATGACCAATGTTCTTAAATTTAAAATCATTTACCAAGAATTTCTTTTTGAAATTTTCTCAAAAAAATTCTATGAACATTAAAAAAGATATGGAAGATATTAACTTCTAAGGCTGATTTTTAGCAACTAAAAGTGATATTTTTTTATTGAAAAAATATTTATTGCATTGAGAATATAAAAATGTAATAAATGTCTTCTCTTTAAATAAATTTATTACTTTTAAATGCTTAAAATTAGCCCTAATGTCTAATGTTAATAAACCAAAAGAGATACTTTTATGATTTGGCAGCATGAGTATGCTGGACTGACTTTCAATAAGTTATCATGTAGAGTGAAAAATAAGGCAATATGTACACCCATTTCCACACTAATGATTAGACACAATTTTCCCAAGGAATGGTAGCAAAATATTTTTATTCCTTTTTGAGATGAACAAATTGTATAAGAAAGATAGCAAAGGACTAACAACCAAGTGCAAATATGGGAAATAAATGAATAATTGCAAATGCATAGAGTGTGATTCCTTAACAGACACAAACATGAAAAGAAAGAATACCAGTGATACACTCTAGTCCATGATCTGAAATTTGGTCACAGTAATTTAGATTTAAGGAAATGAGACTTTCACAGTCTTTGAGGTAAGTCAGCCCAAAATCAGTGACATCAGACCCTGAAAGATCTACAGAAAGTAAAGATGAACCCTGGGATGAGATGACATCCATCCAAGCATCATTAACACCATCATATTCTCCCAAGTAAAGATCCTGTCAAAAAAGAGATATAAGCTCTAACCCTTTAGACCAACGACACATGATTAACCAGGTTCATAATTGATTTAAAATGATTTACCTGGAGAGCACAATCTCGAAAAGCTTCAAGGGAAGTACTGGTAAGACGTCGAGAGTAAACCAGATTATTAAAAATTAGCTGACTTATATCCCTTGGCAGCATAGAAAGTGTGTTATATTTATCAATATCCTGTTGGAAAACGATTGCAGTGGATCAAAACATAAAGAATCTGGACAAATCAAACTTTATCTTTAAACAATACCTCATTTATTTTCTGGATGCACAAGTCCAATAGTGATGGACATTCTCCTTTTCGCAAGTGAAAATCTACAGCTGGATAAGAAAAAGAGGATGTCCACCATTTCAAGCTCCCACATTTGCAATATTTTCGTGATAGTCCTCTGGTAAGACTATCTTCATTATCCTGCTCTTGCTTCCTAGAACACGCTCCCCCCATCCAGGAAATATTCTCGTAATCAATATATATAATAAAAATTGCAGCAGAACACTAGTGTAATCCATTCAATAACCAAAAACGAATATATGCAACCAACTTCACCCTGTTAAAAAAAATAATAATAACAATAAAATAAGACACAGGTGTATAAGTGAATAACTTTCCAGCTTACTTGAATATGCAGGAATCGACTTCTCTAGAAACCAGTAACAGTTCTATTTGCAACATCAACCTCATCTAAAAAACAAAAAATAAAAACCGCCAAATCAACTAAAAAATTATCAGCAACCACGCCATAATCAGCACTTACCATTTTTGTCTCAACGAAAGCAATACTCCACAGTCCACAGCATATTTCTTTTAACATATATAACTACCAGCGTATGAAGGAAAAAGTCAAATGCATATGAAACAAGCCATAAGCGTTAAAAATAATCCATACATGCATCTACCAAACAAAAAGCAGGAAAAAATAAATTACGAGTAGAAATTACAGTTAATAATAATAATAATAATAATAATAATAATAATAATAAAAACTAGAAGCAACGGCATAGTAACTCATTACAAGCGATGATCGAACCACAGAGACACCAGAATCACGGATTTTCTTCAAACAAGGTATTCAGAGAGTAAAAAAGAAAAACAGAAATAGAAGGCGTTTGTAACGAAAACAAAGGAAGAAGAAAATAGCTCGGAAGTAACCGTACCCTGACATGATCGATGATGAGTTCGATCGGTAGAAGATGGAAAACGAAGAAGGAGCGAAGCTAAGCGATCGGCGAGTGGCTCGTCTTTCAGGTGAAGTTGAAAACATGGGAGTGAGTGCGAGAAAAAAGAGTGGTGGTTGGGGAATGGCTTATAACCGAGCCTCTGTCCGAACCAACAATCGGAAGACACGTGGCGAGTAGGGTAGGTTTAGAAGAGGTGGGATTCTCTTGACTTTATCCATTTGGAAGAGCAGATGGGACCCACTTCGGTTGCCTTGCGAACTTAGTGCACGCAATGTAGCAATCTTTGCCCCCATTTGTTTAATCATCACGTTATTGCGCGTTATCATTACTTGTGGTTGCATTTATTAATTAACAATCATGCCATCACTTGTATTGCATGTTGTATTACACTCTCTACTTTCACCTTATCTAAGCATATATATCCTTTACGCTATTGCAAGAAACAATCCATCAAATTTAAAATGGTATCATTGATGGATTGTATTCTTTTAAAATAATTCTGAAACCTTTGAGTGATTATGTAAACATGTAATTACTGATAGTTACTAATAGATTAATTCCAGTAGTTACTCCTTTTATTCAAAATAAAAATAACAGATATCAATAAAAAATGAAAGATAATCAAAATGGTTATTATACGTAAAATAAATTCCATTTCAGTATATCTTAATGGGTTGTTTTTTCTTTTTTGAAATAAAAAGAAAAACGGTTGATCATATGACAATCTAAGTATGAAACCAACATGTGTATTAATAAAACAACTTAATTTTCGGTAAAAAAGAATTTAATATTATTCTTATGAGAGGCATATATACATGTTTCGAGAAAATTTGTTAAAGTCCCGGTAAAAGAATTGGAAACACCAAATCTAACGGCAGAAATTACAGTACACATTCTAAGAAACTCTCCTCTCCTAGTTCTAACAATATCAAACTTGATCTTCATGCCCGTAGACGGTCGAGAAAAATGCATGAATTATTACATAATTGAGAGTAAAGCTCATAAATATGTCAAATTTTTAGCCCTGAATGGATGGCAACCACTCCCCCAACTAGATTCTCATACTCAACTTTCTGGAACCCTGCATCCGCAATCATCGACGCAAATTTTTCCTGCAATCCATCAATTACAATAGATTGATCAACACAATAAGAAAACACAGATTGATGATAACTTAGACACACACTACTTCAAATCAGAATTTTCATTTCTCATCAGAGAAGTTTCTGTACAAGCATACATAAGCAAATTTCCAACATCTATAGATATAAAATAAAATATCCACCAAGGTAGAAAACAGACCGATATTGGTGAGTAAAAAAAATTGGGACTAGATTTTTTTCATATTCAATGTTTTAATTGGCTTTATGATTGACAGGATAAAGGGTGGTTGTAAATTCTGTAGTCAATTATAGCTTTTAGTAAAATGTTATAGCATAATAGTTACTCCTACCAAATTGTCCACCCAAGCGGTTCCTTATTGGGCTGAATGCAGGAGACTAAGGAGCTATTAGCAACACCTTAATAACCAAAGCCACTAATTGCTTCCTACTCTCAGGTTTCAATTAAATCATAAATAACACAGGAGATGGTCAGCATCGACCGTTTAGCCTTAGGACAAATCTTCCTCACTCAAAACTCCGTTCAAATTCAAACCTCTCACCGACATAATTGAAAGGGGTGACAATAAACTGTAATTAGCAATCTTGGGAATCACAAATAGGTCTGTTCTCAAAAGCAAGCACTGTCGTTCCTTTTTTCCTAGCCATAAAGAGGTAAAAAATATGGATAGCTATCAAATGATGGAAGTATGATAACCTGTGAGGGGAAACGCCGGATACTCTCAACTAAGTACTGATAGGATTCCCGGTCACCAGCTACCAGCCCTCCCATGTATGGAATAACTGAGAAAGAATAATAGTCATACCTGCAAGAGAAGATGAGTAAACATTAAATTGAAATTTAATTATGTAGCTCATCGGTCAGTTTGGTCAGCAAGGAATACCTGTATTTTTTATGGTATCTCTTCACTCTTAACATTTATTCATGGCTGGTTCAAAGGAGCTTTTATTTTCAATGTAAACTTAGATTGTGTTATATGACAAAGGTATTCAAATTAAAGGGTCAGATATTTATCACTGCACTATACTTCAGTTACATTTTTTTGTCAAATGTGATTAGAATGCATATAATCAGTCATTCAGTCTCCAACTCTCCATATTCTATCTCAAATGTCAACCACCTATATGTATCAGTCTTGCAAAATAAAGCAAATGATACTTACAATTCTTTAAATATAGGAATACCAACATGGCTCAGTTCAAGGCAAAGGAATCTGCCTCCTGGTTTCAATACCCTGTTAAAGAAACAATAAATATTGACAGTGATTCACCACACATTTTAATTCATTGCCATCAGCAGCTAGGCGTACAAGTTACTGCAATCCCTTTAAAAAGAGAATACTTACCTATGAGCTTCACTAAGCACTTTCTCTATGTGTGTAACATTCCTTATCCCAAATGCAATAGTGTAACCATCCATTGAATCGTTTTTGAAACTCAAGCTTTCAGCATTTCCCTCTACCCATACAAGGGAACCATCTTCACCAAAACCTATTATAATAAACAGAAAATATTCATTCCTAAGAGATGAAGACATGTTGAACAAAAATCCTTATGAAAGGTTGAACTAATTGATGACATTTTAGGGCATTCTCATTTACCCTTCTCGAAGGCACGCTGTTTGCCAACATTTAGCATATTAGGGTTAATGTCACATACATATATCCGAGTTTCTTCCTCTACAGTATCATTAAAAACACGTCTGAGTTCTCTCTGCTTAACTCTGTTTATGTTCTCCAAGATTCTAAAAGCAACATCTCCTGTAACATACCAAAATTTAGGCTTGATATAAAAACCCTTGATCACATGCAGCAGCAGCATCACTTTAATTGCTGAGAATATTACTGAGGAGAAGCAAGCTTTATACAAAACACAAATACATTCCACAACTATATTCCTTTAAAGAAACTTAAATATACATGAAGCACATACAACCTACTTTTACACAAGTTAAAATCCCACCCAATGGACATGACAATGCCTAACCATTGTTCAACTCATATACACCTTATGAGTTCTACATCCCAGCAACAATATATGAACAATAACATAACCCCCAATTAAATATTTAAATAAACAACAGCTTCTCATGATCCAAGTACTCAGATGTGCAACAACAAAAACATCAGACACTAACCATTAGGTATTCAAAAGTGGAACCATTCGCTCCAAATTAAAGGTTTTACAAAAGATATAGCTAGATGAACCAGCAAACTTGATGCAAGTGGAGAATTTGTTTTGTCAAACAAGTAGCTCATGAACCAAAACATATTTCTTAACCAATCCACAATTCCTTAACTTCTTTCAGGCACGTCACATATTTTTTCGAACTACATCTATTTAGGTCCAGTTTAGGTAAACTTTTAAAAAAGTCCTCATATGAAAAAAAGTTAATATAAAAAATAAATAAAACTTCTTTCATAAGTTAAAAACAATATCTTCTCAAATTTTAGAGAAGTTAAATGAGGGAGTTTTCTTAAAACATAAAGAAGCATTATGTAACTTATGAGAGAAATTTTATTTATTTTTTATACTGAATTTTTTTTCCCTCCACATTACAATCTTCTAAAGCCTGTATAGCAGTAAAAAACACAGTGAGAAAGGAGCAGACCTGTGCCACCAGCCACATCAAGATGCTTCATTCCAGGAAATGGATTCAGCTTGGAAACGAGCCTGAGCAGAAAACACAGAATCACCCCAAGTCCAACAGAAATAGCAATAAGAACGAAACGATTACAGAATGAAATGTAATGTAACCTATCCTTCCACAATCTATGCAATCCAGCACTCATCAGGTCATTCATGACATCGTAGTTCGAAGCAACGCTTGTAAACACATCACCAACCATGCGTGCTTTTTCATCTTCGTTCACTTGTTTGAATCCTAAACGGTAAAACGAGATAAAGCATTGATTTGACATGACATTATTATTTTGAATAATGAATTGAGAATTGAATGGGGAGAGAGAAAACGAACCAAAACTTGTGGCGTGAGAATGTAGAAGCCTGGAAGTGGGAGATAACAGAGGGAAGAGTTTATTCCGCAACTGTCTAGTTAGTGTTCCCAAAGCCATCATTGCTCAGTGCTGGCACACTCAAATTCAATCACAACCAAACACACAGATACAGATTAGAGAGTCAGCGAGAGGAACGAATTCGGGTTTTGCAGATTCGCCTGTAATTTGTGTTCTAATTTTGAAAATTATAAAATCCCAACAAAAACTTAATTAAAGTATTATAATTTTATACTATGGGTTTATGTAATTGGATCACGTTCGTTTGGGTCCAGTTAGACGAATTACCCGACCCATGAACACTGTTGGGTCAAAAATTCCTATAGAGTATGAATCACTATTCTAATCTAATTATGAGTGATAATTTCTTTTTAAAATTTAAATTTAATTTTATTACTAGAATGTAATCCCGTGGGTTGCACAAGTTAAATTTAATAAAAAATATCTTTAATTTTATAAAAAATATATATTAAAAAAATAAATTATATCAATATAAATTATACTATTTTTATAAAATTAATAATTTTTTATAAAATATAATTTTTATCAATTTGACTATTAAATTATAACTATCTATTATACTAATTATGCATGAAAAAATTTGATAAAATTAAATAGTTATAAAAACATAATTAAAAAAACTTTATTTTTATGTACAGATATTTCAATTTTTGTTTGAATTATTAATTTAATAAAATATGTTAACAGCAGTGAACATATTCGACAATATAATTTTGTAGCTTATTAGGTGATGTTCTGATTGAACGTTGATTTTTCAATGGTTTTTATATAGAATAAGAGAGCTACGAGATAAACAATGAAGGTTTCGGACCAAAAGTTACTTCAATGTTTGTCAATATTTGACGTCATGATAAATAATGCACGAATTGAGACAATTTTAAGTTAAGAAAGTGTTTAAAATATGCATTGCATCTTACAAGGTACAGACAAAATTGAGGATAAAATTGATTAATTAACTCATCAATTTTGGCGTCAAAATTAATTTTGCAATTGAATATTCCAAACAAAAGTTTGCTTTATAGAATATATAGATTAGCTTAAAAAAATTTACACTATCAATTAGTGAGGAAAAAATTTAAATTAATTGTTATTGAAAGTATTGATTTTTTTTAATATAATTGTTCATAATTAGACGATAGTATAACAAATTTTACATTATCATTATATTTTAATTAATTTTTTTTATGTTTACGATCTCCCTTACGGGAGTCATCCTATCTTGGGTTGTTTTTATGGTACAACCCGTGTTGGGTTCTATATCCCCGTGGATTGGCGTGTATATTTGGACCAGTTATAGTTAAGACAATCATGTCACTCAAAAACTAAAAGAGTTGACAATCATGGCCTAACCTCATTTTAATGTCTAGACTTCTGAGTGAAGCAATAATCTTGACCTGAGCCGTATATTGGTCAAGCATTGATAAAGAAGGCATAGGAATGTTACGCACAACTCTTTAGTTTGAAGGTATAGAATCCAATCCTAGATATTGTTTAAAGATGGATTGGACTCTTGTATTAGGGAAAGTATATTTAAGCAGACAAAATACACTAAACTTTTATTTTTTGCTAGTTCTGAGTCATGTCATATAACAAAATTTCATAACAATGTTCCCACATGAGGGAAACTCAAATTTCAGCTATTTAATATTATTCATAAAATCACATCGAGGCCGCGGAAGGTTGTGTTGTAGTTTCGTGAAATTCAATTGAGGCAACTCCTGCACCTATTAACCTGCTTATCTTTAATGCGTTTACTATTTATTTTCAAAGTATTAAACGGAAAACTCTAAAGATTGTCAATTGAAAATTCACTTTGGCAAAATCTAGATTTTTGGAACAAATTTCCAGTCTTGATAGTTGAAGAGCTAGCTACCCCTAAAGGTGAAGAACATTGGTAAAAAGAAAATGCCCGCAGCCTCCGACAAAAATAGTATTAATTTAAAGAAACCTCTGCCCTAACTGCATTTCATTCCCTCAAAAGATTTTGAAAAGCAGGCCGCCATGGGTGGCGAAAAATGGGGCAAAGACAAGTGACTCCACTGCCATGAGCTTAATGAGGATGTTGAGTGAAGGGCCTGAAGTATCCTTGAGAGGGTCTCCAATGGTATCGCCAATAACAGCTGCCTTATGCGGTTCAGATCCCTTTGGGCCCAAGGTCCTTGCATGCTCAGTTGCACCAGCCTGAAATGTGAACCCACAAGAGATTTCATCAGTTAAAAAACCAAAACCAGTCGTATAATAAAAGAGTGATAACTTTAAAAGCACCAGTTAAATTACCTCAATGTACTTCTTAGCATTATCCCAGGCACCACCAGTGTTGGATGCTGATATTGCAATCTAATGAAAATCAATGCAGCAGAACAAGATTCAGCAAATTTCGCAAAATTGTATAACGATCGCTTCTACCAAATTTCATATAATGTAATCAAAGTGACAGTATTACCTGCACGCCAGAAACCAGAGAGCCTGCAAGAACACCTGACAGTGTTTCCACACCAAAGAAGATACCAACAATGAGTGGTGTGAGCATGACCAGGGCACCTGGAGGAATCATCTCCTTGATGGATGCATCAGTAGAAATCTTGACGCAGGTAGCATAATCAGGCTTGGCATGACCCTCCATGAGTCCTGGAATGGTATTGAACTGCCTACGAACCTCCTCAACCATCTTCAAAGCTGCACTTCCAACACTCTTCATGGTCATGGCAGAAAACCAGTACGGAAGCATGGCACCAACTATGAGTCCAATAAAGACCTTGGGAGTCAACACATCAACAGTTGAAATTCCGGCTCTGCTGACAAATGCACCAAATAGGGCCAAAGATACAAGAGCAGCAGACCCAATCGCAAAACCCTAGTATAAGAAAGAAAGAAAATTCAGTAATACATACTCAGAAGAATAATGAAACAAATGTAACCTTAGCTTCATATTCTATAATCTCACAGGACAAAAGCGGAAAATTCATCAAACCTCTTATCACACGCAACTTACTTTCAGCATTTAGATATTAGCATAGCAATCTATGTAACATACCATTTGAACCAGAGAATTTGATAGCCTGCTCAGAAATAAAATGCATCATAGTACCTTGCCAATGGCAGCAGTAGTGTTGCCAGCAGCATCAAGGGCGTCAGTTCTCTCACGAATACGATGGCTCATGCCTGCCATCTCAGCAATACCTCCGGCATTGTCACTGATAGGCCCATAGGCATCAATAGCCAACCCAGTCGCAATGGTGCTCAGCATCCCAAGGGCAGCCACAGCAATACCATACATTGCAGCAAAAGTAAAGCTCACAAAAATGCTGATGGCAACTGCAAAAATAGGAATTATGACGGACTTGTAACCCAGAGCAAGGCCAAAGATGACATTGGTTGCAGCACCAGTCCGGCAGGAATCAGCAACATCTTGTACAGGGCTGAAAAGCAAGCAAACAATGCAAGTCAAGACCATTGAGACAGAAGAACAGGAAAGATTGAAAAACTTTCTTAACATTCAGCTACCTGTAAGCATTGCTTGTATAGTATTCAGTAACAAACCCAATAATAAGTCCAGCCCATAGACCAACACCCACACAAAGGAACAGCTGCCTGGAAATTTTAAAAATGTCAGTAGCTAGATTTCCCAATATCAAGACAGCAAAAACAACTGACATGAGAGTTGATCACGGTGAAATAAAAACACCGGACTCAACATTTAAAGAGAAGCCAGTCTATTGTGTTTCTCTAAGGGAATTAGAAAAGAAATTACTAGACACAAATGAAGATAATAAACTTCAACATAAGGCATACAATATTGAATCTTTTATAAGCATTGTCTTACCAGCTCTTTACTTCCTTTTGAGCCCCAAAGTTGAAAATTGTGAAGGATGATGGCAGAGCAAGCCAACTAATAATTGCAATTCCAACAGTCATGAGTATTGTAGAGATGATAAGCTGCTTTTTTAATGCTGGTTCAATTTCCTTGACAGCCTTGATCTCAAAGAAATCAGTTGCAAACAGCGTAGTAATCAAACAGACAATAATGCCCATAGAACTGATAAGTAGGGGATATAACATTGCAGTGAAGTCGTGGTTGATTCCAAATGAGGAAATGGAAGCAACGACAAGGGCCGCACAGGATGATTCAGCATATGAGCCAAATAGATCAGAACCCATCCCAGCAATATCTCCAACATTATCACCAACATTATCAGCAATCACCTAACAAGATCATTGAAAGGATCAATAGTCAACACCATTATAAGCTCAGAAAATAAAGGCTGAAATAGAGATGGATACACATCAATTTATCATTTTTTTTCAAAAGGACAAAATTTATCTTACAGCTGGGTTTCTTGGATCATCCTCCGGGATATTCCTTTCAACTTTTCCAACAAGATCAGCACCAACATCAGCAGCCTTGGTATAGATACCACCACCGACTCTCCCAAACAGAGCCATGGAAGATCCACCCAAACCATAACCAGTTATAGCCTCAAAAAGACCTTCCCAATCATCACCATAGTACAGCTTAAAGAGATTGATAGCAACATAGAGCACCAAAAGACCATTGGCGGCAAGAAGGAAACCCATCACTGCACCAGACCTAAATGCGGTGATAAAGGCCTTTCCAACCCCCTTTCTAGCTTCCAAGGTTGTTCTTGCATTGGCATAGGTTGCAATTTTCATCCCAAGGTAACCAGACAGGACTGAAGTTATAGCACCGAGCAAGAAAGATACAGTGCTAAACAATGCAGTTGCAAGGGCTGGCTTGCATAGCTTGCTCTTATCATATGTGCAGGGCTGGCTCTTAGTACTGAAGCTTTCCACAGAGCCAAGGAAAAGGAAGATCAGTACTGCAAAAGCAGCCATGAAAATCCCCACATATTGATATTCAGTGAAAAGAAAGGACGTTGCACCTGTAAATCCATTCAAAACTTGTAAATACAAGATCAACATAATCCATTGAATTTATAAAACACTTTCAACAGCCAGGGTTTACAAGATAAGGCCACAGGACATACAATAAGCGACGACAAACATAAGCCAGTGAACTTAATATGGGTATTGAATCCCAAGAAACTTAAACGAAGGAAAATTGTGACTGTCAAGAGGCTCTCTAACAAAATCCAAAAAATCCATCCGAGACTCTAATTAGGCACATTAGGTCATTAGCTAGGTGCCATTTGAGCAATTACTCTACCACATGTCACATTAGGAATTAAAGAAAGTACACTCAACATCAGCATTATGGATTAATGAATGATATATGGAGCCATCACTCTACCACATGCCATGTTATGGTAATGTCGGCTCCTTACACATGCACTAGAAAAATTTCGATTCAGAATCCATAACTGTTGACAAAACATTTTGCGGTAATATATTAAGTCATAGTAAAGAAGTTGGAGTTAGTACTAGGAATGTCATCCATTAAATTTTAATAATAATAATAAAGTTAAGATAGTACTGAACGTACTAGCAGTGGATAATAACACACTGAATATTTCAAATATTTAAATAAATTAGTAAGTAGAACTGTATAACCGCCGACAGAACTGTATCCCTGTTAAACAATAATAACAACAAAAAGTCCACATAAAAACGAATATCTAACCAAGCATAAACCCCGAAACGTTTTTCTTACAGGAATGGCTCAAGATTATCATGATAAATCTTGTAGATCTTCACCACTTAAGATAGAATATTTATTAAAAATAAAAGTAGTAGCACTCAAAAGCAATAGTTAGCGAACATAATTTGCGACAAGCAGGGCGAAAAAGGAAAGGATCGCATGTTAAAAGAAAAAACAAAATAAGAGAAGGAAATCCAAAACAAAGAGTACACAAGCCCTGGCTTGAATGGATAAAGCTAATGACATGACAATGAAAAATAAATAAATAAATAAACTCTTTTCAACTTTCAACAAATGGAACCACGAAAATCAAATTGCGAATCCTCGTAGTGACAGAGAAAGGCTTTGTCAAGAACAAGCACAGGAAGCTTAAACAAGAAGAACAAAATGTTGGCTCAGGAAAAATCATCAGTTTTCAAAGAGAAGAATACGCAGAGAAACATAAGCAGATCTCAGAGGTAGATCTTCAGATCTAAACGAGAAAGTGTTACCTTCGGTGATGGCACTCTGTATCTCAGCACATTTGGCGACGACACTGTGGTCGTTGATGCCTTCTTCTTCCTCGATGAGATAGTCACCGTAACCATTCTTGTTGTGCGGGGAAGACGAAGCTCCGGGCCGGTCCGACATGAGCTTGACGCGCGAAACTAGGAACCACTGCACCAACGAGAAGACGATCCCGATGACGGCGCACGTTGGTACTACTATCTCCGTCGCAAGCTCCGACAATAGAGCCGCACCCATCCTCGCCGGAAACTACCTCCGCCGGTGACCTGAACGGAAAGATGCAACGAGAGACAGTCACAAAGAATGTATAGACGAGCTCGAGTGCGGCGAGGCGTGTGCTCTGTGTGCACGTTCATTTATATTGGGAGAAAGAGTGTTAGGGTGCATCCAATGCCTGAAGGTTATGCTGTACCCAAGTTTTACGCCGTTCCTATTAAAATATTTTACTTTCATCCAGTTTATATACGTTTTCATTTTTTTACGAATTTTATACATTAAATATTTTGTTCTGAACAGAGAAAAAATTGCAGAAAGTGGTTGTTGTCATAAGATTAATTAAAATAATTTTTATTATTAAATTTACTTTTTTAATATGTAAATAATAAGTTATATATAATAAATTTTCTAAAAAATATAACATTTAATACTAATAATGAATTAAATTACATTGAATTTTTTAATAAAAAATTACCATTGATAATTTATTATCTTCTGTGTAAGAATATTACACAAACTAAAAAAATGTATATTTCCGCATTCACCTCATTTTACTTGCGAGACTTCACAGTCCAAGCTTTTAGACATCCAGCTGGTGGATAAGTTGGAACATTCCAAAGATAAAAAAGACACTGTTTCAAAAAGTAAGGTGCATCATCTCACTCTTAAACCACTCTAAAATATGGTGTTTGTATACTTTTTTCACACTATGTTCAACGATGCAATGATCCAAATTTTAATGAAGAAAAAAAATACTGCAAGAATAAAATAATAAATCACATTTCATATTAAAGTATTTATCAATTTTTAATCTTCGTATCAAAACTTTAAACAACAATTGAAAAAGAATAAAGCCATTGTATTATGAATTTGATTATAAAATTTATTAAAATAAGTTATCAAAAACTTATTTTATATGTACTTAATAAGCTATATATGTATTCCAACAATGATCACTTGCATTTTTTTTTTAATTGTTACAACTCAAAGCAATATTAATTAGTTTAAATTATAAGTGTATTAATATTGTCTGATGTGGGCATAAAAGAATATTCTATTTGGGTTAGGTGGTAAGTGGGGGCAGGAATTGAAGGGATATGATATGGTGTCGGTGATGGAAGTGAGAACGGTGTGTGATTCATTGTTTGGGTGTGCGCAGTAACAGAGGATTGTGATTTTGTTGAATTAAGAGAATATCATTGGAGTTTAGTGACATTGACGCAACGTGCGTTGAATGGCGTGCAAAGCATCCTATCCTCCCGCCTCTTCGGTAACAATCCCTTTCTTTGCTTTTTTCTTTTTCTTTTTTTTTTCTTTTGAACATTACCTCTCCTCCAAAGTTTATGACTTGGAAACCAATAAAAATTAATTTGAATATCAACACGCTTAAACAAAATTTTGAATTCAAATTTATGTATATATAAAAAAAATTTAATAATAAACTCATCTACTATATCTAATAATATTAAGTTAAGTGACTTACTTTAAAGTGCTTTTACAATGCAAAGATTGTCTTAATAAAAAATAATAAATATTATTAATTTATATATTTTGAGTGGATTATATAATGTGATTTTATTTATTTATTTAGCATTTTTTTACATTTAAAATCTTAAAAATAATTTTTTTGCTTTAAGAATCTATTTTTAAATATCAGTTTTAATTAATTAAAGATATTTATATTATTTTATATTCCATTTGAAATCTCAATTGATCATTTATAATCTCACCTAATTTCCTCTAAATTTAAACAACTCGTATTTGGAAAGCTAAATTTAAGTAACTAGGTACATTTACATAATCTTAGAGTTTTTATTTATTTAGTATTTTTTAAAAACATAAGTACAGTGAATGAAATATTTGTTAGCATTATAGGTTTGTATTTAATTTAATTAATATTTATATATACAACAAAATAAAGTGTAAATAATATTCAGTCCCTGTGTAGAAAATACTTTTAAATTCTCCTATATAATATCGATAGTGGTTTTTTTCTCCATTAGAAGCTAGTTTCAATGAGGTTTAGGTGAAACACAGAGCATGACTTGTATAAAGGGATACATATAAATTAATCTAATCAGATATTTGGCTTAAAAAAATTAATAATGGTTGGGATGGGCATTACCTGCATATTCGGGTCCCATTGTCCAAATAAGTATTTTTCTTTTAAAGTGCAGTATGGCATAGGTGACCCCTGTTTTTGTTTTTGATATTGTGTCATTTTTCCCACATGATTGGTGGGTTACGTTGCAATTGGATCAAACACTGTCAGTAGTACACACAACTTGAGGGCCCAAAAATGTTGTTGGAAAAGGGTCTTTTGGATATGGTATAGGGCATATGCACAAATGGACGAGTGGTGACAGCAACAAGTTATGAGATACATCACGCGATTTCTTTTATTTTTGTTATTCTTCATTCCAAATCTTCTGCCACATATGATGACAGAAAATGAAATTTCATTCATAACACAAAAGACAAACAAATAGACCAAGCACATTATTTCTTTTAAACAATTTATATTAGGGCTTTTTTAGTTTTGTGTCTTTTGTTTTTACTAGTAATTAGTTAAGCCAGGTATATTGTTCAACATGTGTGCATGCCTAGTTTGACTAACTTTAATCAAGTTCATGTTTCCCAAGTCACTCATCAAACATTAAGCTAAGTTTAGTGGTGTTTCGAATTCAAGGTATTCACTTTGCAGATTTTTTTTTTCTTTCAAAAAAGGGTCCATTAAGAAGACGGGTTAAGTTCAATTTGGGAGTTTGAGTCAGTTGTTACATTAAATACACACTAATTAAAAGAGAAAAAAGAATGAAAAGTTGAATTAAAAGATTTTGCTAACTAACATTCTTAGTAAATTAATTAAGAAAATAAAAAAATAAGAAAATTTATTAAATTTATATTTAATTGTATTCAAAATCAAGGGCGATCTCTATTTATCATATATTTTTTATTTATTTATTTCACTTTTGATTCATTGACCAGTAGTCAGCAGTTGTAAACATTTAGTTGGTCCAATTGGGTATGATTTTCTGAATCAATCTTAACAAAGATAGATAAATAAGCAACCAAAGCATTACACAAAATAACTTATAAAATCAAACCAACTTATCCCTTATTTGTTTCAATACTATTCTCTGTGACCGACTTTACAATTAATTAAAAAGAATGCACAAAAAGATAGAAAATTTAATTTTATAAGACTCTGACACCAAATGAAAATAATTTTCAGCATTTTCCTGATACAATGGAAAGAGTTTGATTGGTGAACAAAAAAGTGTGGTCTGTGAGATCCACGAGCGTGGTCTGTGTGAATGGTAGAAGGCAAAGAGGTCAACAACCATAACCATAGGTGAAGCTTTTTGTGAAGAATACATATGGCAGTTGAAAATCGCCCACCAATAACGACGGAACAGACTTGCTATTAAATTCACTACCCTACAAAAACATATGGCCATCAATTTTCACAAATTTTTTTTCTCTCTCTCTATCTCTCATTTTCATTTACATGGATAATTGGTTTCACTAATTATTATGTATCTAATGGTAATTATTAAATTTATATATTGTTTCGTTCCAAAAATATACACAGTCTTGCCTTAATTTACTTAATTGTTGTAAATTTCTAAATCAAATAGTATTTTTCTAATTAAATTATATGCTCAATCTGTACAATTACTCCTCTCCCAAAAAGTGAGACAAAATTATAAGTAAATGAAATTTAAAACCGTGTTGCTCCAAAAACATAAACAAATAAAAATTTTAAATGATTCATATTTCTCCATATCTAACTAAACTTCCAGTAAAAAAGGGAAAAAATAAAAAAAAAACATGACAGTTGCTTTAGCTTTGACACAATATTAATATATCAATTTTATTAACCTCGGTCATTAATATTAAAATTAAGTATAAAAATATTAATTTCATTGAAAATATAAAAGAATAATAAATATTTTTATTAAAATATAATTATAATTATTTACTTAGAAAAACTGAAGTTAAAAAATTTAATTTGAGGGTATCGGAATGAACGGATAAATGTTGTTTGTGATAGAATCCAAACATTAGTTTAGGCATATCATCTATCTCCGAGAACACTCCACGTGGGAGAAGCACATTGGAGAAATTTGGAAGTCTGTTGATTAAAAACGAGCGATGACTTTGGAGCTTTCAAAAGAAAAACTTTATCCATTAATATTTAAGGTAATATTTAACATCACCGAAATATGAGTAAGATAAGTAACTACCGAATTACCCGGATTAACATCGACATTTCCAAAGAAGGGGTCAACAATGATAAATATAAATATTAAAAACTAATCATATCAATATGATCGTGTTTCATTGGAAATTGTTAACTGGCGGAGAGTCTTCTCTTCTGTGTTGATCAACAATAAGAACACGACAACGTTATCATCGTATTATTGGTCTCAAGAGATTAAAACATGTCTAAGGAGAATGTGTTTGTTGGCGCAATTGACCAAGGAACCAGCAGCAGCAGGTTCATAATCTACGATGCCTCGTCTCGCCCCATTGGATCTCACCAAGTTGAGTTCACTCAGTTGTACCCACAAGCAGGGTAATCAAACCAAACCCCATCTTTCAAGTTTTGTTTTTGTTTTTGTTTTTTGTCAAAATTTGTAGGTTTTATTCGCCTGGGTGTGGTTGCAGATGGGTGGAGCATAATCCTATGGAGATCTTAGAGAGTGTGAAGGTTTGTGTTGCCAAGGCTGTGGATAAGGCTACCGCTGATGGGTTCAACGTTGATAAGGGGTTGAAGGCCATTGGTCTAACCAATCAGAGGGAAACCACTCTTGTTTGGAGCAAATCCACTGGTGCTCCTCTTTACAACGCCATTGTTTGGATGGATGTTCGCACTTCTTCTATTTGCAGGTCCTCCCTTCTTTATTCCCTTTGTTAATGTTGTTTTCTGATTTGTGAACGCTTGCTTCAATAAAGGTAATCATTATAATTTCTATTCCATGAGTATACTTGTACTAAATGTTTGTTAGTTTATTAAGAATTCAATTCATGTACTGATCATTTTGCGTGTAAGTATTTGATCATTTGTGCATACTGCCACCCTTTACAGGATTTGTATTGTAGATTATTTCATTTCAAATGAAGTATTTTAGATGTTCAAGATATGGATCGGTTTGTGTATTGATTTTATAGACACATCCAGTGCCATGTATATTATTTTTTTGTTTTCAGTATTGCCATGGTCTCATAGATCAATGTTATTGAATTGTTTTGAAACAGGAGACTGGAAAAGGAGTTATCGGGTGGTAAAAGCCATTTTGTGGAGAGTTGTGGTTTGCCAATCAGCACGTATTTCAGTGCTCTGAAACTGCTGTGGCTGATGGAAAATGTGGATGCTGTGAAGGAGGCTATAAAGAAAAAGGATGCACTGTTTGGAACTATAGACACTTGGTTGATATGGAATTTAACTGGTGGGGTGAAGGGAGGATTGCATGTCACTGATATCTCAAATGCATCTCGGACGATGCTGATGAATCTAAAAACCCTTGACTGGGATGCATCTACCTTAAAAACCCTTAACATTCCTTCTGAAATTTTGCCTAAAATTGTTAGTAATTCTGAAGTTATTGGAAATATTGGTTCTGGATGGCCAATTGCTGGTCTTCCTATTGCTGGATGTTTAGGAGATCAGCATGCAGCAATGTTAGGACAAGCATGCCGTAAAGGAGAGGCTAAAACCACTTATGGAACTGGTGCTTTCATACTGCTAAATACTGGTGAAGGGATAATTCAATCAACACATGGTCTTCTATCCACTATAGCCTTCAAGCTTGGTCCAAAAGCTCCAACCAATTATGCATTGGAAGGTTCAGTTGCTATTGCTGGAGCTGCAGTGCAGTGGCTTAGAGACAGTCTTGAGATCATTTCTAGTGCTCCAGAGATAGAGGCTTTGGCATTGCAGGTTGAATCCACAGGTGGAGTTTACTTTGTTCCTGCTTTTAATGGACTGTTTGCACCATGGTGGCGTGATGATGCTCGTGGAGTTTGTATTGGAATAACTAGGTTTACAAGCAAGGCTCACATTGCTCGAGCTGTGCTTGAGAGCATGTGTTTCCAAGTGAAAGATGTCTTAGATTCAATGCACAAAGATTCAGGAGAAAGTGAAGCCAAGAAGAAGGAATTTTTGCTTAGAGTGGATGGTGGAGCAACTGCAAACAACCTGTTGATGCAGATTCAGGTTTGGACTAATTTCAATTCTTTTTTCTTTCTTCTAATTCCATATATCTCTAATATATTTAACTTTGTTGATTAGCATGTTTGTTTTGCCCTAACAATAACATTTTATGATTTCTGGTTTGTAATGCTTCTTTAGTGCTAATATTTTCCTTTCAAGATCTGTAAACCTTGCATTTTTATGTGATAGAAAATATTGGTAAAAGTATTGGGTGATTGGCCGTGAAAATGTTAGATTTGGCTTCTCTCTGTTGTAACTCCTAACATTTGCTTCCTATTGTGAAACTGATACATGTTAATAGTTACTGAAATGTTCATGTTAATATGTTGATGCAAAAGCTGTTTTAATTTTCACATAACCGATAAAATTTTGTTAATAATGTTGTTCAGGCAGATTTGTTGGGAAGTTCAGTAGTTAGACCTGCTGACATAGAGACAACAGCACTTGGAGCTGCCTATGCTGCTGGATTAGCTATTGGGATTTGGAAAGAAGATTATATTTTCAATTCTGGGGAGAAGCTGAAGAATGCTCATGTTTTTCGTCCCATAATGGCCGAGGATGTCAGAAAAAAGAAAGTGGAGTCTTGGTGCAAAGCAGTTAGTAGAACTTTTGACTTAGCTGATCTTACGCTTTGAAGGTCTTTTGCAGTTCTTTTTTTTCTTTCATGAACTCAATTTCTGGGTATACCTTTTTATTTTTAGCCTTAGTCACTAAAATGAAGGGAATAATTATGTTATTTATCAAATAAATTTGACATTTTGTTTCCATTTTTTCCTTGTATTTTGAAGACCAATAGCATTGCATAAAAAAAAAAAAAGAAATACATGACTGGGAGTTTCTTAATCTTTTCGGTACAGGGGAATCTTATTCCTCAATAAAGAATTTCTCACATAGTGACATCAATGTCATTGAGTGAAAAGGATGTGATTTTTTAAATGTTTAATGAGTGCCATAATTAAAAGAACTAAAATAAATTGAAATGGTTAATGTTCAATGGTTCAAGAAAATCTCACTATAACTGTTTTTGGTTTACCATCACACTCTCTCTAACCCTGTTTTTGGTTTACCATCACATCTACCTCAAAAAAGGGTCTTCCTTTGCAGTGTTGCATCTTTCTCATGGATGTCTTACATAAAGAATTCATGTACCCGAAACAAGTAATCAAACTAAAATCTTGTAGCAAAAGAAAGAAATATCTCCATGACAAAGAAAGGAGGAAAGTAAAATAATTGAAGTGCTACAAACAGGTCATTAAATTGAAACATTTCCGTAAAATATGTAAAACACTAGTTTACTAGGTAAAGATTTTCCTATCTTTAGCTGGATCACTAGTGGAAAGCATTTTTTAAACATCTTGAATTCAAAAATTTATTCATAAATTACACATGTTTATAGTTTTCATATTTTTTGTTTCATCTGCATTGGTTATATTTTTTTTGTTTGTATTTTTAATTTTGAATCACATCTTTAAATTTTTTTTATCGAAATAAAAACAAATGGCAAAAGAAGCAAGTATTGGGCCTTGGCTCAAATAGGTCTGTTTTAACCTTGTAAAAACCATCGGTCTGTTTTAACCTTTCTTCTTGGGTAACCAAAAACAGAGTTTTCTTCCTGGGGCTTGGCCTTTAAGCTTTTTAAAAAAAGTGAAAATGTTTGTTTATTTTAAGAAAATTGACAAAGCTTTTAAACTGACATGTTTATTTTAAGCAAAAATCTATTATTTAAGAAAAATTGACATCTTATGTAACTGACAAAGCTTTTTATGAAAGAGTGCCTTTAGGAAAAAAAGATTATTTATTCAAAAAATGATTTGATTATTTATTTTTTGATTTTTTAAATTATTGTTATAATTTTTTAAAGCATATATTCTAATTGAATGAAAAATTCTCCATGAAAAGCTCTAATAAGCGGATCTCAAGCTGAAATAAACATTCATCATGTGACGCTTTTTTATTAGGAAAAGAGCAAAGCAAGTAAGGTAAAGTGGCCTTGTCTAATTTAAACTCAAAAACAGATTTTTTTTATTTTTTTTTTCACAGGTACCCACTATATATTGTACCTCACAGGTATTATTCATTTTGTGAATTATGAATGACTAAATAACAATTTAATCTCACTATAACAAAAGCACACACATTGCATAATAAATACTTATAGTTATGAGACCTTATCGAATTGAATTGTCATATCATATTTATATAGTAAACTTCAATTTTTGTTGATGTTATTTGTTTTTTAAACCAGTTTCTGTCATTTGAAGCATATTATATAGTTTTAGGTTATCCTTCACGACTTCACCTTGAAAAACTTGAAATAAAAGAGGAGTGCTAGAAAGATGCTTTATACCAATAGTTTAATTATCAACCATATGCAATTCAAATACAAAACACCTCTTTTGCGTTATCCTTAAATGCTAATCTTTCATTTGTTCTAAGTCCACTAAAATCCAAGCTCCCATGATTTTATGCTTTGTTCTAGACACCCTCCACTTGTACCGTACCCAAAGCAAAAGCATAAAACTAAAAGCATATGATAACAAAAAATAAAAAAGCACAAGTATATAAAAAAACTCGTTCATCAATTTGCTATAGATAATTTTATTTGTTCACATCATAAAATCGCTTTTAATTGTTCAATCTAGTGGCTTGTTTGGCAACAATGTGAAAAATATTAAATTGAATTAGGGTCTCTTAGTTAGTTAACACACCACTCCACATTAGCCTAGTTACCCAGTCTTCTTTTGCAATTATAGTGTCCTCCACAGACGGCTCTTATGATTGAATGTTCCCTTGGCATCATTCACATACTCTAAATGGATTGAAAACTATGGTTTTATATAAGTGCCCCTTTTGACTACAGAAAAGATTAGTGTTAATTTTGTCAATTTCATAAATATTTAGGGCATTGTTTTAACTTATGAATCATAACTACGTAGCTCACTTAATTTAAGCAATGGCAAAAGTTTTTCAAAGTGGGCCTTCGATCGGAAATTGGAACAATGAGATCAAATTATCTGAAGGCTGTGAAATGTACACGTGATCGGTGTTTAATTAAACATCATCTATATGGATAGCTATTGATGGATAGGTTGATTCACATGCAGTTTTCAGACAAATACAGGACAGCTTATTCTCAATTATTCCTTGTTTGGTTTGCTCAATTTGCATTACTAAATTTAATCAAGTATATATTCTTGCACCTTGTCCTTTCATGAAGATCAAGTATAGGAGTTAAAAAAAATTTGAAGTATATAAAAACAGTGTAGTCTAACTAGTAAATGACCCGTATTGCGATGAAATTACATATTTATGATTGGTTTATGAATACATTTAATGATTTAATTATGTAAATAATATGTAATAATTTTACATTATAAAATATTGTATAAATAAAAGATAAGATAAATATAGTGTATAATGTTATTGGTATAAAAAAAGCTTGTAAGGAATAGGTGGACATGCTCAGATTGGTCAACATAATTCTCTCTCTCTCTCTCTCTATAAATAAAGTTGCAAGAAGATTTGAGAAAATACTTGCTGTGATTGAACATTTGAAACATGATCTTATCCTTTAATTAATTTAGTTAAAAATATTAATCTCAATACTTAAAATTAAATTTAAGCAACTATAATGATATTTTTATTAAAAATAAATAAATTATATAAAAATAAGAAATAACCAATGTTGTTTTTAATAAAAATTATAATATTTAAATATTAAACATTAACTTAAAGATTAAAGTTAACAAAACAAGATTAATTATAGCCACTCATTGTAGAAAGTTATGTATGGTTCCCACCAGCTAGGCTTTTCCTCGAGACAGGGACAGTAAGGCTATCCATCTTTCCTGTAACTATCCATAAAGATTCATAATCAGAGACAATTGAGGCATCGAAGAAAAAGAAAAACTATATTAAGAAGTGATTAAATATATTTCTTATAAAGACAAGATACTAATAATGTCGTAAGCATGATAGATGAAAATATATCCAATTGTATAAAACTAAGATGTTCCAGCTTCATTATCTAATTGTTTGTTGCTTAACTTACGGATAAAAATGCCTATTTTTCAGTTCAAAGATTATTTGGGTTAAGCCAAATTGGTTAGACATGCTTCGTAAGAATATCTTAATTTTGTTCTTATTATTTCTTTATTATTATTATTATTATTGTGAATTGTAAAAACAAAAAATTAAATAACTTATCTTTAGCTGCCTGTGAGAGCATATGATTATTTGACGCAGAGAATTTCTCAGTACTTTGTTTTATTAAGGATTGTTTGGGAAGAAAATTTTGAAAACGAGAGGAGAGAAAGACAAAATTTATATTTTAAATAAATATATTTAAAATTAATATTTTTTAATATACAAATATAAATTAATTTATTAAAAAATTAATATATTAATAATTTATTTATCATCATAAATAATATATAATTTTTTAATTTAAAATTTAAAAATAAAATTAATTGTTTGACCCTAAAACTATATAAAATTAACATATTTCAACTTCGTTCTAAAGATAAAATGCTTATTTTTCAATTTAAAAATTAAATGGGTTAAGCCAATTTAATTAGGCATTATATATATATAATTAACATAATAACTGTTTAATCAACTTGTAGAGTATTTTAATTTTTTTAATTACTATTTTTTTCTATTTCCTATAATTTATCTTGAGCGACATGTTAAGAGACATTTGACACACAAAAATCTCTTTGGTGCTTTATTTTATTAAAAGTTATTTGGAAAGAAAAATTTTAGAAGGAAGAAGAGAGGCGAATAAAATTTATATTTAAAATTATTTTTTTTTAAAAATTAATACATTAAAATAAACTTAATATATTAATAATTTATTTATCATTATAAATAATATATAATTTTTTCATTTAAAATTAAAAAAATACGTCTTTCTCTTTTAAAAATTTCCTTCTAAACATACTTTTAAAGAATATGAATAAAATTTTTATATATTAACTTTATGCATTATTAAAAAAAAAATTACACAAAGAAAATCTGGTTTAATTAACTAGATGTGTAGTTTATATTTTTTAAGGCTTCACTTTTTAACTCCAATACCCCATCAAATTTGTTATATTGTCAATGATTGACTAAGTTGTTTATATTTTAAATTTGAGATTATTTAGCACAATGTTTATTTGTTTATAAAACTAAATTTCGTACCTTGCAAAATACGTGAGTTTACAAGTTATGTAATATTGTCAAAGAAATGATTCATAGTTTAATAAATAAGAGTTTTTTATTTGTATTAATCAATATGTTGATAAAAATATAAAATTATTTATTTAGTACCTTAAATGTTTGCTTAATATGAATTTAATTATTGAAAAATAAGCAATATGAAATACGTTTTTCATGAAGCGTATTTGATAAAATGTGTCCATGCAATGTTCATTGTGCGATTATCATATGTTATTGGTATTAAATTAAATGTAGTTTTAAAGATGTAGACAAAAATTCCGAAATGGGAACGGTTGATGCATAGGTAATGATAAAAGGAAACAGCAATAGAAGTGGTTGTAAATGCATACAAGTTGAAAAGAAGAAGAAAGGGTGGAAAAGAGTCCTGTAAAGGCAAGAAACTAAACATGTCAAAAAGGGTCACAATTGGGAAAGATCAAAGCATCCACCAAAGCAATCTAAGACGAAGAAAGAGTAAAGCAAAGAAACTGCGACGAACCAAGCCAAAATTAAGGAAGTCCTCAGACAACTTTTGTCGTGATGTCAAAGTGCAATTCCTCACGCAAACTAAGGAAAGGAAACTACCCAGAAAGAGAAACCACCTCAATTTTTACACTATGTATGCCATGAGCACAATATGAAAATATAAGCATATTTTTTAATGGTTGAGACTTCTTAGTCTATTTATAATTAAACATTATTTTTTATTCATAAAGTTTATAGCAGAAAGGAGTGAAATTGAATAAAATAATAAAGAATTTATAAATTTAAGAAGTATTAGTTATAAAAAGTAAATGTGAAATTTAATATAAAAATTAGAAAAAGAGAAAAGAAAGAGAGAATCACAAGGCACATCAGGTTTTCTGAGACTCTGACCAAAACTCAGACTCTGCCTTCTCTTCTGCTGCAAATAGTTTTCCTTTCTCTCTCTTTCTCATATATTGTTTCTTCTTTCAATGCTCCGCTGACCCCGCATCACTCATCATTCAATGCCTCATTCATTGCCCCTTTTTCAAATTCAAACCAATTTCACCCCTCTTTTATTTGTTCATTATTACACTCTAAATGTAAATTTAATTATAACATATTCTCGCCATTTCCATTACAAAGCTTTCACGTGACTTTTGCTGTAATCTTCAATAATACTCACATTAAACAGCTAACTTAACCTCATGATAATGAATTTTTACTTACAACCCATAAAAGAAAGATACGAAGTTTCATTCAATAGAAAAAAAGTCCCTCGTTTTTTTATAAACCTGCATTGTTAGTGCACACTTCCACAACTTTTCACCCAACCTTTTCAAGTTTCATTAGTAACAGTTCAGTGCTTACGGCTTACACAGCAAAAAAGTTTTCTTAGTTTGTATAAACGCGATATCATCATCTATTTAATGAAAGTAACTTAAATAAAACACCATAAGTATGTTTTGGGTTATTTTTTAATTAAAATTAATTGCATGATTAGTTCAACATCTGATTATACAGTAAACACGCGATTAAGTGTATGTTTGAGTTTACGTATTTTACCACTGAATTTACATTTGTTGAGACGCTACCAATATTAACTTTCACGTTTTCAACGCACTATAAGTATCTTAAACGTACTTTCAAATGTAATTCAGCATCTAAAACAACCTTAACTACGTGTTTGCATTTACGTTTCTTTTCATATTAACAATAAACTTATGTTAGATGACGGCTAATAAATACTCAAACATTGAACATGAGTCTCAATTGCAGTTTAAAAATAAATCAAAATCATGATAAAACGTGAAATATAAATATACACTAAATTGTGTTAAAATCACAAACAATATACATAATATTACCCCAACCAAATATATGCTAGACTTTTACGTTAGTAAGTGTAATAAAAGTTAATATTAAAAATAAAAAAAATTATAATGGTTCACACCTAAATTATTTTCCTATTTAGCACCTACTATAATGTACTTGTGTTGTTATATAAATTTTGAGTATGAGCCTTAAATAAATTTTGAGTATGAGCCTTAAATCACGTGTGTATCGTATTAACTAAACAAAAGTAAAGTAAGAATTATTAGTTGCATCCCCTTCTGATTCATATTTTTCTCTCCATTCCGTATAGTATATCTGACACTTGGTGGACACGGCACCCCATAAAAGCAAAGGAAAGAAAGAACAGTGATTGATTAGAGTGTATAAAACCCCACACTTTCATTCCCTTCTTCCCGCTTCCACACTCCAATTACCATTTTTATTCATTCTTACGATTTTCTCTTTCTCTTATGGCTTCTCACTCCACCTACGGATCCGACTCGACAACACCCAACACAACTTTCGTCCAAGCCGACCCATCAAACTTCCGTGCCGTCGTTCAGAAACTCACCGGAGCATCCGAAGACCCTTCAGCGCACAAACTCCCCCTCACTCTCCCCACTCGCCTCGCAGCCCAATCCCACCGCCCCGCCGCCGCAGAGGTAATCGGGCCGAAAAAACCGAACTTTAAGCTGCACGAGCGGCGCAACGCGGCGGCGAAGAAGCTGGAGCTGAGCATCGGGGTGTCGGAGAGAGCGGTGAACATGAGCGTGTCACCTTGTTCTTTGGTTCGAAGCAGAGCGTTGTTGGGTGAGAACATGGTGATGGCTTCGCCTGTTTCACCGTTGGAGTTCTTGGCGCGTGCAAGTCCACGAACACCAAAGTCACCCGATGAAGAAGAAGAAAGAGCGATTGCAGAGAAAGGGTTTTACTTACACCCAAGTCCAAGAGCTTCTCAACCACCTGAGCTATTGCCCCTTTTCCCTTTGCATTCTCCCACTCATCACAACCACCCTCCTCTTTCTTCCTCTTAATTTCTTATATTATTCTTGTGAGAATTTTATTTTATATTGTTTTGTTTTTAACTAATTAATTACCAGTTTTTTTGGTTTTTGGTTGAATTAATGGAGTTGTATTCTCCATGTTGTAGAGACTTTGTGTATGTGTAGTTGTAGTGTCACTGTTTCTGTTGTTTCTACGTTAACAAACTTGTTCATCACTCCCACTCTTTCAATTTTCTTTTTCAGTATTTGGAATATTAATGTGGTAGCAGAATGGGAATTCAACACTGCATTGCTTTTACTTAGAAAGCGATTAATGGTTGAAGCCAGAAAAATCAATGCAGCTCAATGTATATAATGTTCTCTCCTTGACTAGATGATGTTTCAATGCGTGTAATAAGAACATGTTAATTGGATTTAGATTCGTGGAATTCCCAATACTCCTCTTTTCACTACATGAATTGTCAATTTTTTGGTAATGCTCTCATGTGACACGTGCTTTGTTCAATTTAGAAAAACTAATCAATTTTACTTTTGGCACTACAAAAAAAAACATTTTTTTTTATAATTACTCTACTTTTTTAAAAAAACTAATATGTTTATCTTACATATTTAAAAAAAAATTAATTTTAAAAATATTGATTAGTTGGAAAATGAGTGGTTGTGAAGTTTCTTGAAATTAATTTTATTCAATTTATAAAGGTTAAAATTTTGTAACTAGACAGTTACAATATTACTGAAATGCTTCGTTTCCGTTGACCTAAGCGGCATTTTTCTCTTATCCGTACGGCCAATTTGTTTTGTTAGTGTTTGGCTTTGCATTAAATCATTGGAATTGTTCTTACATTAATACATTTGTTTTTTTGTGGATTCTGAAATTAATTTCATAAAGGACAAAGTTTAGTATGAAAAGTACATTATTTTTTAATTCCTATTAAATGAAATTGGTTCATGTCAATTCCTCTCTAGCTTCGTGGTTTGTCAATAATTCTTAAATCACTGAAGCCTCACTCAAACACTGCATAGAACACAAAGTGTTGATGTATGTATTTAGTAAGAAGTTATATGTTTAAATTTATTAATTTATTTGACAAGAAATTTTGTGTTTAAACTTTATTGTGTAAACATTTTTTTTGGAACAAGTAACAGTAATGAACTGTAAGGAAAAAAAAATCAGTTTTTAAGAGTAATTTTAATTTTTATTTTAAAAATAGTTTTCTATTTTTAAAAATAAAATACAATATAAGAAATCAAATATGTTCTAAATCTTTTGAACTTTAAAATATTTTATGATCTCTACTCTTAAAAAAATAATAATATTAAATAGAAATGATTTTTAATAGAGAGTTTATATTTTAAAATCATTTTTATTCAACAAATAAAATTTAAGCCTAGATGCATTTTTATATATATTTTATGAGAATTTTATTTTAGTTTCTTATTTATTTAGAAAATTATACACTCATAATCATTGTATGAGATGCGGATGCTTTATTACTCAAACTGTGTTTGACAAGGAATTTAAAATTAACTTTTAATTTATGTGACTATTTTAAAAACTTGATTAGTCAATTAAATCAGTTTGATGAATTAGTTTATTTTAATAGTTTATAGTATTTTAATTATACTCTCTTAAATGCTATTTTTATAGCATTGAAAGTTATAAATCTAAAGTTATTGTTTTACCGAACATACCCCTAACCAATTTTATACCCTTATGTCATTTAATATATTAAATTTAAAATAAAACTATAGTTGTACATATTACAGCATAGAACTAATATTGTCCAAATTATAAATAATAATAATAATTTTTAAATTTTACAAATCACCATATATAACTGATCAATGTTTGTTAATATTGTATTTTTTTTAATACATATTAGATATTGTAAGCTCTAAACATATAAGTTTATTATGTTGTATTCGAGTTATTTCGAAAATTAGAATGTTTGTTGTAAATACCAAAACATGTATTATATTTTTTAATTGATTTATTATATTATATTTAGTTTACTGTTTTATTTGTCGTATTTTATAATTGAGATGTAGAATAGTTTTCTATTTAATTAAAATATCAATAAGTGGTCTAAATTAAAGTATTCAAATATTTATAAAATATGAAAATGCATGATCAAGTGTATATTTGAGAAGAGAATTTTGAAGGAGAAAATATATTTTTCAACTTTAAATTAAAATAATTATATATCATTTATAATTATAAATGTATGATTAATATATTAAAAATATGTTAACATATCAATTTATAATTATAATTTTGAAAATATTAATTTTAGATATATTTATAGATGATTCAAGTTTGGGGTTTCGCTTGTTTCATTTGTAGACGTGACTGAAAAGTTTAATCTGTCACCAGCTTTAGCTAAGAAGATGTTAATTTCTCATTCATGTACCAAAAATAGTTCTGCTAATCAAAACTGAAAATGGTGAGTTTTTTTTAGGCTTAGTTGTTAAAGTTTGAGGAAGATGAGTCTTGAAAGCTTATCAGGATCAATATATATTTCATAAAGGTCTTTGTATTTATAATGAAATTTAAATTTCACATTTTTATACAGACTACAAATTTAATTCTTAACAACTGAATTATCCTTAATTAACATTCAAAACATTGAGTTGATATAAGAACAAAATATCTCTAATTGAAAAGTTGATTTTACCCTCAATAAACAATAACACTAGACATTTGATTAGCAGCTAATCTTAAATCCTAATAATAAAAACTTGTATTGAATTTTAGATACTGTCTAGTTTTAGAAAAAAAAAATCTATATATAATTATAAAATTTTTATTTATTTTAAAATGTTTATATAAAATATTATTTTTTATTTAATGTAAAACTTAAAAATTAGAAAAGAATAACAATTTTATAAGTAAAAACAAACAACCTCTTTAATTTAAATTTATTTATTTTTACCTTACATCTACTTTATTTTAAAAGACAAATAAAAATTCAAACTTACGATATGATAAATGTTAAATGTAAGTTTCTCTCTTACACCACTAATTTTATTTCTTATCTATAGTCATTTACGTATTAATCTCAGTTATTTACATTACTAAAATTTGTCAACTGCTAACTTTAATTGTGTTTCTTACAATTCCAACTTACGGTTATTTGATTGCACTTTGAATGCATAAGCAATAAATAAACAAAGTTATTATGAACTCATTTTCATCCCTAATATGGATATACTACGTTAAACTAATATTTAGGAACGAGGTATAAGGTCTCTGGTTTTAGTTAGACTACACAATCATTACCAGTGTCCATTTCACAATCATTGCACCACCAACTTCTATTTGGTGTATTACGTGAGAATATAGAGGAAAACGCGTCTTCTTAATTTAGTGTCCGCTTGAAAATTACCCTAAATTAATCAATTCATTCTATTGTGAAATACTAAGGTTTAATGAGAGACACAAAAGTCAAGAAAAAATTTTAAAAAATGAGAGTGGAACATGGATTAGTATTTGGGTAGAAAAGATTGGAATCCATTTTACATTTTCCTTTCACAATATCATGCAATAAATTAAAGGCAAAGAAGTTATCATTTCTTATTTATTGGGTTACCTTTAAAATTTAAGTACCTTACTTAAAAATATTGAATTTGAAAATATCATTTATGATTTGCAGTACTTTGAACTGTAATGATTCTAATATAGATAATTTTCTTTATATTAGTGTAAGTTTAAAAATTTTATATTTAATTTAAATTTTTTATTTAATTTATATTTAACGGTTAATAAAATAATAAATTATAACCCGTTATATGTAAATTAAATAAAAAATTTAAATTAAATATAAATCCTAAATCCTAAACTCTAAATAAAAAATTTAAATTTAGTGTAAGAAGATTATACCCATTCAAATATTGAAAAAATATATATGTGCCCTTCATTTGTGATCATTTTTTTCAGCTCAATCATGTCGGTTTTTCCTTTCAGGATAGGATTTTGTTTGGTATCACTTTCTAAAATAAATTGAAATTGAACACATCTCAAATAATAGGCACGTGTAACTATCATTCTTAATTTTATAAGAATAATAAGAAATAGCCTTTTTCCTTTCATTTCTATGAAATATATATACTCTCGTAACAACTATATGTATTTACCATAATCCACGAATACAAATAATCAAACATCACCTGTAGACAAAAAAATATTAACAATTATTTTCAAAAATTTCTATATTATTTTATTTATTCATTTATATTGTATTATTTATTATATATTTTTCTCTCTTTTTTCATATTTTCATCTCCTACATCTCATTTTTGAGGTGCATGGTTGATATTATTAAAAAAATATAATAACATACGACGAAGGTGAACAGAAAAAGCAAGAAAATCTTCTGAAAAATAATTGCACTATTGACTATGTATTTTTCAAAAAAAAATGTAAGAGAAAACAGTTTGTTCAGATTTTCGTTTGAAAGTGATATATTTGCTTCCACAAAATTTATGATTATCGAATATTTCTGGTGACCTGCTTTTACCCATTAGGCTAGAAATGTTATGTATAAGTCCTGATCTTTTGTTATGCATCTTAACTCGATTTGGACATGTTGAAATGATGATGAAGATCATTAGATAAATACTTCACTTGGACTGTGATATAGTATCTCATTCTAAAAGAGAAAACAATCCTTGAACCGTATTCTTTCCCTGATTGTTTGGGTAGCATTTCATAATTTAGGGTCCCTACAAGTGATCAAATCACTAACACAGTCCTGCATAGATGCATGCATATAACCCTAGTGCTATATTAATTCTTCTTATTATGTCACAGGTTTCTCTTCTCAGTTACATCAATTGCCAAGTTGTTTCATCATAATTAGGTGCATGAATTTTATTAGTAGCCGTGCATTTCCCTCAAAGTAATTGGAGATGAGAATGTAATTTTTCGTGTTTGATTACAATTTGTTGTAGTAATTTGTTAATTTGAGTTAAACCAATTAACTTTACGTTCAACTATTTGTTTTCACTCTTTTTCCCAAATTAAATAATATGGGGATGGGGCTTGGAAATTATCTTTGACGCATTTAACTTAGGTGCTCAAAGCAGTGCACATAATTATCTACATGTCGAATTCAAAGATCTTTGTTGAAACCAAAAAACGTATGACACATGACAATTTTCATGTTACTAATTGGGCTATGCATATACTTCATAAAATGATGATAACGAAATCATATTCCACGAATTTTGTGGCTTTGTTACTGATTGAACAATTAAATAAGCGTATCTCCCAGAATCCAACAAAGAAAGGTGCATAACGTCTAATATAAAATATAAAATATGTTGAGGTTAATCACTCCAATAACTTAGGCCCTTTTTGATCTTCTCTTTTTTGACAAATAATATTCAGGGAACCCACCATCCAAAAGTCACAAACAGATATGATGCAGCATGATGATTATAATGATTGCTCTGAATTTTCACCTTCAAGCTATTCTGCTATGCGGTGGTTATAACCCACCCAGATGTGATGTGCCTCATCTTTATTTGGCAAATTCTTTTAAAATATTCATAATTAAAGCAAAACTATGCCCTGATGTATACGCCTCAAAATACCCCTACCCCTTCTTCATCAGCCCACTAACAAATAAGTTAAATTTATTTAGCTTTGAGCCCCACTTATTTACTGCAGAGTAATTCATAACATCCTCTAATAATTTTCTCCTAAAAATATTTAATATTTTAAAAATATAACAAACTTTCAATGCCTACAAGTTTAAACCTACGAGTAACTGACATGACATATTTAAAAGACTTATTACAAAATAAGTTTTTGGGACAAGATAATTTTTTAAAAAATTAATCTTTTGATCCAAACTAAAAGTGTCTCATAAAAGGTAATTAGAATTATTATAAACCGTAAAAAAAAATTTTAAAAATATTTAATGCAGTTATATTTTTAAAAAGTTAAACCTGAGTTTATTGGTTAAATTATAATAACTTCGTATTAATTAATTCACGCGCTGAAAGTTAGAAATTTAAGTTGAATATTAAAATAATTACACTGAATAAGTAAGTCAAATTTAAATTCTATGCAACTGAAATAAATAGAAATGTATTATTCTCTCACATTTGGACTTTTGAGTGCGGGTAACAATACATGTGATATGACTGATTTGGTTACCTATCATGGTATTCAAAATGGGGTCAAGTGTTGTGGATTTTTATTTTTAGCATCCCTCAGGCAATCAGCCCATAAAAGACTTGATACCCTTGATCAAGTCACAGAACTAAGGTTGATTCATAACAAAAAAGAAAAAAACCAAAAGTTGATTTATAGTCTTTAGATATGTTTCGGAAAGAATTTTAATAGCATTTATTTAATAAATTCTTATTACATTTGGCAGTTTATGATAGAAATTTATGTTGTTGCTACCACTTCTTGAGTCATGAGTCAACCTTAAGTCATAAATCATAATCATATTCATAGCCTCGAAATTTATTAGTCAGTTGATAAGAAATGCAGAATACTTTTGAGAATTGAGAAAAATAAATCCCAATCAACACACCTTAAGAAATATTTTAAAATAAAAAATCATGTTGAACTAATAACAGTTAATTATAAGGGTACACTATGGTAAAGACTCTTCCATCTCCATATAATCAAAGCCCACGAAACATGAACTGGGCTTTGTCACTTTGTCATCTTAACAAAGCCCATGAGAATATGAAAAAACTCAAATGTGAAGTTATTTTGTTCCTAAAGGAAGAATGAAAAGCAAGAGGCTATGTTCAATTCCCGAGGTGAAACTATCCATGCCAAAGAAAAAACTACAAAAATACTAAAATGAACTTTCCAATTAGCTTTTTATTGATAAAGCAAAATTTCTTTAGTATCAGGACAAAACTTACCATATAGAGAGAATAAACAAATCCCGAATGGACTTATTATATTAACAAAAACAAAATGAATTGAATGACCAAGATTCTAGGCCAAGGAGTAATATACTATATTATCAACAATATGATGTCAAGAACTTTGGCCAGAAACACTCAGATGGAGAAATGATATTGGAGCATTGGTTATTCGTATCATAACTCTATTCAACGAACAGAAGCACATATGGACTGCTGCTGGTTGTACAATTCTGTGACACCATTTGTGATCTTTTGCCTGTTTTTTCTCCTCTTTGAGACAACTATAAACCCTTCACCATCTGCATTCTTTTTGTCAGTTACTTCTAAATTTTCTTGATCACTATCACTGGAATGAGGCACTTTTTTATTCTTTTCTTCATTTCCATACAAAACTTTTATCACAGCACTGTCTTTGGCTATTTCATCATCAGAATTTTCCAAGTTCTCAACCTTTCCTTCACTATCCTTAGATTCATCCATAGAATCAATATTTTTCTTGACAGATTTTACTAGAAAACTGAGCAATATCTGCCTTGCTATCTCTAACTTCTCAGATTCAGAAATACTTTTTTTTGTGGAACTTTCCTTGCCTAAAAAATTTTCATCTAGCTTATTTTTTTCCGCTGTGCCTGAGTCAGACAAAGAGTTATACTCATTGGAAACATTTGAATTGGCATCACTGGTTTCTACTTGGGAAGCGCTTCTGGGAACAAACTCAGGTGCATGTGGATTCATTATTCTTGGAGACCCAAATCCACTTCTTTCCTTGATAGGAGTTTGGCTTTTAGTAAAACCATGCTTCATCCGAAAAGTATAGTTGGTTCTGTAATATAGAGGTGATCTAGGCCCACAAGGTACCCTAGCAACAGTATGGGGTAGCACAGGCTCCACAAGCATGCCTTGACTAGAATTTGTATCATACATGTTTGTGAAGGACACTGAATTTAAATGGTGAGACATTGACGACGTTCCTGGATTGAATGGCTTGGCTGCAGCTGAAAGCTTGGTGCCATTTGTTTCTGTAGGCTTTGCCTGATCAGAAGTAAGGGAAGCCTTCTCCAGTTCTGATGCAGAATTTTCTTGTTGAGGTTCAATTTCATGAGTTCCCTCTGCTTCATCATGCTGAGAAACTGGATTAATCATGGAACTTTGGCAAGTAACTTCATTGATTGGTGTCAAGGGTGGACTGCTGCATATCTCATTTTCAACATTAACCTTGTCCATCTCAACCTTTTCCAACAATGGCTTTAAAACTGTACCTGGAGGTGCCAGAGCAACTTCTTTGTATGATATAGACTTGGAAGCCAATGAAGTTAGAGATGGGGGAGTAGATGAAATTTTGGACACAGAACCTTTTGTTGGATGGTTAACAGAATCCTCATTCAAAGTTAAGTTTCGAGCTTTTGGTTGCCTAGATGGAGATGATAAGTCTGACATGACTTTATAAACTCCTCTTTGTGGTGGTGAAGTAATATCATTTCTAAAACTGCTTTCCTTGTAAATGTAATTATCAGAACTGTTAATGCTGAGCTTTGATAGAAGAGGTCGCTTTCTGCGTCCTAACTTGCGATTAGCAGCATTTCCTGACCTCGCTTTTGAATTGGCTTCTTGCCAACCTTCATCAGATGGTATCTCAAAAACAGTTTCACTTGTCACTGGGCTGTCCCTAGTGAAATCACCATTTTCTTTTGGTTCTTCAGAATCAAGTGTGCCATTTGCTTCTTCTACATTTCCTTCTACCACACTTGTATTATCTTTTGGGTTATCAAAAAGAACGCCCTCATCAGCTATTGCATCATCATGTTCTTGACGGTTATTATCACTTATTGGGAGTATCTGGAAACATAAAAGCAACAAGTCAAATGCAAAATAAGGTAAAATGACATAAGAACTTTTCAAAATTACTTCTAATTTGAAATTAAACTCTCATAGTACTTCACCTAGAACTATAAGCTAACTCCAAAAGAATGTAATAGGTTCCATGCCGTTCAAACTTGACTCTAATAAAGGAAAAAACTTCCAAAATCTTTGGAACATAGTCTTCTTGTTTCCCTTAAGGACAGTACTTAATGGAAGGCACGTGGGCAATGAAACTGGAACAAGAGGTGTTTATTCAAGAGAAGAGCATATGTTACCGTAGCATATAATCAGAACGTAGTATAAATTTGATTAAATAAGTACTGGATCCGTTAGTTACAAGAAAGGCCTCAAAGGCAAATGCAATCTAGTTATTTGTAAGATAAACAACATATAGAAACATATTTTCCCACCTTTGCACGCCTCAGTTTTCTCTGAGCATCGTTTCCCTTTGAATCATTATCAGGACTTATAAAATCCATTAGATCTGACACACTGCATGAAAAAGATCAAATATATTTGTACCCTGAACTATAGCCTATTTGAAAAACAGTAAATGGGGGATACCATGTTAGTACCTAAGGTGACCTTTACTTGCAATGGATGCATCTGGCTTTGGAATTCCATTTTTAGCTGCCTCTTGTTGCTCTATGGCTTTTGATTCAAAATATTCAAGCCACGCGGCAGCATCCTGCATTGGAAAGAAAGAGATTTTTTTCAAACAATGGTAACACTAGTCAATACCATCTATCAACCCCCATATTATGCCAATCCTTAATTCAATCCTGGATAGGTATCAAACTGCAATAAGAAAGGGAATGACCTGTGTACGAAGGTCTTCTGATCCAAGCTTTGCTTTAAGTATCTTTAGTGTAGTTTTCTCATGTTGCACACTCAGAGAATATGCATCCATCAATGAAAGAGCTATAGCTATGGCGTGATAGCTTGCAGCAGTCTATAACATAAAAAATACTGTATAAAACACTCTTCCAACTATATGAGAAGAGGGTGATGAAGAGAGAGAGAGAGAGAGAGAGAGACCTGTATATGATCAGCTCCTAACAATCTTTTGTTGCATTTAAGAGCTTCATGCAAGTATCTAAGCGCCACATGAACATTTCCCATGCCCTCCTCCATCATGGCCACATTTATATACGTAGCAGCTGTGTTAGGATGAGACAACCCACATGTAAAATGAAGAAGGAATAGAGCACGATTAACATACCTGCCAAAAGATACATTTAGTTCAACGAGAAAATATTAACTTCCTGAACAATAACTAGAAAGTCATAACTTAAGCATCTAAACCAATTTAAGAAAGTGTAACTTACTTCAGAGCCAACTCAATGTGTTGCAGACGATAATAAAAAACAGAAAGATCCCCATAGCTTTTCATTGTGTCAGGATGGTCAAGCCCAAGCTCTCTCTCATTTATATCCAAGGCCTTTTGCTGATAAATGGTGGCCTAAATAAAGAAAGAATATAACAATAATCAAATAAAAACCAGACCTTCTACCATTTCACTACATAAACACACCACACAGCCATGTAGCACTTCCTCAAGACCAGGCATAAAAACCATTGATTCATTATCATATGTAGGTTCTGCAAGTCTATTACATGTTTTTCCCTTTATTCTTTGTTTCTTCTCTTTCCCCTTGTAGCTTAGGACAGAAGAAACAGTATTTTCATCACTGCTCGGCTTAAACCAAATATCAAGAAAAATTATACATAAATATTGCAGATTTCTACATTTGAGACATGAATCTGAAATATTCTTTACCTGGTTAAAATCACCAGTGTGGTAGAGAACCACAGCTAGAAGACTATATGCACTTGCAGTATTCCTATGATAGGGGCCACAAACAGCCATCATCTTAGCTAATGCCTGCAATATGATAATATTGTCAAAAAAACTGCCATATTTGTAAACAGTAAACATAGAAATGATGCATCACGCAGAGAATGAAGAAAATGATATGTACCTTTGTTCCAAAATTCACAGCATCCTCAAGCTTTCCTTTATCAAGAGCAATCTTGGATGACTCCAATAAATTGCGTCCATCTATTGAGGAGCACCCTACATGCTGTAAAAATAAATTATGTTGTTTGCAAATGGTTCAATGAGATGATATTTATTGAGTTATACATTTGGACTAAAACATGAGCTCACCTTGCAAACAGGAACCAGGCTGATAATATCATATTTCCCAAAGGGGTTATGGGACTCCATGTCATAATCTCTTGGGAATAATTCCAATCCGACCTGAGAAAACAAAAAGAATTGCAATTAATACAACAACAACCAAGTCTTATCTCATTAGTGAGTTCAGCTATATAAATCACACGACACCATTGACTTCAGTGAAAAAAACTAAATTTTCAGAAATTTGGTTAATAGAGCAAAAGAATAGAACAAGAAGTCAAAATGCTTATACCTTGTGACAGAGCCCTCTGAGAATTGATAACTTCCTCAAATGTTGAAATTCATCATTTAATGTCCATCCAAATCTCTTGGACAAAAACAAACGTAACCACTGAATTTTGAGATTATGGTCATCACCCAAGCTTTGGTCAGTATCTTCTGTTCGACACCCTCCTAGTAAGAAATTCAGTGTTGATGCAATGACTGCAGATAGGTCTGCTACATCGTCATCAGATGCAATAACTGCTTTAAGTAGATGCTTGAAAGCTCGAGTAATCATCTCATGAATACAAAGAGATTGTATGTGTGGAAGATTCTCTGCAAGTTTAACCTGGTTCATTCATGGAATTAGAACCATCAAAAACAAACTATATTACCAAAACTAGTTCAACTAGTAGTGGTACATTCATTCATAAAGATGCTTTAGAGAATAGAAAGAACATTGCTAGAAAGATGTTTTTAGAGGAAACAAGGAAATAGAGTATTTTTCTCACCACTTTACCCAATGATCGCATCTGTAAACCCCTTAGATGCATAAAGTCGGTGAGTGTACGACCATCCACTGGAGAAAGTTCAAGTGATCCGAAGTCTGTAGCCTAAAAAGGTAATACATTTGGTGCTTAATTCATGTCTACAACCTTCATGTTATTCAAAGAAATGTAAAATACTTTGAGAAATTTATGTAATGTTACCAGCTTTGGCAAGGCAATTTCATCATAAAACTCGTGTGCCATGCTGATAAGCTCATCCACTGACTGTTGCAAGAAAAAACTAATTGAAATAATGGTACAAAAGATATGAAAGACTCAAGATCATAAACATGGGAACTTATATATTGCCCAAAACAAGCTAAAATATAGAATATATAATAAAAAAATTTAAAAATTAAAATAATCACAAGAGATGTAAAGAAAGTACTGGTTCATTTTCAAAAATATAAAATAAAGAAAAACCAGTATCAATATGAGAATAAACCAATATGAAGTATAACAATATTCAAAATATTCTGCAAACCTTCATATGAAGACCAGTTCCAGATTCTTGGAGACGCAAAAATGCTTCTTTAGAAAGTAATTTCTCTAATTCATTAGAGTTATTTAAGTCACCATTATTCAGCTCAACGTTATCAGCAGTGAAGTTCATATTTCCAGGTATAGAGTCATTTTGCTCTACAGAATCTGCACCATCTAGATTACTTGATTTCTTTTCTCTCCTCTTCAAAAATTTAAATTGCTTTCCAAGGCCTTTAACAGCTTCCTCAACGTCATTGCCATCTTCTTTGTTTTTTTTGGAACTGTTATCTGTTGAAGTTTCCTGTTTTTGCAAATGCTGCATCCAACAGGAACCAAGCTCCCATCGAATAGACCTTTTAGAAACACTCGGCTCCTCCTTTATCTTTTCTATGCATTCTTGAACCACCTTCCGAACAAGATATTTAGAGGCATTTAAGTCATCCAAATTTGATAGGGATGATAAAGTCCCTTCTGATGATTCAGTTCCAGACTTGTGAAGCAAGTGCCTCAAACTGCAAAGGTCATAAAAATGTGTCAGACATCATCCCAAATTGATATTATTAATCTATATGGATAATACTGCTTGCATCACATATAGAGAAAGATAAAATAAAATGTCTTTTCTGACACACGACTTATTTAGAAGAGCTTATAACACCCATAAGCTCTTTTAGTTTATTTCAACAAGTTTCTTGATATAATCTATAAAAATAAGTAGTTTAAAGCCTAAGTAATTGTTTAAAAAGAGCTTATTGAATGAGTGTTAAATAAATTGTGTATCCAAACCCACCCATAATAAGTAATCTAGAAGTGCTCCCTTAAGATCATCCACAGATAACATTTACAGAATAAATTATTGTTCATACCTGTTGATGTTGAGAGCATTCGCTCCTCCATCTGGCTGATCATCTATTTCAATATCTCGAACTTTAGGTTTCCTCAAGTTCACATTACCAAAAACCTTTACAATTGCAGTATATCCACAGTGGTGTACAACAACAGAAGCCAAGGAAGAAGTATCCTGTAATCACCACGGCACAAAAAATTCCAAAACCTTCAATCATAGTGTGCGTGTGTATATACCTAGCTCAACATATGCATAAACAACTATAACCTTGCAAGAAGGATCTATGACTTACATGAACAATTACACTTTCATCTGCAGTCAACCCTTTGATTAAATTCTTCTGAGCATCCTCCTTATGCATGCTGGATTCATCCAACACAGAATCATACTTTCTACATCCATCCTGAATGCCACGTTTGACTACAATGGATAAGTCTCCCACGTGATCTTCGTGCAGAATAGAACCAAGAGAAGAATTCAACCCATTCTTCACATTTGACTTAGATTCTATAACAAGCTGTATAGCCGAGACAGCCTTAAATATTGAGGTATCAACAAACAGACTGTGAAGCAGAAAAGCTTTTCTATCTCTGATCACCCTCTCCTCCTCAGTTTTGCAAGGAAGAGAGGCCAGTATTGCAAAATCTGTTGCCCATGGTCTATGATCAAATTCACCATTTCTTCCTTGGCCACCACCATTACCACCCCAGTTTTCATCCTCAGCGGGTAATGCAGCAAAGTTTGAAGGAGACTCAGGAACAGATGGAGGAACAAGCCATGTATTTCCTCGGAATCCATAGGGAAGATTGCCAAACTGAAGGAGATAAGTTGTTAGACAAACACATTTTTCAAAAGATTTCGTAAATAAACAATTTATTGGAGAAAAAGTGAACCTTATTACGATCCAAAAATGCTTTCATTAACGATTCATATGCCTGCATTCATCAGTCATTTGTTAGAATCACTAACTAAACATTAAATTACTTGCTTAAGATTAAAAAACTCATAATTAGATAAAAATTCAGTTTTTTAAATGTATAATTAAGAACACATTTTATAAGAACTTGGCATAATAAACTTCTATTAAAAATAACAAAATATCACATGATTTAATTGTTAAAGTCACTATTTTTTTAACTCACAATTTTTAATAAAAATATACCTTTTTTTTATTTCTCAATTTCATACTTTTAAACACAAAAAAATCTTGAATAATTAAGCATACATATACATGCGGTGGTATTTTCTTATAGCTTGAGTGCTTGACATTACTTTATTTCTTTTTTACTAATAAATACAAAAATAAAATATTATTGTTAATAAAAAAATAAAAATAAAGTAATAGTTTTATAATTATAAATAAACACATGAATAACAGTTTTTAAAAATAAATGAGGAAACAAACCTCATATTATACTTGTGGCGGGGTGCCAAGTAGACATAACATATAAGACACTCATTCAAACACATACATTAAGAAATTAATTTAAACATCAAAGCAAATAAACATAAAACATACGTTAGCAAAACCTCTACTGAGCTGTTGCAGAAGATCAACCAATGTGTGGCACTGCAGAGACTGCTTTCCAACAGTGTAAAACCCTTTCTCCGAGGCAATCACTTCTATTATCTTCCCATTGCATATTTTAACCTTCATCCATCAACATCAATTACACTAATCAGATGCTAGCAAAAGAAAAAGTTTGCAAGAGCAACAATCATTAAACAACGGTCAAAACTACTACAACTAAATAAACAAAAGAGTAAGGCACAACCTGAAGCTGAAAGTAATCTCCTTTATGTCTATCATCTTCATCTTTCAGTTCACATCTCTTCAAATCTGCAAAAGACAAAAATACCCATGTTGCCAAAATCAAAACTTTACTTCCTCTTAAGCATGATCTTCATTGCCCATTATTATTAAGCTTGTGGATTTTCTATGAATAAAACAGAACCTTAAGAAAAACACAAGAAGATTGAAGAGAAAGGAAAACCCACTTATAATCGGGGGAGAGAGGTGAGCCAACGAGAAGAACTCGTAGAAATCTGAGAGCTTCGGCGTCGGGTGAATCGCCTTCATGCCTACGTTATCAGATATCGGCGACGACGGAGGCTCCGACGACGGTGACCCGACCCGGGATTCTCCATTGGGTGTTACGGGTGGGCTCAAATTGATCTTAGTGTTATTTTGGGCCTTGCTGTTTTTCTTGGGCTTTGAGTCTGGGCTTGACAAGCTTCGTTTGGGCTTCCCGAGCCTCGTTGTGCAGGCCACAATGTCCAATAGCCTCCGCACGTGTGCAACTGCATGGGCTTCATCCGTGTAATCATCTGTAACACAGTGGCATTCCCCAAAATTTAGAAACAACTAAACCAAATAGTGATTAATTGATTATAGCTACAAATTACGTGAATCACACCTATGGATACTAATATTAGCAGAAAAAAAAACTCAAATCATGGAGCGATAAAAGTGGAAAAGGTAGAGGAAATGTATAATCAATTTGGTTCTCTATTTTCTTTTTCAGACTAAAAAGAGGTCCTTCAATCTTTATCGAAAAATTGATTATGCATTTAATGTTTAATTTAAACTCCTTAAATTATCTCTTATATTCAGAATTATTACAAATTAAATTGAATTAAATGAATTTTTATTCAAGATTTTAGATAAAAATGATTTCAAATCCTAAATTTATTATAACTGCAAAGTTTTGGATAAAAAATAATAATTTAAAGATTCTAGATTAAAAATTTTAAAAATTAAGTTTACTAGGTTTTAAAATTAAAAAACTTGACTGACTTTGAAAAAAAAAATCAAAACTGCTCTCCGTCCAAACTACAAGACAAAAAAGTGAAATTAAAACTTGCCTAAAAATTGAAAAAGATTTTAAGACAAAAATGGAAAACACGTTATTTTACAAATCTGATTTCGTCTTAATTTTTTAAAAATAATTACCATTTTATTTTTTAAAAATAAATATTGGATTTTTTAAAATTAATTATTTCCAATAAACTAATTCAAACAGAGAGAAAGCTATAAATATGAGATGGCGATGGCAAAGGAAAAGGAAAAGTGGGGTTTGGTAATCCACCGAAATGCAACTTTAATTAATGACAACAACAATTCTCCGCGAATCATATTACGTGTATCACACAAAAATAAATTATCACCGACAAGGAAAATGACAACAATATTTTTATTTTTTCAAAATATTTCCAAGCATGAAAATGTAAAAATAGAGTGAAAGCAACTAGTATAGACACTATTGATTTTTTTATGCATTGTAGTTTTCGCTTGCATGTAAAATATATTAGAAAAACAAATAAAAAAAGTCCTATTAAAAGGTGTTTTAATTGTATAATTTATCACTTTTTAATAAGTGAAATAGGTAAAGACAAGCAATTCTGAGCTCGACTTTATTTTTCCAAAGTATTTTAACTATGGCTCACCAAACATGGTACGTTAATTTGGTCATAAAATATATTCTAAAGAGTGTATATTAAAAAAAGAAAATATATTCTAAGTAGCAATGTCTCCTCCAATATGGAAGGTAATGAAGAGCACGAAAATCATAAGTTTTATGGCAGGTTACTCCACATGTCATTTTGCCAAAAAGGAGGTGCAAATGACTATGTATCTAAAAGAACAAATAAATATTTTCAGTCTATGAAACAAAACACGAATTTTGGAGTTAATATTGTCACGTGATTTATGGACGGGACAATCCCCACAAACACCGTGAAATTATTCAAACGATGATTTAGAAGATAGAAGAGACTTTGACATTAGTGATCAATGACCATAAAGTCTTAAGATGGCATTAGCCATGAGCATCAGATTCCACAGAAAGTTGTTGGTTTTCTCCTGAAAATCTCTACAACAGTACTACTTCTAAGTAAAAAAAAATTTAAGATTCAAACTAGAAATCATAAATTAAATTAAAACAAATTTCTATTAGATGATCCACATACTTAATAGTGTTAAGATTAGATTTAAGAAATTAATAATAATAAAATAGAATGATTTTTTTATTAAAATTTTGTCTGTGTTAAATGCTTAAGATTGAGATTAATAAAGATAATAATTGCTTGCATTCTACTTCATCACATCTTTCTGCAAAAACGATAGGGCAGCATTGACTACAATTTATAGGGTAAAGCACCATTACTACCTTCGTTATTTATACACACCTCTTTAGCCATTCGATCAGCCTTAAAAAGAAACAAGAAATTTGGGATTTATTTTTCTTCAATGCATAATTTGTTCCGACCCCCTTTAACCTCATTACCCTATTTGCTAAAACACAATAAAGCGCATTAAAGTTGCTAAAATATATACCTACAAATGTTAGATTCAACTAAATGCACATGCAAATGAGACACAAATAGTAGTTGATGGCGCTGAATGACAAGTATGCTGACTGCACCTACCTTCAACCATTCTTAGAAGACATGGCTTTAGGGTAACAACTTCCACTCTGTCATTTAATCTTTGACCTTTAGCCTAAAGGAGGAACAACATTGAATCAGAAGAGTATATGTAAGCGATACATAAAGAAAGCTTCAGGGTTTGGCATATTCAGAATAAACTATTAATCCAATGATGAAAAGTATACTCAATTGAATTTAAAAAAATGCCAACCTCGTGAGATAAAGAATAGTTTGTAAAATGGCATGTCTCCACCTTCACAGCCAATAGCCTTCTTACATCAAGTATCTTATCAGTAGAGATACCCTTTTGGAAAACAATAATCATACAAAAATAGTTAGTAATATTGAACCACATTTTGGCTATTAAATACAACCATTTTGGAGAATGTGAAATAACATAAGCACCTTTAAGACAAGCTGTGTGTCATAGGGAGTGACCACAGTGATGTCAACGAGAGAAGGTGCTACTCCTAAAAACATAGAAGAAACAAACGCTGAAGGGTGATTTATTAAGACTATTTAGATAAAAAAGAAGATACATCAACATCAATATCTGATATAGTGATGAATGATGATGTTGAGTATCCACAGATGAAAAAGAGTGTAACCTTTCTCTTCCTTTTTCTTCTTCTCTGTTTTCGCTTTATTTGATTTCCCTTTCCCTGATCTTGGGGCCATTTTCTTTTCCTTTTGGCACAGCCACAGAACAAAAGGAAGTTTTAGACAGAAAGTTCACAACACCCACAAGGGAAAAATCATTACCAATCCCAACTTTGGTTGCTGAAGGAGAAAGTGGAAGGAGAAAAACAAGGTGCGAGTGAATGATGAAGCTAAGGGAAAAGGAAGGAAGAGAGTGAAGGGAAAGACTTTATATGTATAAGAACGTAAAATTTATGTTGAGAATATAATGATATATTGTAAATTGTCTTGAAGAAGATAGGATAAGGGTCATCAAGTTTTAACCTTTTTCAGGATTTGAGAGCAATTCTGGCCTCTCCTTGTTGCTAATAAGTTGATTGCCCTCTCTCTCTCTCTCTCTCTCTCTCTAACTCTCTCTATATATAATATATGTGAATATGAGAAGAGAGAAACCTTATAAGGAAGGGAGAGGAGCCCATGCACTTGGGCTGAGTCTAAAGACAAAACAGGGCAGGGGTAGGGAGAAGCTGACCGTTGATTATTTTGCCACGTGGCAGAGAAGCGTGAGGCAGATGCATTTTTGTTTTATCACATGTTTGGGCCTTTAGGTTTTGGTCTTGTGAGGAGTAATTGAGAACCGTTGATATGACCCATCCATTATTGAAGCCTATGCAGCTAAGCTTGGCATCTTCTAATTGGTTGCTACTTATTGTATTTACTATCTACTCAATCACTTCACTCCATTCTTTGCTCCCCTCCTTCAATCCTTTTCTCATTGTTTGGTATCTTATGCCAGAAGAATAAATCATTTTTAAACCTGTATAATGCTGCATTTAACAAGTTATATATAATAATTTTTTATTAAAACTTATAATATTAAATAGAAATTATATTAAATTACATGTAATAATGATTCAATTACATTAAATTTTATAATTTTATTAAAATTTATTATATATTTTTGTTATGTTTAATATTACAAATTAAAAATAAAAAAATAAATAGCATTAATAATAATAATGAAAGTAAGGAAGAAAGGAATATAAGAACTATATATTCTCTGATAGTATTGTTTAATAGAAAGTAATAAATATTCTTTTTTGGTTTGATTTTATAAAGAAATAATAAATATATAATAAAACTCACAATTTCTTCTCTTTCTATGGAAAGAGAGGATGGAGGGGGCTTGAAACTTAAAAGTTTATCCTTTTTTTTCTTTCCAATATTAAAAGTGAATAATCTTGTTAATAAGTGTTTTAAAAATATTAATTACAAATATTAAATATATTTTATTAAATATTTTTACTATTTATAAAGGGTTATTAAATAACTTTTACATTTCTGATATAACTCTTTAATTGCAATGTTTTTAAGAGTTATTAGTATTTTTAGTTACATAACACTTCATTTGTTAAAAATATTAACTTTTTTAATTAATTTTTAATAAATTTTAATTTTAAATTTTAACATACCATTAAATTAAAAATATCCTTTCTTATTAGCTAAAACTAAAATATAAGCTTATTGAAATCATAATTAATTTTAATTTTTTAAGGTTTAAATTTCAACATGTCATATCAATAAAAATAATGTAGATTAATATTAATTTGTTTTTATATATAAATTCAAGATGTGAAATAGTAACTAGTGCCTTAGAAATGTTGATTTAAAAAATGAAATATTTCTTGTGTTAGAAAATTCAAAAAGCATTTAAAAGATTTTAAAAATATTTACTATAGTCTTTTAATATTCATTAATTATCATTAACGTTACAACCCCAATCATACCATTTCCTTTTCCCTCTTTAAAGGCAAGTCCAACTAAGCATCAGCTTCAAGTTCAAATTCGTGCATGATAACGATGCAATTTTGGGTGATTAAGGTGACCAATATTTTCAAACGTGATTACCTTGAATTAATCACGGTTCATTTGACTTCAATGATAACCGTCCAAATTAAAAATCATCAAAAACCTTTTCAAAAAGTGTTTTGTCCTACATCTATAAATATGACATGATGAACTAAACATTTATAACTTTCAACTAGAGTACTTTTAAAAAAAATACATTGATTAGAATATTTTAATTTTATTCAAAATAATTGAAAATATAAAGTGACCCATAGAGCAATTGACTTCAACGATTCATATACATTGATTGTGCATATCAAGATATAGAATCAATTACTTCACTTTGTGAGTGTTTTTCATAAGAACTATGATTGTTTATTTTTTTATCACTTAACATATATTTATTTCTTCTTTTCTCATGCAATAATGCTACCTTCCTTTCATTAAGTTCATATCTCATTTCATATCATCGCACCCTTTTGTTTGCAACCCACGTTCCATGATTTTGATTCTTTGATGGAAATGGAAAGTGCACCCCATGGTTATATCTTACACCATTATTTCTTACAAAGTCGGTTTGTTAAGAGTAGAAATGGATTGTTGAATGTTTGGTCTGATGCGTACAAGTATTGATTACTTCTCATCCCATTACCTCTCTAATGAAGAAAAGAAAAAAGATTAGCATCCTCCACACTTTTCTAAAACTTGTGTTTATCTTTAAATTTTCTCATTTTTATAAAAAAACCTCACTCTAAAAGTTGACTTTAAATAACTAATAATAGTAAAATCTTAATAAAAAATGTTTATTGTACTTTTGTATTTTTAATATAATATTAAAATTGAAGTTTAATTACTGCTGTTGTTGTTTATTTTTGTAATCAATATTTTTTAATAAAATTTATTACTTTTGAATGTTTAAACTCAATTCTAAAAATTAAAGTGAACATTTTTTTTTTTCAAAAGGAACAAAAGAAAATATTAGTGGTCATTACTACTAAAGCTCTCTGGGCCTTGTTTCATTTTATATTAGGAAATGGAGGACAGTATCATTTCAACAAAGCTATAATTTCATTAGTTGACCAGCAAGAAAAAAAAATTAGGCTCACTAAATTTACAATTTAGGGAAAAATTCAATAATGCCCTTCCAATCAAATAAGCACTTGGATGCCTGCATTGTCACCTAGTGGTTGAAATCAGAAGAACATTCTCAAAGCATCAACAACTTTCTCAGGCCTGTAAAAAATACAAAGGGTATATTTTTAAAAGGTTGAATAAAACACTCTACTATTTATTCACTTGCTTGAATTAAGATTTGTACTAAACTCAATCCTAAAAGCTAAATTAAAATGTAAGGATTGTTTTAATCTTTATAACTTCTACTTTAATCATATCAATTGTAGAATTGTGACTTCAACACACTTGAATCATAAGTAAGGTTACTCACCAGTCCTCTTGTGGCATATGACCAGCTCCTTCTATCAATTTAAGCTGGATGTGTGATGGATTTCCTTTCTTAAACTCCTCAGCCACAGATTGGGGCAAGTGTTTGTCTGATAATCCCCAAGCAAGTAGTATTGGTTTATCCCATCTGAATTACAAATTACAAAAACTTAGTTATCACTGCTGGTTCAAGCTAGGATGTTGATTTCACATCCCCTTCTCACAAATTGGAATTGGACATTCAACACTTCATTCTTGATATAAAAACTGAAGGAAAAAGTGCTTTCTCTATTAATCAAAATCCATGTCTCCAAAGTTTTGGCAAGCAAGGCCATGCAAAAGCATATACGTTATTTGGCTTCATAACTAATAAATATCATATTTTAAAACAAGATTTGGTCTTGAATTAGATTTAACGAAAATACAGGGAAGAAAGTTGCAGTGACAATAAAAAGTAGAGTGAGTTTCCTCAGCCTCCTTTATCAAGAATAACTTATCAATTCCAAAAAGTAAAAAGCATGAATTATTAAATGCTCCAATTCAATAAAAATACCTCTCGGTTGCAAATCCTTCTGCTATTTCACTGAAAGTACCTTTGAAGTTAGCTTTTCTTGCAGCTTCAAGTAGAGCTGCAACCCAAGATCAGAAACTTCATTACTACTAAGTCAACAAAATTAGTTTTACTTATGCTCATTACACAAATTTGTCATGAATAGACCACAGATATTTTAGGGACTAAGCTGAATCTATCAAATATATTCCCATGGATATGGTTCAGAAGGATGCATGAAACTACAATAACAATTTTAATTGACATAAATATGAACTGAGCACAAAGAGATTTTACTTCAATACCTCCATATAACATATATATAGGTTTTATGAACATTTTTTTAAAATTATGCTACATGCAGAAAATTCAAGCCACCAAAAGGATCACACTAACCAAATCCAGGTCCACTGCTTGCCAAATAAGGTAGCCGGTACACATCAGCTTTTTCATTTTTCAGAACGTAACTGCAAAAAAATGAATCTATAAGATCAAGCACCTTATTAAATTATGGTCTGAGGAGGAAATTATATCCTCAATTCATATTTTAGTGCTTTAACATGAAAAATTGGGACAATTTTTTCCTCCAATGGTTAGAGAAAACGCCTTTGTCCTTCATTTAATACATTTCTCAAAGACTTGGAAGTGATATTTCAATGTTAGTGCATGGAGCATAAAGCCAGTCATGGGAAAGGCTAGATTGAGATGCATAATTGTTAACTAATATTTCTAAGCTAATTAAATTGTTTACTTCAATCTGTGCAAAGCTATGCAAAATATTTTGAGGGCTGTGAAAATAACATTATAAGTTGCGGGTTACAACTTCAATTCATAAAATTACCAGCCAATAGTTGAATACAATTTTTGATACATACGGGCTACCTGCTTCAATAAACCGCTCAGCAATAATAGCATTCTGGCTTGTAAATTCACCATATAGAGGAATTCTAGAAAAAAAAAAGATTAAAAGAAAAGGCACCAAAGGAGTTAATATGATATATCAAACAGCCAACATGCCTCAAAAGACAAAATAAGCATTGAATTAAGCTGTTTAGTGACTTGTAAGAAGATAATTTATGGCCACACATCATTCATCTACAAGAATTCATAGCTAAAATATATCAAGGAACATTCTTAAAACTTATCAAAATATGACTTATTCACTATACTATCACACTTCCATTGGTGATACATCATTGATCATCCATCACCATATTGACATAAAAATCCATCAGCAGTGCAGACACTATCACCTTGTGTATACACCACATTTCTGGAGAGAAATTATGCACTGAAATTGACTAAACTATAATTTTCAATAGTAAATGATTCCAGAAGTGTAGTAAAATGCAGTAGATTCATATAGGAATGCAATAGAAAATTCATGTTCCACTGTCATTCGACTTCATTTAAGATTTCATACAGCCAAATCCAATTAAATAGGAACGACTAACGAGGGTGCTCTTTAGTTCAAGAAATATTCTGTTATTGGACCCATGTTAAGTCATAATCTTCAAGAATTTTTTGTCATTTACCCTCTCTGTTGAAAGGTGAACACAGTGCTTAACCATACCCTTCAAGTGATTAAAATCAAGAGATAAATCTAAGAAACTATAGTACAGATTTAGCCAACATGTTTAGCCGTGAATTCATAAGTACTATAAGAAGCAAACCTTAGCTTCTGAAAAAGTCCAGGAATGGGAGATGAAACAGTTAATGGACTGTTTAGTATTGCTAGCTTTGATATCTTGCTCAAGTTCTTCAGGGCCCAAGTTAGTCCATATGAACCTACAAGAAATCCCTTAAGGAGGAGTGTGACCATTGTTAGACAGTATTTCTAAGAGGTGCATCCCGTTGTTATATGTGTAAATATGTTGCATTATTTCGTTCATTTCACTGAATTTTTAATACAAGAAATGCTACCACAGATTGTATTCTTCATTCTTTAGGTACCTGAACAACTAAGAAAAAGGGTGATTTGACCTCCAACACCTCAAGAAGTTTATCCAATGCGTCATGGAACTCCTTTTCTATGAGAAATGAAAGAAAATTTATGATGAGTATGAGGTTTCTACAAGAACAATTCTTCATGATAAAAGACATTTTCATTATGAAACCTGTGTAATCAAAACCATATCCTGGCTGTGGTTTGTCACTGAAACCAAATCCTATCCAGTCAGGTGCAAAGCAGTGGAACCCTGCATCTGCCAACTGTTTCAGATGAAGAAAATTAAAATAAATAGTAACCACATAAATTTGAAATAACATTAATTATTAGATGTTTCAAAACATGTAATGAAGTTAAAGTGACAATTCAAAAAGCCAGAACAAAGAATATTAAATTTTTTATTGAAGAAACATATTTTGTCATTGCAGGAGTTACTTAAGTAGATAGGTAGGAATTAGAAAGTAGCAACATATCATATTAGCTACTTATGAGTTTTTGAAAATGACTTATATATCATACGGTCAAAATCATTTATTCAGCTCGGATCATATTTAGTTTGTGTATGACCCTTTCTCTCTTGTCCTTCCTTTCACTTTTCTATTAATTTTTCCCATGTTGTGTTTGTGTACAAAATAGAAGGTACATCACATAGATAGCAAGATAACCTGAGACATAACAACTCGGTAGCTAAAAGATTGCGTTGGAGCCCCATGAAGGAACACAATTGTCCCTCGTCTGCTTCTTGATGATCCTGCAAAAGAAGGAGAAGAAAAAAAGAGACCAACAACATGTCATGTATTTTTTTCAACCATTTCCTAAACTTGAAAATGAAAAATTGAAAGTGTCTTCTCAGCAAAGAAATAAATATTATACCAGTTTCTCTCACAAACCATGTTAACTTGCCAGATTTAACATATGACCCGAATTCCTTGCCCTTGTCTTCTATCCTCTAGGAACACAAAAACTATTACTACATTCCCCCTTAAATGAATCAGTAGCATCATCACCATTCAATCAAACATGAATAGTTGTGAAAGCATCATGTCATGTCATGCATAAACAACATAAAAAAAACACTCTTGTAATATCAAGACCCAACATAGTACATATAGCATTTGGCCAACGTTGCCATCCTCAGCAGGGTTTTCAGGTAGTTGAATAGCACTGCGGCTTGATGGGTTGTCAGTGACAAAGCCAAAAGGGTTGAATGCTGGGGCATCGTTGTCCTTGGATTCACCCTTCTCACTGGAGCTAGCTCTCACTATAAATTTGCTTGTGGTTGATGATATTTTTCTTCTTCTACAACAGTATGTGGTGGAAGAAATGGTAAGGTTTAGAGAGGGAGTGAAGATGGCAGAAAAAGCCATTATTGGGTTTGTGATCAGTGGCAGGGGTGACTTCAAATTGTTGCAACACAATGGTTCATGTTTAACATAACCAACAAAACTAGCTACTTTTTTTCTGTTGCTTCATAAATTGCGGTTGATGCTCCTACTTCAACGTAGTCCTCATATATTTCCACCTAGGATATGGCATGTAATAATGTAACTATATCTTGTCATTTTTAAATAATAATAATTTAACTGAAAACTGTGGCTATCTCTGCTCCACAATTCCACGTCTATAAAATGGATTAGAAAGTCTTAGAAGAAGAAAATTAATTTCTGAACTACTTGAGGGATAATTGTATATAAAAAATAAAATTATATATATGTGTGATGTTAATTTATGTGTGATGTTAATTTTTAATTATTCAAATAAAATTAACTCTTTGCTGGAATGCGCCGAGGATGAAGAGAAAATTCCATTTTATTGCCATTATTTGAATGAAAAAAATAAATTGTGAGAAATAAAATATGAAATATTTCTTTCTTTCAAAAGAAAACATAATCATGTTTGATTTATGTACCCTTAACACAACGCAACGTAATTATTTTCTAAATGTAAAATTGTTGTTTTGTGATTTCTTATTCTTTCTAGTTTCTCGCTACGCAATGTTTAGGTGGGTTTATATCCTTTTTTACTTCTCTACACAATTATATAAGAAATAATGACCAAATCCTTTTGAATTAGCTTATCCTGCGGTGAAAAAAGTTTTTATTTTGACAGCATCTAAAGAAAATTAAAATTTAATTTTACTTCACTATTTTTTAAAAATATCATATTGCTTGTTTCTTATTTCTCCTAGATAATGTTAGAGATTCATACTGTAAAACTAGAACCTTTTAATCATGTACAAAGTATTTAACATTTTATAAATTTGTTTTCTCCATCATTAATATTATTTAAATGATTATCTGAAATAATGTATTACTTGGTTAAAAAAAAACTGTTTTTTTCTGAAACTTTTAATTTTAAAATTGTCTTTTTTGTATAATTAAGTCATAAAATATGAAAATAAATTAAGGAAAATGTGAAAAGAAAATAAATCAAGGATTAAATATCCATTTGAAGATTAAATTTAAATTCATTATCTTTGCGTTGCAAGCTTCAAGTGCCTGATCAACGTTCTATTTGAATGAAAAATGCTTGTGAGATGATTAAAATTGAATCATTTTGGTTATCTTTAATTTTATTGCCTCACATGGCCGATTTCATGCTTGTTCTAATTATCTTTGGTTTCTTTAACTCAATCTGGTATGTAATGCAAAAGTGTAACGACTTGCTTATGTACATTAGTCTTGCAGATTAATGCCCTTCAAACTTGGCAGATAAACCAAGGTCATTGTTTACAGGTCAGCTTCATATATATTAGCATGTTTCTTATAGAATCAAGATCTAAATTGACATATGACTTACCTAGGCACGAAAACATAAAATATATGTTTCAATGTCAAGTTAGAACTTTGTTACTTGTAGGATTGTAGCCACTTTTCTGGATTTTTTTTATTTGCTAAAATGTTACCAGAAATTATTGCATGAACATGAACCATGTCTGAAATGATGGAATCTGGTTTTATCCCTAATTATTAGTTCTCTATTGTAAACCTCAGACACCAGCTTTGCCATATGGTGACAGTCCACACACATTCTAAGGTTCTTCACAATTCTTATGGTAACTCCAGGCCCTGAACTAATAAGGGCATAGGCAATAGCCAACTTTTCACTATGTCGGTAAAGTGCCGTCTCCTTATCCTCTTCCCCTATATCAAGGAAAACCTCTGTTGTATCCGGGGAATAGCCTGCTTTTATCAAGTCTGGCATCATGTTTTCTAAATTTGCATATATCTCTTTAGCTTGAGGATGTGACTGGTCCCCAGCAACAAATTCATAAACATTGCCATTCAATTCCATCAAGCTGCAACCAGGTGTTTTCTTAATTCCCCTCTCCATCATCATTTTCCTCACTTGATGCAAGTTTTCCCATCTCTTGCAAGCAGCATATATATTACATAACAGGACATAAACAGACCCATTCTCAGGCTCTAACTCAAGAATTTGTTTGGCTGCCATTTCTCCCAGTTCCACATTTTTGTGGACTCTACAAGCACCAAGAAGTGATCCCCAAACAATTGAATTTGGCTTTACAGGCATATTCACAATGACTTCAAGGGCTTCTTTTAAACGCCCGGCTCGACCAAGGAGATCAACCATGCATCCATAATGTGTCACATTAGGCTTAATTCCATGTTGGATGGTCATGCTAGTGAAAAACTTTCTTCCTTTCTCCACCAAGCCTGTATGTGTGCATGCACACAGGACACCAATATAGGTTATCTCATCTGGTGTAACTGAAGCTTCTATCATTTTTGAAAACATGGCAAGAGCTTCTTCCCCATGGCCATTGATGGCAAGACCAACTATCATTGCTGTCCAGGTGAATTTGTCTTTGTGATGCACTTCCTTGAATACTTTTTTGGCTTTCTCAACATTCCCACATTTAAAGTACATGTCTATTAGAGCATTCCCAACGAAAGTATCATTTTTAAGACTGTTTTTGTCAATGTAAGTCTTTACCCACTCTCCTAGTTCAAGAGCTCCCAGATGTGCACATGCTGTTAGAATGCTAACCATGGTGAACTCATCAGGTTTCACATTTGACATTTGCATTTCACGGAAAAGTGCCAAAGCCTCTTTGAAACGGTTCATTCTAAGGTATCCATCAATCATAGCAGTCCAGGAAACATAGTCTCTTTCAGGCATTTGATCAAAATACTTCCGAGCTACATCAATTTGACCTGTATTGACAAATCCAGTAGCAATGGAAGTCCAAGAAATTGCATCTCGAGTCTTCATATTGTCAAAAACATGACGTGCAGCATCCATTTCTCCACAAGCTGCAAACATATCAATCAAGGCATTTTCCAATATAAGATTAAGTTCAACAACACCTCCATTGATATACCTATAGATGTGCTTGCCCCCATCTAAATCCTTCAATTTGGAGAATGTTGAAAGCATCAAAACTAGAGTAACTGAATTGGGTGACACTCTTTTCTTCTCCATCTCAGTAAAAAGCTTCTTTGACTTCTCAAATTGCTTAACTCTGTTATACCCAGATAGCATTATATTCCAGGTAATTACTTCCCATGCATCACCCATATCAAAAACCTTGCGAGCCAAATCCACAAGCCCGCATAATGAAAACATATGTATGAAAGCCTTTTGAACAAATAAATTCGAATCCAATCCATGTTTCACTGCATGGTTAAATAACACTTTCCCATACTGCAAAGCCATATCATTGGTAAATCCCTTCAACAAGAATGGAAATGTAAAACGGTCAGGCTTGATGTTTTTAGCCAGCATTAGTAGATACATAGAAACTCCATTCTCAGGGCAATTGATCCTAGAATACCCCTTGATCATGGTATTCCAAATGAACACACTTGGGTATGGAATTATGTCAAACACTTGACGAGCATAGTGCATATCCCCTGATTCCTGGGCACAACAGAAGGCTACAACTCTATTTCGGAATAAAGGGTCTGAAGAGAGACCCATTTTGATGGTGTGGGAATGAAGTTGCTTTAGCTGGCACATGGACTTGCACCTTTCAAGCAAAGAGATTAGAGACTCTCCAAAGCAGTGTGAAGAACTCTTAACAGTAATAGCAGGAGCGTTAGAAATCATTCTCGAGGAACAAGGAAAGTGAAAGTGTCAAGCTTGCATGTGAAAATGACAAGGGAGTCGACAGACATAACAAGGAGAGCATGTAACCTCACTCACTTAGCCCATATCAGCAATGTCACAACGTTATAACTGTACGTAAGATCAATGACACAGCGACCCGTTAAGGATTTGTGCTGCTTCATGATTTTACCACAATACAAAAACACAATATAACCTTGGTTTTGTTAGAACATAAGAGGGGGTTTTAAAGGCACGTCGAGGAGGGGCACCATCTTGTTTTTCTCCTACACTTCACAATCCTTAGGGTCACCATCTTTAGCCATCTTAATGACATTACTTATATACTATTCAAATTCTTTATTTTTTCTTATAATGTGACACTTGTTTACTTGTTCTTAATTTCTAACGAGTTTGGAATATGTGTTCCATCAGAATAAAATACGTGTCAACATTCACATATATGCATTTTTTCATGTTTATGATAGAATAATTTTTAAAATTTATTTAATAAAATAACTATTTTGCCAAAATAATTAATTTAAATATATACTTATTTTGTCAAAATTATGTAATGAGTACAAACAGTTTGTGTGATGTAATAAATCTCTGGGATATAAATTACAATAACCTTCAAAAGAGAGACATCGAGTAAACCACTCCTAAAATAAAGGATTCTAGTGAATTATTTTGGTATTAGTCTTTAACTAGAAGCAATCGTTGGGATAAATTAATAATTTTTGGAAGAGGAATATCTAATGACCCACCTCTGACGTAAGGGAATCTAGTGAACCATTCATGGTATTTTTCTTTTCAAAGGAGGAACCTTTAGTAAACAACCTTCAAAGTAACAGACTATAGGGAATCACCCTTCTAATGGTTATATATATTAATATTCCCTATGGGTTATATTTGGTCCGAAAACATACACCTGAATCCAAATACATATTCTAGTTATTAACAATAAAGTTTTAACTCCTAAGATGAGAGAATTTAGAGTTTTCACTGTGTTACACGCACACATATTGTTCTATTTTCTTAAATATTTTTTATTATTTTTATATAATGAGATTGACTTTTGCTCTTAACAATATAATTTCAATTTTTGGAATGCGTATAGAAATTGAATTTGAACTAAGAAAAATATCTCTAATTCTAGTCAATTATGAGTCTCAATTTTTTTGTCATAACGATCTTGTAACTTCATTGATTTTGGATTAATTTGAAATTTTTTTTCTATCACATATTCTTACCATATGGTGTTTGTGTTTTATATTTTAAAAATTCAATAAAAAAAATGTGTAGAAGAGATCAAATAAAGTTTATTTATTTGAAATCCAAACTCCTTTAAAACTAATTATATTTAAATTCAAATTGATTGGATGATTTACACACACACACACACACACATATATATATATATATATATATATATATATATATATATATAAAACTTCTGTCCAAAAAGAGTCCAATCTTCTTTTAAAACAGGCCTACAAATAATTATTTTATATCCAAACAATTTTCTTTATTATGTAAACCACAATTAAGTTTGGTCACTAAATAAAGTTAATCATATAAATAATACGATATTATTAAATTTGATCAAAAATTAATTTTTTTAAAATATCCTTTTAAATTATTCTTTATTATTTCTCCATTTAAATCATAAATTTATAACATATATTAGTCTATTATTTTAATAGAAAAATAACCTCTTTTTTTTTTGCTAATAAAAATAACTTTTTTGAAGAAAATCTCCTGAGCAGCTAAAAATAAACGAATACGTTTGAAACAATCATAATTCGTGAATATGATTCCGAAACTCGTCACTTCGATTTCTAATTCAATTTTGAAATATCGATACAATTATGCGAGGTAGACAAACGAGTGCTATTCGGTCGAAGTCTATACTAGCAGAATAAAGATTTCCAATGTACCCGAAGGAAAACAAATCTTCCCAAGTTCTTTATTTAAAATTTGAAACTGAATCTTTTATGTTTTTCATTGAAACAATGGAAGTATGAATACAATCGTTTTGTCGGTACAAAAGTGTTATTTTGGTAAAAAAAAAAAAAAAAGTTTGAATAGAATTAATCTTTATACTATAAACATGTAATGAAAAATCTGACAATCACACGAATCAAATGACCTGAAATATGGTTTCAACACTTGGATATACCTAAAATCTACTCGAGAATCTATCCCTACATGAAGAAACCTATGCCTAAAATTCCATTTTCACAGATGCATTGAAACATTTATAGCCATTCATAACGGAACCAATCCTTGGCACAAATAAGGGCCTCAAGAGTAAGGGGGCTTAAAGAACTCCGGTAGCTATCCATTTTTCTAATTTCTGTGTCAAAAACAGAATCTGCAGATAGAGTGGATAATGGTATAGACAAAATATCAGATGCGATTCTAGACAATGTCGGGTACTTAAATCCATTTACTCTCCACCAGTTCAGAATATCAAAATCTTTTGCTCTGGGCAGCAAAGGCTCTTCCAGATACTCATCCAATTCTGACTTAAATTGTTGGTTATCTGTAAAATCAGATATATAAAATTCATAATCGGAAAGTGCATCTTCATCAACAAAAAGCGAATCATCAAGTGACCCTTCCTGACATGGTTCTTTTATCATAATGTCATCCCCCTCATGGCCATTTGTTGTCGTAAAAGGAAGCATTTGGCTGCCATATTCAATGAATAGTTCACGAAGACCATCCTCAACTATTCTTATCCATGGCTCAGCATTCTCACCAAAAATCTTAGCAAAGGTGCTTTCCACAAGTTTCATTTTATGCCTTGGGTCCATTGCTACCGCAATTGCCAAGATGAGGCAGCTTTCTCTCCAATATTGGTCAAAGTTCTCATGCAAAGGCAAAATCAAACTGCTAAGGAAAGGATCCTGGCTGAAAGCTGCATTTGTCAACTCCACCTGAATTTTTGACACTTCAGGAAAAAATAAGTTTGAAGTTGGGTACGGTTGTAAAGTCAAAATTTTAGCTGCATCATACAAATACTTCAAATATGTGCATAGAGTTTCCACTCGCTTCCAGTCACCCATAGTTAGAGTCATTCTGTAATCAGGATCTGTGGTATCAAGGCAAGTAAAGATTTCCTTAAATTCACAGGCAGCAATAAGCATATGGTAAGTTGTGTCCCATTTACACCGGTCATCAATTGAAAGGTCCATCGTACTAGATACTTGTAGTTGCTGCTTCAGCTCAATAAACTTCTCCTTATGAGATTCTGAAGATTTCACATACTTTACACTCTCTCGCACTTTGCTAATAGTTTCTCTCATTGCCCATAGTGCATCCACTGCAAGGCGACTAAGAACACGAGCATAACAATTCTGGCTTAACAACTGACCATTGAGGATCACAGGGTTTTTAACAGAGAGAAGGCTTCTCAGATTTCCCATCACATTCTCACTGGAAACAGATTTATCAAGTGCAAGGGTAAACAACCGACCCTCCAAATTCCAATCAGATAGGCAGGTCACCAAAGTTTGATTCAAGGAGTCATCCGAATCAGGAAATGGTACTGTAACAACATTGAGAATAGGATGATGTAGGTTCCAATCACCATCAATGAAGTGTCCTCGAACAAAAACATAGCCCATTGCCTGATCCGAAGTCCATAAGTCCAATGCCAGGTTAACTCGTCCAGGAATCCCATTAATAAAATTCAACAGGTTTTGCTTTTGTCTGAGGTAAATAGCAACACAATCTCCTTCAACAGAATTTAAACATAGCTGATTGAATTGGGGTTGAAGAGTCCGTGCAAAATCAATGAAACCTTGGTGTTTCACAATATTGAGAGGATAATCATGTAAAATTATCATTTTAGCAATATCATGGTTGCAACGCTCCTGATCAAATGAGATACCATTACCAGTAAACCCTGGTGTTGCTCTTGGCCGTTTCTTGGGTGGATTGGTAGTATCCTGAGAACCCCCAGCTTTGGGATATGAGCTTTGTTGATTCTTCTCCCTAAGTACTTGACAGATTCCTAGAGAAATGTGTCTTTTCAGATGACTTGTGCCAGCTAGTTTTGAATCAGTTATGTAAGAAAATGACTTTTTGCACTGTTTACAGTAAGCCCTAGTACATCCAGCTCCAACAGTTTCCACTGTGAAATATTCCCACACAATAGACTTCTTTCTCTTCCGTTTATTGGGTTGTGTTCCTGAATCAGGATTCTCACTGTTATTAACAGCGGCAACACAAGTATCAAACTCCATGAAAGCACGAGTAATCCTAGAAAAAAAAAAGAATGAAACATCAGAAGGCAATCAATAAGTGGCTGAATTCATATATGAAGTTATGAACAAGGCAGGTTAAGAGTTATATGTTATAAACATATATAACAAATTGAACAAGAGTAAGAAATTCAAATCCCATAGAACTTGAGGTGCTAAGGATAAACCCTGATAAACAATATACAAGTAACAAGGAAATTACATTGTGAAACAAAGAAGCAAAAGCCAAGAACACTAAAATGACACCCAGCATGAGAAAAAGCCACTCATACTGTCAAAGATACTACAGTTCCTTACAGTATAGATATTGAAAGACTTCCACCACATTCATTGAAGTACTTCCTCTAGAGACAAATCATATTTAACAATCAATTCAAAGAGCATCCTCTTGTTTACTCTCAGTCTTATCTATGCATCCATTTTTGTATGCTGTCAGTTACTAGATTACAAATAAAAACCAAAATTTTTAAGAACTTCTTTGCTAACCCCAAACTTTTTAAGAAAATGGATTAGCATACAATAATTGTTGTACAACGTCCAACAAAATCCTTTTCCCATTGGATAGGGGAAATATCAAGGTAGACAGGACAAAGACTACTCTACTCTTTTGGTCCTACATCTAGATTGAACCACCAGAGAAAATCACTAGGCTACAGAGACTCTCTGACTGGCTCTTGCTTTCTCCCTCAGCTACATGGATTCTGTCAAAAACCAAGTTAGCATACTATTGGAACTAAATTAATATTAATTCATCCATCCGTGCTTTAATCATCTATTTTAACCTACATTTGAAAGATATACACGCATAAAACCAAGCCTGTGAACACCAAATAACTTGTCCACATTTATCTCTATGAATCCTGCTATTTATTGTGAACATGTTTCACATAAAATATTAAAAATGATGTGGTTTATATTTTCCTAAAATTAACAATTAATTTTTTTAAAAGAAAAAGAAACAAAGTCACAAATTCCTATTTTGTCATATATGCTGTGGATTCAGAGACCAGCTCCCTCTACATTGTTCAAATTGAAACTTGGGAAACCAACATGATTTCAGATTAAAGACAAGAGAGGAGGTGATGAAGGAAAACTTAGGACCTTATATTGTTTTAATCAAGCATCCTATCAAAGGGACCTTGCAATTTTTAGGGGAATGAAGAACCCATGATGCAATATCAAAATTTTAAGGGGGGCAACAAGCTGACAAGCAGGGTGAGAATATATTGAATTAATGACACAGGGTTTGTTTGCATAGGAGGAAGATGAAACAAAAACCTTAACAATCATCGTATCAAATAGAGGGAAAAAGGATTAAGTTTTTTTTTTTTTTTTTTTTAATATCATGAATCACCATTTGAAGCTGAGAAATATGGCAAGAAAAGTTACAAAACAGGCACACTAGGAAGTACAGACATAGCACAGATATGGATACAACACAAATACTGCAATACAGTACATTTTTTTTAAAAGAAAGGACACAACACAGCTATGATACATTATGTAGAAGAATATATACATATATATACATAATACAGAAAAACAATTAAAGATCATATATTATCTTGTCTTAATAATAGTAGTCAACAGCGGCCACTATCACGAAGGTGCAGAGCGGCTGGATGTTGCTATTCCATCCCCGTCACGTCGCGTCACATTTCAGTGTAGCAGCCATCATTCCGCGAATTACAGCAAAAAGCAAAGCAAATCGCAGCCCTAGCAGCCACTATTTCATCCTAGGGCAAAAGGGCAAGTTTGTCTTTCCCTTTCGAAAGTTGGAATGCTTTTTAAGGGGGACAATCTTAGGATTCCCCCCCCCCCTTTATATTTATGAAAGTTGGAATGCTTCTCCGTCTTGAACCCTACCTCCATCTTCGTTCTCTCATTTTCTTGCTTCGTCTTCCATCTTTGGTGTCACTTTCTAGTTTCTAGTGCAAGTCACCATTCCCGGCTAAGTTTCGGTTGTCTTTCTCATCTTCGACAAAACACAACTTATTTCTAACGTGAGCAAAGACATTTTCCAATTGTCTACTACATCTTTGGTGTAACTTAAGCTATCTTCTGACAAGATGCAGACTTTTCCAATGATAGTAAGATATTTTCTGACAAAACTATTTGCATTAGAGCTTTCCAGGTGACTGAACACTCTTTGATTTATTTTCTTTTTTTGTTTTGATTGTCTTCAAAATAACGGTCATTCCACTATCCCCTGACCCGCTATAGTGTTTTTGGAGTGGGCCACTCTACGCCGCTATATGAGATTGACTACTATGGTCTTAATTATTCACTATGATTATTACTAATTAACAGGATAAGTATCAAAGTGCATCTCTAGCGTATCTGTGTCCGAGACGTGCTTCCTTCTAGCCATGTTCCTACTTCCTAGCGGGCACAGGAACCAGCTCCATAATTCGTGGGATGATATGTCCCTCATGACTTTTATTTGCTCCTCCGTGAAGATAAAAACACAAGAATTCAAAAGTGGAAGACAGTGCAAGGCAGGCAGCAATGAGAAAAATGAGTCATTCATATGAGTTCAACTCAGACCACGGGGCAATAATAATAAAAAAAGAAGATTAAGGGTTGCATCCAGTAAGATGCCAAATCAGATGTCAATCCATTCGTCTCAGTTTGACGTAAATCGGCTCATATCAAAGAGCATTTCACTATCTTTACTGTCTCAACAACCATACTTACATCCGTGAAATTTAAGTTAGCATTCACATTCTCTCTCTCTATAACATCCACAAAATAATCCAAAATAGTTAGATAGTCAAAACCTCCAAATTGACAAGGCTTTCACATTTGCATTTAGAACTCTCTAAACATATATTAGCATCATACACAGAGCAAACAATGCTAAATTGAAGAAGAAGAAAAAATAAAACCAGGATTTTCTATTTATTTGAAGAAAATGACAAACATCAATGAAGTATGCACAATCCAATATTTCAGGTGAACACAATTGCTAGTGACTGGTTTAACATCACAATGACGATGCATGGAAAAGACAGAAACGATTAAAAAACACTAAAAATTACTATTAATTGAAATAGATATGTCAGTAGAAATATGAAATAGGGTTCGTTTATTCTTTATCGCTCTTTTGTTTAGGGATCAAACATAAACAACGCACAACAGTGAGTACAACGAAAATAAAGAGACTGACACTTGAATCAGTTAACGAGTAGCACTACATTCAAACACTAGGGAGAGAGAGAGAGAGAACCTTGAGAAAGTGGAGTGTGGCAAAAGCACGTGCCACGGCGGCTGAAGCGTGAAACGGCGTCGTGAAGTGAATGAAGATAGAAGCGAATGAATGGAGTGCTTCTGTAGATATATGTGATGGTGTGTGTGTGAGAGAGAGCGCGTAGAGAAAGAGAGAGAAAGACAGAGGGAGGCGCCGGCAAAAGCAACGATTTCACGTTGGAAGGCGCAGTGTGTGTGTTCTTGCGGCCGAGGGAAAGAGGCAATCAAGGGTTCAAACTTGCAACTTCTGTCTGCTTCACAATTTGCATTTCCAACCCTTTATACTAATAGGGTTCATACATGATATCCACATAAGTGTCCAGAAATTATTTTTTATTCTTAATTATCATTTAAAACTCAATGGGTAGGGTATGGGTAGGGTACTACAGTACCCATCCCCATACCCGCGTTTTAAAAAAATACCCGTACCCGGACCCATACCCGCGTGGGTATGAACATTAATCCTCGTACCCGTACCCTCTGGGTACCCGCATACCCGTCTTGTACACATTACCCGCGCTTGTTTGAGAAAAAAATGTTTATAAAGAAAAATATGTTTATATAATTTCACATAAGTAACATAATAATACAAAAATTTAATATGTAGTTGTCGAATAAGGTACAAATATAGATAAAAAACAAATATTCAAAGATCATAAATGTTAAATGTATCTTAATATAATAATTTTCTAGACTAAAATTCTTAGAAACAATAAGCAAAACTAAACACACAAGTTATTTGTCAGTGATAATCCTATCTTGTGTGAGATTTGATTGATTGGTAATGTCAAAACGACAACGAAATAGATTTGTACAATGGTTGTCCCTTCGTGTGGGATCACTTAGTAACCTCTTGTGACGGCATTAAAAACTAACTCTAATGAATAACATTTTATAGTTATTAAGTTTTAGTGAGACAGACATTGAGAATGTGAATAAAGTTAGAGTAGAGAAGTTCAATACTAACGATAGAAAGTTGATACATAAAATATTTTTTTTAACTTTTGAATTTGAAAGTGTAAGAAAAATAATAGATTTAATTAAAATAATAAATATAATATATATATATATATATATATTAATACTAGTATTTTTTAACTCATATACTATACGAAAGTATTTTATCAAAAATATAAATTTTTAAAAAATTATTTTAGTGAATTAAATATTTATAATATATATAAATTTTAAAAAAATTTGAATAAAAGATAAATAGTTACAATAAAATTTCATAATAAAGAAATATACGTGTATATTAAAAAAAATTATACTTTTTTATCTTAAAAAAATTAACAAATAAAAATTAACAATAATTTTTTTATATTTATATCTTTTCAAAAACTTATTTGAATGTGAATAAATAGTAAGAATAATATTATTTAGATTCAATAGATTATAGTTGTGCTTGTAATACATATGTTGCATAAAAAAATATTATTTTAAATTAAAATATAAAAATAAAATTTAAATATTATTAATAAATAATAAGTTTATGGTAATAGTAGGTGATTGTAAAATTTATAATATATTTATTATTTATCATTCACTTTATGATTTAATCATCAATATGATTTTATTAATAAAAATATTTGTGTAAAAAATATTTTATGTGTATCATATATAAATAATATTTTAAAAAAAGTCAATCTCATATTAACTATGTAATAATTAAATTGTATTAACCTAATTAAATGATATAAAATAGTAAATAAATTTTTTTATTAAAAATATAAACCAAAATAAATTTTTTGGTTTACTTTATTATTAAATATATTTTTATATTAATCTTATATAACTTCACATAAGTAATATAATAATACAAAAATTCAATTCATAATTATAGAATAAAGTTTAAGCATATATATATATGCGGGTATGGGGCGGGGTGGGTACTTAGATACCCATACCCGCACCCATCCCCATTAAAATTTGCGGGTTTTTACCCACACCCATACCCGTACCCGTATAGTGGGTAAATACCCTACCCATTGTGGATAAATTTTGTGGGTGCCCATCGGGTACTTTACCCATTGCCATCCCTATTAACTATAAAAATAAGGTCAGGAATTATTATATTAATAATTAAATTTATATATTTTAAATCAACTTTAATTAATAATAAAAAATATTCTTAAGAGAATGTTAAATAATATATTAATAACATTATATATTAAGATAATAATAAAAGGATAATGAAACTGACTTGTTTAAAAACAATTTACAACGTGTTTTAAAAAAGTATATAGTTACACCGGTTACGATAATAATAAAAGTCTAATTAAACTAACTATGGTATTTTAAAATATTTTAGAATGTGTTTGTTTTAAAAAATAAATTATGGGCACATAGATTCTAATTTCGGTAATATTATTCTTAAAGCGCGGTTAGATTAGGGAAAAAAAAGTTCTATCAAACGCCAATTGTGCGCACAGTTTGTGTTTAAAAAGGGAAAGATATAATTTTATCAGGTATATAAAATATCGAAATATCAATGTTAACAATTTTAAAGATGATTTTTTGAATAATGTCGTGCAATTTGACATGTAAACTACCAATCTTGTGTAAGAATTATTTTTTTTGTGTAATTAAAATAAGGCATACACAGAGTATATATATATATATATATAATTTTTTTTACGCCCATGTGTGGTATTATATACAACACACGGGTAAATTTTTAATGAATTTTTGAACTTTTTTATAATTTATTAAAAAATTTAGAAAAAACTTTTTTTGTTTTTATAAATAAAACAGTAACGCGTAATTTCGTGTATATATATATATATGATTCCCTCTTCTTCGTTTATCAACAATCGATTCATTGGAGTAGGACAGTTTGTATTCAGCTGAGAGTTTGGCACCCTCTCCACGGAGCCGGTGGCTAAAACGCTGCCTTTGCTTATTTTCTCAAATTTCTCATTCTAGGGTTTAAAATCGGCTAAAAATTCTATTATCACTCCCAACGCTCGACGGGGATTCTGTGTAAGCTGTTTCTCATACAAATATCTCATTCCCCCTTTTTTTACTGAATTGAATTGAATTTTTACGCATTTGTTTATCTATCGTGATTGAATGCAATGATGCAGATCTTGAAGTATTTGAGTTATGGCGACGGCAACATACCCTCCACCACCACCTTATTACAGACTTTACAAAGATTACTCTCAAGACCCTAAATCTGCTCCTGATCCTCCACCACCCATTGATGGCACTTACGTTTGTTTCGGAGGCAATTACACTGTAACCAGTTTTACCCTATCACATTTTTGTTTTCAATTAATCTTCTTCTGTTGCATTGCGCAGTTCAAATAAGCTTGTTAATGTTTTGTTCTCTGTTTATTTTCTGCACAGACTAGCGATGTTCTACCGAGCTTAGAAGAACAAGGGGTGCGCCAGCTCTATTCTAAGGGGCCTAATGTTGGTAGGATATTTTTAGTTCTGTTTATATGTAATTTGATTTGATAATGTTATGAAATGAACATATAAGTTATTTGAAATTTGTTTTGGTTTTCTATTATTTTGACTATAAATGTCTGTATGAATTAATTTATCTCGACGAGTATACTTCTGGTATTTGCTTTTGTAACTTGAATAGATTATTATTACTACTAGTCCAGAATGATATGTACAACTTACACACGTCATAATGTGAGTCGTTTCTACAGTAGGTCCATAACGGGTTTTTTTCATGTGTTTTAAATTTCCTTAGCATAATCAATTAGAAGATTCTTTGAATCTTTTTTCTTTCATCATTTAGTAAAAGATTATGATTTTCCTGTAGATTTCAAGAAGGAGCTGAGGTCCCTTAATGGAGAGTTGCAACTGCACATTTTGGAGCTTGCTGATATTCTTATTGAGAGACCATCACAGTATGCGAGGAGAGTTGAAGAAATTTCAACTGTATTCAAAAACTTACATCACCTTTTAAATTCTCTGCGTCCTCATCAGGTATACAGTCTTCAATACAACTACAAGGAAATGTACTTGCCTTTCATTGGTGTGCTGCAGTTCTTTTTCCTTTGTCTGGAACTTTTGTTATATCTTGTATTCACTCTGTAGGCGAGAGCAACATTGATTCACATTTTGGAACGTCAGATTCAGCAACGTAAACAAGCAGTGGAGGACATAAAGAGGTATATATCAGATTTCCTGATATTTTTCTTAATTGCATAGGAACCCTAAGGAATCTTTTGCTCTGGTACCAGCATAGTGAAATGCCCTAGTTATTTGAGAGCCTTTAACTATTTAGTTGGTTTCATAATTTAGCTCATGTAATGTAATGTGTGCAATTTTCATACATGTATTTAATCCTCAATATAACTTCTTTTTATACCCACTGCCCTCACAGTCCCCACAAATCTTTTTCACCCTTTCCTGCACAAGACAACTAAGGCCTACATTATAAGTAACTGAAACAGAATACATTTCATTATAAATTCAAAACTTGATGCTTCAATTTTTAATCATGGAAGGCGGTACTCTAAATGGATTGATTTCCTTTGATAACATGTGACACCTTGCAAATAGCCCATAATTTGTGAGTCCTTAATACTGCTACGGAATTTTCAAAAGAATTTTAATATACCTAGCTTGCAAAATCATGTATCCCTTTTATGTTTCATGCCTTCAGCAGTGTACACTTTATATTCTTAAACAAATGGAAGATCTAAAAAGTCGGAATTGTTAATAATATGACAAGGGAGACATCAGTTTTCATTCCTGTGATGATTTTTGCTACTGAAAATTTTCCAATGAAGTAATTAGTCATTTTCACTGTCTATTTTCTACTTCGACTCCCAGAATTCAGAGAATCGTAGTGTCTCAAATTTTTCTGTTTTGTACTCCTATTTTTAAAATTTTGGAACTTAGAGGACAACTATAAATATGTCTTGAGTTCTGTAAGCTGTGAAAAAATGACTGTAATGTTTTTGAAACTTTTTGGTCTGAATTATGAGATTTGATAGTTGGTACACTTTGATGAGAGGCAAAAGCTTAAAGGGTGAATGAACTGATATTTTGTGGGGCATCTGGCAACCATTCTCTCCCTTGTTTGTCTAATTTTGCTTTGGTGAAAATTGAACTGATATTTTTTTCTCTTACAAGCTAACAAAACACTATTGGGATCAAATATTGTTATGGTTCTTGTCATTAGTCTTTTCCAACATACTTCATATTTTCAGGAGGAGAGAAGAAGCACGAAGGCTCCTTAACGAGTCCTTGGCAACACTTGATGGCCATTAGAGCATTCTCTATCTTGTACTCACAGTGTGAATCTACTGAACAAATTAATATTATGTGAAAAATGAATTGTGACCTCTAGATTTAAACAAAATGATCGAAAGATTAAAACAAGTTCTGCTTCCTTAAAAATGGTCATGTGACATAAGTGCGAAGATATTGTAACTATTTTTGGTGTCGTGTATCTAGTCTGAATTAGTGATGAATATTCATTTTTGCCCTTGCCATGATGAATACTCACATCTTGGTCTTTTCTTGCTGTATGGCAAGTCTTGATTCTCGTCGCCTTGTATTTATGTATGGGTATTCAACAGATCGTATAAAATCGATTGAAAGATGTATCCTACTGTGTGAAGTCTTCAATTTCTTGGTTCATGGACCTTAAAGAAAATTGGTTTAGAGGAGAGGGGCAGAATCGCCATCAAATTCAATGTGAAATATATGACGCCGTTTGATTGCTGAATGAATGTATTATTCGAAGAGAATGAAGCGCTTCTTAGTCATATTCGTTTTCGTCTACGTCATGTCGAGAGAAGAGGGGACTATGTGCTGTGCTGTGCTGTATGGGAAACTCAGAAGGTTTTACTTTGTTATTTATGGTAATGACTAATGGGGCTGCCAGTGCAGTGCAGCAAAGTGAATTCTATCTAATAACCGGAAAAGGAAAAAAAACAAACAAACAAAAAATCCTATTATAACGTGATAATTTTATTAATTAAAAATTATTAATTGTATGAAAACAAATAGTATATTCTCATTAAACAATAAATTAATAAATAATATAACAGCCAATAAAGAAATGTTTGCATCAATAAGTTTATTCTGATTCATTAAAATTCCTGAAATTATATTTGAAATGAAAACAAATAATGTCCAAAATGAATTCTTGAAAATTAAAATAAAATAAAAAATTAAAGAGATCCCAATTATTTGAAACAAGTTTATATTATTTCGTGATTATGTAGATATCGCTTTTAGCATTGATTTACTATTGGTCTAATAAAATAGAACATCTGAAATTATTAGAAGTGTTATAAAGTTCTAAGATATATTCACGGTAAATGCCCATATAATTAATATTTCATGATGCACAATTACGCAATTCAATAATTAAACGATAAAATAAAGTCATACACACCCTTTAATTTTAACGTGAACTTGACTTTTGAATCCAATTTCTAGTTCTGTTGCATGTATATAACTCAACTTGGTGAAAAAATAATTGTTCTAACAACGAGAGAACTTTTTAAAAAATTATTATTTTTCAGGAAATATCAATTCCAAAATTTGGAACCGAGAAAAAAATATCAAATTTCATACGATAGTCCATGCGACGGAATCAGGCTAATCTTGGAGATTCTCGGTACTGGGTAGTGACATAAACATGAAATGATAAACGCCAAACGGATAATTGAATTAATTGACAACGATTCTTATAATGTCGGATTCTATAGAATTACTCCTGAACTATATAAAACAACAGTAACAGTAATCCCGCCTTGATCAACAGAAGCTAGGCAAACTACAACCCTTGACCTTTTCGGGATTAAGAAAACACAAGACATAATTAACCTGATACAGCTATTTGCCGACCTTATTATGACTTTCTACACACATTCATTCCATTAGAAGACATCAGGTGGGAAACGCCCTGGAAAGGGATTGCTCTGTTGAGACTGCTTCAAATGCATTGCTAAAGCATAGTTATTCACCTGTCAACAAACCCATGGATACACACAGAAGTCATCAGCATGCAAAAACAATTTTAAATGAGCATATCTCATTTAGATTAGATTTTTAAACCACCCACCACTTCCCTACTAATCTGTTTGTCTGAATTTATCAATGGACCAATTTAATACGTAAATGAAATTCTAATGTTAAGACGCAAAAATTGAGCATTGGCCTCTCTCTCTTTTCAACCGAAGTAGTGTTGTGTATACGGCAAGTGGAAGGAAATTGAGAACCAGGGAATGGAAACTTCCAACACTCGTAAATCTATATAGATATCATATGATTCATATTACTAGATTAACTCTCAACCCCAAAGAGAAAGAGCACATGACAGCAAGAGAATGGTGATTGTGCATTTCTAGCTATCAGTGTCCGAGCAAAATTTGTTTTGGGTTTTAGAACTGACAAATCTCCACGATTATCATCGTTATGTCAACTTTTTCTAAGACGGGACATAAAATTCTAGATTATATTTGAATTTGCAATCTTTTATGAACTGTTTTAAAACCAAATTATGAGAATTACTAAATCCTGAGCCCAATAGGTAATATGTGCGACTAAACAAAAAAAAGATAAAGCTTGATTCGTACCTCAAGAGTTCTGATCTGCTCCTGGTATTGAGACACCAATTGCCTCAAATTTTGCAACTCTTGGTTCTTATTCTCATAATCAGAAAAACGTTCATGCTGGATTCTAAAAGCATTTTTAAAAGAATTTTTCTCCTTAATCAACACGTCAATTTGCTCCTTCAGCATCAAATTTTCCTAAAAATGAAAACATCTTGCAACAATTAAGATACAAGCTCAACCCAGGGAAACAAGGACGAAACACTATACACTTCACTGCATTCATTTCTAATCCTATCTTGTCTAGTATGTCCAGACATCCAACAACGCATTCCCATCACCACTACCCTGAGTTTATTTTCTTGTTTACTTCTTTACCGCCCAACACTCAATTCTGTAGAATGTTTATTTTCTTGTATATGCTCACATACAAGCAATTGAAACTAAAAAGCATACATACAATCATTACAAACAATAACAAAGTAAAGATATTAGAATAAGAAAAACACGGTGAACCATCCTCAGCTTAAGTCAATAGAAAAGTTCTTCCACAAAGAAATCAGTCTCAAAACAACCAACATTGTCCAACTGCTACTTCAGGAATCCCCGGCCAATAGCATACATCATACAATTATATTGTTCCTCACAAGGACATTCGCTCAGTGACATGCAAGACGTCAGAGTTTGGTTGATAACATGAATATTAAATGATTCTAGCATGAATACCTTCTGAAGAGCGTCAGTTGCCTCAGCTGTTGCTCGCGCACTGATTGATTTCTCTAAAACCTCCAGCATTCTAGCAGCACGGGCTCTAGCATCATCAACACTAGTAGCAATCATCATTTCCCTAACGAAAAAGTCAATCCATTCTGCTCCATCTGCTGGAAGGTTGTTCGAAGCAGGCAGATTCTCAGAAACAGAAGCATTTCCATCATCTTCCAATTTTCCTGCAAAGTTTCTCAAAAAAACATGTCAAATACTCAGTCGGTTTCATCATCAAAACCTGTTGACAACATATTAAGCTCCCTATCTTCATAGCCACTGTGCAGTTCAAAGAGTAGTGCACTAGTGCTGTGCTCATAAAGTGATTAACTAACAGTTAAAATTTTCCATCCAAGAACACATAAAACCAATTTTATCTTGTAAAACTAAAACATTAAATTGCAAATGTCAATCATACCCGCTTCCAGATTTAGAATAACCTCCGATTCTTCAGCAGTTCCATTTCCTTCAGCAGTTCCCAAGCAAAGCTCGTTCAGCCTCTTGATGGCAGCATCTAGATCATTACCACATTCCTGGAGAGCTCTCTCAAGAACCTGAAAGGTAAATATGAACTAATAAGATCACAAATAAACGACCACCCAAAAGTAAAAAACATCTTTTCACGACACGAAAATAAAATTTAAACAGTTACATTCATCAACCACTTTGCAATTAAAAAATGGAACGCGATAACAATAATATACCCCAAGAAGATAATTTCTATGTTCTAACCCAGCAATTACCATCTTCAAAGATTTGTTAAACAACAAATTATCAGTTACCCAATTCAAATTCGCACATCATTAAATAAACCTCAAAGCAAAACGAACCAGGCATTGAACTATAAAACGAACCAAAAAAAAAAACAAAACAAAACAAAACAAAATAAAGTGCCCTTTTCTGTTATAATTGAAACGAAAACCTAAAACAAAAATCGAAACGCATGAAATGAAGAAGAGAATAGTATATATACGAACCAGGTCATCCATGTGAGGGAAGAGAGGGCGAAGCTGGTCGATGAGAGAAGGATGAGGAAAACGAATCGGGGAAGAGGAACAACGGAGCCTCTTAGAGAGTGGAGGAGACGGAGGGAGTTCTTCGAAGAAAGATCTCTTGCTTCCGCACACAGCAGCAGACATCGTTCTTCAATGCTAACTACGATTTTCAATCAATCAATCCTTCCTCGATCGCCTCTCCCAAACAGCAATTCAACTCGAAGAAAGGAGTTAGGGTTAGGGTTTCGACGAGTGAAGGTTCCAAATCGGAAGGGGTTTTCGTGAGGGTTAGGTTCAGCGCTGTTCCTGTTGAGAAGGAAAGTATGGAAAAGTTGAGGAATATTTATAGTGCAGTGCGACAAAGGAGACGAGAGTGTGTTCCACGTGCTCGCAAGCGCGTTTTGTAGCAACGATTCTTTTGTCGGAAACTTCCCCTAAAAACGAAAACGCCGAAACCATAATTATATATCGCCTAATTTCTTACTATAAAAATACGAAGGGAGCGTCACTTCTTTATTTAAAAAATAAATAAAATTATCTAACAATTCACATTAATGTGTTTTAAATTTTAATCGATAGTTTTATCTTGTTTGGTTAATATTTTTATAATTTATTCATTCAATAAATAAAAGTATTAATAAGAAAAAAACACTGATATTTATAATTATTCTTCTATAAAAAAATATAATTATATTGTTATCTGTGCTATGTGGAGATAATATATATTATGTATTGCTATCATCTTAAAATGATAAAAACCATAATTTCAAAATTTTATAATAAAAAAATATCATTAGTTCGTCGGTTGCTTCTTTTTTTTTTTTATCGTCTTTTTCTCTGCATTGAAAACAAGTTGCGCTGTGAATTTTACATTTTATGAAAGAAATTTAACTAAATCATGCCTTAGAAATATATTAAAATTGACCATTAAAACTGCAATAAGTACTATTTTTCTGTGACAAAATAGATGGAAAGGTGAAATTATAGAAACAAAATTGAAAGAAAAGCAAAAGAATGAAATCATAAAATAAATAACCTTCCATAAAACGAATGAAAAATATCAAAGAAAATATATAATTTGAATCATTTCGAGGAAAAAAGTTTCTAAAAGGAATTTAAATAAAGGCATATTAAAATATTTATAAGATGAAGCTATACATTAAAAAAATGAATTAGACTAAGAAAATTAATACAAATAAATAACAAATATAAAAGGAAATTTGTATAATGCCAATCTTTTTAGAATCTGAAATTTTAACTTTTCGTTTATTTGTTTCACATAATATGTATCCTCTTAGTAGGGATGGCAATGGGTAGGGTACTACAGTACCCATCCCCATACCCGCATTTTAAAAAAATACCCGTACCCAGCCCCATACCCGCATGGGTATGAACATTAATCCCCGTACCCGTACCCTCTGGGTACCCGCATACCCGTCTTGTACCCATTACCCGCGCTTGTTTGAGAAAAAAATATTTATAAAGAAAAATATGTTTATATAATTTCACATAAATAGCATAATAATACAAAAATTCAATATGTAGTTGTCGAACAAGGTACAAATATAGATAAAAAAACAAATATTCAAATATCATAAATGTTAAATGTATCTTAATATAATAATTTTCTAAATTAAAATTCTTAGAAATAATAAGCAAAATTAAACACACAAGTTATTTGTCAATGATAATCCTATCTTGTGTGAGATTTGATTGATTAGTAATGTCAGAACGATAACGAAATAGATCTGTACAATGGTTGTCCCTTCGTGTGGGATCACTTAGCAACCTCTTGTAACGGCATTAACAACTAACTCTAATGAATAACATTTCATAGTTATTAAGTTTTAGTGAGACAGACATTGAGAATGAGAATAGAGTTAGAGTAGAGAAGTTCAATACTAACAATAGAAAATTGATACATAAAATATTTTTTTTAACTTTTGAATTTCAATTTGTAAGAAAAATAATAGATTTAATTAAAATAATATAATATAATTAATATATATATATATATATATATTAATACTAGTATTTTTTAACTCATATACTATACGAAAGTATTTTATCAAAAATATAAATTTTTAAAAAATTATTTTAGTGAATTAAATATTTCTAATGTATATAAATTTAAAAAAAAAAGAATTTGAATAAAAGATAAATAGTTACAATAAAATTTTATAATAAAGAAATATACGTGTATATTAAAAAAATTATACTTTTTTATCTTAAAAAAATTAACAAATAAAAATTAACAATAATTTTTTATATTTATATCTTTTCAAAAACTTCTTTGAATGTGAATAAATAGTAAGAATAATATTATTTAGATTCAATAAATTATAGTTGTACTTGTAATACATATGTTGTATAGAAAAATATTATTTTAAATTAAAATATAAAAATAAAATTTAAATATTATTAATAAATAATTAGTTTACGGTAATAGTAGGTGATTGTAAAATTTATAAAATATTTATAATATATTTATTATTTATCATTCACTTTATGATTAAAACATCAATATGATTTTATTAACAAAAATATTTGTGTAAAAAATATTTTATGTGTGTCATATATAAATAATATTTTAAAAAAAGTCAATCTCATATTAACTATGTAATAATTAAATTGTGTTAGCCAAATTAAATGATATAAAATAGTAAATAAATTTTTCTATTAAAAATATAAACCAAAATAAATTTTTTGGTTTACTTTATTATTAAATATATTTTTATATTAATCTTATATAACTTCACATAAGTAATATAATAATACAAAAATTCAATTCATAATTGTATAATAAAGTTCAAGCATATACATATATATATATATATATATGCAGGTATGGGGCGGGGTGGGTACTTAGATACCCATACCCGCACCCATCCCTATTAAAATTTGCGGGTTTTTACCCATACCCATACCCGTACCCATATAGCGGGTAAATACCCTACCCATTGTGGGTAAATTTTGCGGGTGCCCATCGGGTACTTTACCCATTGCCATCCCTACCTCTTAGGTGGTTAGTTGTAATCTTAATTTTAGGGTCACATTCATTTACACACTATATATTTTTTTTTTCATATGCATGAATTACAATTATTTTAATTTGGAAAAAATTAAAAAGAATGTAAAATAGAAAGGGAAACAATTAAATTAAAAGAGAAATAATGAAATCAAATACATAATAAATAATATTAATAATTTAAATTTAGAATTTAAAGACTAAATATTGGATAATCACACATGATATAGAGTTGACATGCAAATATATAAATATAAATATATATATATATATATATATATATTATTGAATTAAATTTAATGTAATTTATATTTTTAAATAAAATAAATTTTTAATATTATATTATAACTTTTCATTGCCTTATTTAAAAAAATATTATATATTTCGAAACAAGAACATTAGCAAAGCTCCTCTTCCTGTTTTCTGCATTACAATGAACTGATGACGTGTTTATTTTGTAAAAAAATTGAAAGATTGTATTAAAACACTACGTCTTTATGTTTTTTAAGTTTAATCATTGTTACAGCTAGTTATTCCATCAAATAATTATTAACTCAGCAGTTATAAGTATATCTTAACAATTACTTTTTATTAAATCTCAATCACTGATGAATTTAGGGTAAGAGTATCCATCCCATACAAAATCATGAAGATCACAATGATAAAGATTCATAATGTGATTACAGTCTACCAACAACTATTCTAAAATCAACATTATCGCACTTGTGAGTCGGGTGAAGCTGAACTGCTGAAGCTTTTGGAAGAAATAAACTTGAGAAAATATTGACAATTTCTAATATTGCATAGTTCAACAAAATTTAATAGCAATACAATATGGTAACAACTAACAAGGGTGAAACATGGTGCAGATATGAAATTGGTAAGTACAAAGGGAACAAAACACTACACAAACAGACAAGACCCAAACACACATACAATTACGCATGCAGTAAACACTGCCCAGTGTTGCCATGCAAGAAAAAAAAGCCCTTCACAAACTGTATTAAACACATCAACCTGTATATTAAGTTTTCTTCTCCATAGTATCATTTATACCTCAGTTTTCTCTTTCAACTCATGTTTTAATTCTTTTTCTTCTGAGATGTAGTCTAAACTTTCTTCAGTGGCTGATGTCCCATCATTGCATTCTACAGCTAGAGGGTTTCTGAACATTTCACTGTTCTCTATATGAGAAAATTTATCTTTAGATTCTCCCTTCAGTAGCTCTACCACGTCAAGCATGGTGGGTCTCTTTTCAGGTAGATCCTGAGCACATATAAGTGCAACAAAAACAACTCTTTTAAGCTCTTCCTCCACATAGTTACCATTTAGTCTCGGATCAGCAAGTTCACTAAATTTCTTCTCACAAACCAATGGCAATGCCCAATCAACTATTGATCTTCTCATTGTGGAACTAAGTTTTCTGATTGGTCTGTGACCACTTGCGAGTTCTAAAAGGAGAATACCAAAACTGTAGACATCACAACTCTCATTTGCTTTACCTAACATAGCATATTCTGGTGCAAGGTAGCCCAGGGTACCCTTAACTTTTGTAGTCACATGTGTTGCCCCATCAGGGATCAACTTAGCAAACCCAAAATCAGCAACTCGGGCCTGGAAATCTGAATCCAGCAACACGTTGCTTGCTTTAATATCTCTGTGGATGATATGTGGTGTTGCTTGGTGGTGAAGATATCTGAAAGTAATAAAATTTAGGAATAATGTAACCATAGTGGAAGAAGCTCATAAGGAAATTCAGGTTAGTACTCACACAATTCCCTCAGCAGACCCAATTGCAATATTCATCCGCCTATTCCAATCAAGAAGGCATTCAGACGATTGATGCCCATGAAGATGGGAGAGCAGACTCATATTTGACATATATTCATACACAATTAACCGTTCTTGTCCTTCAGCACAATAGCCACGTAGACTGAGAAGATTCTTGTGTCGTATTCTTGCCAATATTTCAACTTCGACGGTAAATTCCATCTCTGCTTTGTTGCTCCAAACTTTCAGTCTTTTCACTGCAATCTGGAATGGCAAGATTTTTCAAACAATAAAATGGTTATACAGCTATGCTATCTATCAGCCATCAACATATTTCAGTAGCTTCAATTCTAAAGTGCTAGATAAAATGTTTTGGATAGAGGTTTTTGCAACATTAGCCCTGATACTTTAAATCATATTCTTTCTAAAATCACAACAAATCCTAGAAGTCTAAAGAACAATTCATTAAGAAACATAATTCAAATTCACTCTCTTCTATAATATACAATCAATGGCTATTTTAGTTCAGTGGTAGGATTAAGAACAGATCGTAAAAATTCTTATCAAAAGCAAGGCATCATATATTACGCTCACTCACAAATCATGATAATGAAACTAATGTACTCATATTGACAGATTGGTGCAACAAAAGATAGACATCAACAGGAGGAGAGAGTCTTTGCTTCTCTCTCCCATTCTAATTCAAGTTGACTGAAAGAAAAATATTCTTCTACACAGATCCCTCACAAGCTGATTCTCTGTGGCATCAACGAAAGAATCATCATTACTAATTGTAAAGTGAGACTGTGAAAGATATTGGAAATTTTCTGAGATGTTTCAAACTATCAAAACAGACTACATAAAGCTGTTAAGAAAGCAAAATGGCCAAAATAATTGCTGATGAGAAATGGACTTTATACAGTCGTTTACCAGTGTCATTTACAAAGGATACCGCTACTGAACTTTGCTCTGTTCCCGAATTCATAAGCAAGCCACAAACTTATTGCTGAATTACTAATGATTTGTAATTTATGCTTTGTGAGAAACATATTTGCATTATTAATGATGATAATTTCTTTGGAAACAGATTATTGGTACTAACATTTACAATATGAAAGAGGGAAAAATAAGAAGATATCACTTCATTGAAGTAGATACAAGGAAATGATTTTGTAAAATCAATTTCAATATTCAAGGCTTGGCAAGGATGGAAACTGGAAACAAATTAGTAAGGAATGGATGTAATCATGTGACTGTACTAGAGGGGTCTCTACTCTCCAGGCATGTCATGATTGAATAGAACGTATCCGAGAAAACTCATTTATATGGTTCATTTCCAAAACATGCAGTTGAGGGAAAACAAAAAGACTGCGCAAAAGTATATTATTGAAGTAAATGTAACACTAGATCACCACAACTAAAAAGAGCAAGAATAATCATTAAAGACATTGACTGCAACTGATTTGATAAGATGCATAACAATAACAATAACAATACTTGTGATCCATCCCAAAGTTGGCCCCAATAGACACTACCAAAGCCCCCTTCTCCAAGCTTGTTATCATAATTGAAATTATTTGTAGCAGAATGTAATTCCTTCAAAGAAAACACTCGCCATGTAGGCTGTTCTTTCCCTCGTCTTGTGCTGCATGAATAAGATTAATATCAAGTATCCATTGAGTACAAAAAAAACATAACTACATGAATTATGGTCATACTCATACCGATCCGAAGCCTTTCCGCAACAAAACCAAAAAGCCATAACCTTTCTACTAATCAGCGCCACCCCACCTTCTCTATCTCTCTACCTTGTCAATCAAGCCCAGAAAAAGTGAACAAAACCAAAACTTGAAAATGACCCACGAAACCAAACCAGGTGTTCTTGCCACTCCTCCTAGTTAGTTTCGGCGTAGAGGGAAATGAAGAGGTGTGACAGAAAAAATAAAAGGAAAAAACGAAAGCATGATTTTGCAGAATCTAATGTTATGGGAACGTTGCGTTGTGTGGGAAAGAGTTTTGTCTGATGTTACACAACACAACACAACGCAAAACCAATGTGTAAGTAAGCAAAGGCTCCTTACTCCTCCTTTCGCAGCTAATGTTCCAGCTGTTTGCATATCAATTATTACAGTAATAAAAAATAAAGGAAACAAAATTTACGAAGGAAAATAACATCATGATTTAAATTTGTATTAAAAGAAACATTTATAAAATTTTAATTAATTAAATTTTTATGACTTTTTTGATATATTTTAATTATTTTTTATTTTAACTCATCTAAATAAAACATATTTTTTACTCTTCAATTTTATTTCCTCCGTGTTTCATCTTTTCTGCAAACAGAACATAATATATATATATATATACTATTCACAGAGAAAAGAGGCTGAGTCTGCAATTAATTATAAAAATAATGAATTGGATTACGATGGAAGACAAGTCGCGTTAAGGAAATAAAAATGACGCGGTCATTTATACTTGGTAACAACTAAATTTTTCAGTTTGAATTTGAATTTCATGGTGAAAAACGATAAGATATACAATTTTCATTTTGAATTGGATGCTTTTGAAAAACTTGTCTTTATTCCAGTGGAGTCAATTATTCTTATCACATAACATGCAGATGTGAGTTCTTAAGATATAACCATTGATTTTATTCAAGAGAAAAGTTAATTTTAGTTCGCACAAATAACTTTCGAATAAGAAATCAATTACCCGTGATATTGTCCAACTTTTATTTTAAGAATTCATTTTTATTTATCAATATTATTATTGTAGAAAATTGCTGTAAAAGTTTTTATAGCCTGTGTGATATATGGCCCAACCATTTTATTACTCCCAACTTGTATCAAATGAACACTTAAATTGTTTAATTGTAGGTAGAGAGAGGGTAGTTCAAAACAATTAGAAATACACTTAGGACTATCAAGGTTTGGTTCAGCCCCAAGAAACCAGAACCCTCATACGAAACAATGAAATTAACAAATCATTGTAAGTCCCAAACATTTATGAAGTTCATTATATGAGTCTTTAAATTAAGAGAAATGACAAATAAAATCGTATTGTATGCACCTGTTGGCTGTATTAATTCATGTCGTTACCTGATCACATTTAACGAGTTGATTTGACACATTAAATTTTAAATGAATTGCTTATTGTGCTTATGATGTATCTGGACATCAAAACTAACTTTAAAAAATATAATTTTGGTTTCAAGTCTCATGAGGGAAACTACAAAAATGGCATTTGTTTAATATAAGTAAAACTAGGAAAAAAAAAGGCATCTATATATATTATTATTATTTTCACTTTCTGCCATACTGTGATTAATCTTCCTCAATGTGTGTACAAATTCAGGGATTTCTACAGCCTAGCTCTTTGCATGTACATTATATCTCTCTCTGGATGTACATAAATGACACAAATAAGAGCAGATAAGGTTTAAAACTTGTGAAATGTGTGGGACATTTTTTGATGACTTATTGCACCCACCTTCCTGGTCGGTGTGTTATTTATCTTTCTCCACCTTGATTGCTTAGTGATACATATTAATTATTAAGGAGATCTTTTTATGGTATGTCTTAAAAATATATAATAAAAAGTTATATATAGTAAATTTTTATTAAAATATCATAAAATTTAGTACATTAATAACATTAAATTTTATATTTTGATAAATTTATTATTAACATGTGGAACGTTAAAAAAATCGATATTAGAAAATTCGATCATGCTATATGCAAATACCACTCCCATGGACCAAAAAATAATACATCTTGCACTGTACTAATAATAAGAGAACATGTGCCACTATTTTCCACCGACCCAAATAATGATAATTAAAACACAATTTTATCTAATATTTATTATTTTAAATAGTTTTTTAAAATGTAACGTTAATCTTGTTTTTGTAGACTAGGTTTCATTTTCGTCTTTCAAGTCAGTTGTGTATCATATAAAACCAACCCAGTTACCAGTTATGTTCAAAAATCAAGGTTCAGCATCAACTCAATGTGGTCCCCCAGAAGCTATGTTGTTGTTGGCATTGAGTAATTCGAGTAGGTCAGGGAAGCCATGCCTTGTGCTTCTGTCATTGTTCCGTCATTTTGACAAAATTAACATAAATAGGCCTTCATAACAAGAACGAAACCATAACTTTTTGTTTTTGTTTAGGCCATTGAGGTTCCTCTGAGGATCGCAAAGGAAAAGCTTTAGTTATAAGCATGGATTGGTAAACAGTAGGGAAAGGCTCACCAAAAAACTTTTAGATTTTGTTCTGAGCAACCAAAGATTAATTTTCCTTCTGGGTCCAAAGCACTTAGAAATTGTTGAGAATGCTTCCATTTTTGTTGTGATGTGGAGCTTTATTGCTCAATTTGGGCTTTTGTCACAATTTTTATGGTCCAATATTTTGTTAGCTAAGCCTTCAATGACGTTGTACATTTGATTGGAAAAACATTGGCCAAGGATGAGGTGCAACAAGTAGAAGGGATGTTTAAACATGGCATTGACCGTTCAAAAATTCATAATTTTATGCATACATGTTTTGAAAAATGATTTGTATGTATTTTTAATACAAAGTACTATAACATTAATTATCGATGATATAAGAATTGCAAATTTGTTAAATAATATGACAACACAGCTCTGAATGATTTCATCAATTTGGTTACCTCAATAATATGTGAAGTAGATTATAGAATGCAAATTACATCTTCACAAAATTAAATAATGATCTAAGTCTGCACGTAACTACGGATTTTGATTTATAACGATGTCATGATCATGCGTTCATTGATTATTATTTACTATTAAGGAGCATCTATATTCTTCACGTGCCTTATACCAAAAAAAAATATAGAATATTGCTACAAGTAGAACCCATCATGAATAAAATTATTTTTATCTACTCTTTATTTTTTTATTAATAATTTATTAACTTGTTCTATTATTTACTTATATAACATTCAAATTGACTTTTATAACTTGACTTATGCATAACATAAATGGAATATTTCATTATTAACATCATGTTTTTTTAAAATAAAAGATTTCATCTAGGTAGTATGACTTATGAAATTGATATTTAAAATTATAAAAGTAATAATAGTATAAATGTCACATCATCATTTATATTAATTTATGCTATATTATATGTCACATAGATATATGTATTATAAAAAACAATAAATTGTTAATAGAGGAATTGTGTGATAAAGAAAAACAAATTTTTTGGACTTCAAAAAAAAATTTGTTTAAGTCAAACAATATTATTATCAGGTGACGTCCTTGAAATACTATTTTCGTAAAAATATTTTCATATTATATTGAAATTTTTAAAAAAATGTTAGTTAAATTTATTTAGAAAAATTAATAAAACAATTATTTTATGACATAGTAATTTTCCTTACTTTGTTTGCATATTGGGCCTGACCGGTTGAATCGAAGACACCCACCCACTTAGAAACCTTCGAAATAAAGTTAAGGATGCCATGTCGAATTGAATATATTTTTAAAAGAGTTTTAAAAACATAAAGAAAATACCCTGTTTGGATAACAAATCAAAGAATGTTAGATTAAATTATGGTTATTTTTTAATATTGCGTAAAATATTCGAATTATTTTAAAAAAATGAAATGTTGTTGAATAAATATACAGTAACAACTACATATTTAAATAACAATTTTATGGGAAATCCGTTTTTTTTCCATAAATAAATTGATTAGTTGTGTGACAATGACTGTGAAACTGAGGATATAATTCCCTTCGCTGTAAGAATCTAACCATGAGGTATTAAATACTTTCCCATAAATATTGTCTTGGCGTTTTCTTATGTAAACAAAAAAGAAAAATTGTGTAACCACTTTAATAAAATATTAGGGCTCTATGGTTTTATGATATATTTATTTTCTGTTTTTGATATTTTAACATAATTTTTGAATTTTTTTTCCATTTTTTCTATTTTCTGTACAGATCTCAAAAAATAAACACAGAATAAAAATAAAATAACAGTTTTACGATTAAAAAAATTCAGAACCCACTCTTAAATTCTTTCACTTTTCTTTTATCCCAACAAACGAGTGAATGAATAAATATCCAGTGCTATCATAGCAACTCAAAGTCATGCCTATGGTTATTGGTTATTCTCATGTAAAATATAATGTAGCTTTATTTATTTAACTCGTCAAAGTCATGTAATTAAGTTGTATAATGATTTTTAGTTGATTAAAAAATTAATTATATAGAAATTATGATTTTTGTTACCTTTTATGTCTATAAATATTTTTTACATGTTTACAATTTATAAATATACATGTGTAGTATATTTTATAAAATAGAAGGGAACTATTGAATAGTATACGAGAGGGTAAAATAAGACTCCATTAATATTTGGATTTTGTTATCTAATATCTTAAGATTAGCAAATAAGAAACTTAAAATATTTTTTAAAATTGCATCGAAATACATTAAAACTTATATTTCTTTTAAAAAAATTATATTCTTAACTGTCTAATCAACCCTCTAAGAAACCATTGGGTAACATTATCCTTGAACAGTGATCCCAAAACTTAGCTCAGTGGCAAAATGGAATACTATATTTAGCTTTGTGCCAAAATTTCACAACTCAAAGACAGCTGCTCCAGGCAATTTTTCAGCACCTTCCCTGGAATAAACATCACCGACCACAGAACTCAAAAGGCAGAGAGAATCACACCCACGTCATTCAACAGTGTTAGACCAATCACCATTTTCCATTTTTTTTTATTTTCTTTAAAAGTAAGAAGAAAATAAATTTGAAAATTCTCCCAAAAAAATAAATAAAAAAGAAAAATGGGTATTACCTAGTCCAAGATCTTTAAAACTACCCTCAACCTAACTTGGGAAACTCCGTCACTCGCTTTACATCTCCCATTTTTATATCATTCACCACATTATGCTTCCCAAACTTCAAACATTCTCCAACGGTCATGAACGGCGGCGCCGCCCCTCCCTCCGGTGACGCCTCCGTCAGGCGCAAGCGTAACCACCGCACGGTTCCCGTTAACGGCGTTAAGGTAGGCGCGGTCATGGGCAAGAACTCTATGCACTACTCCGAAGCTTCATTCATGAAATGGACCATCGCCGACGCGGTACACGTGGCGACCCACCATTGGATGCCGTGTTTGTTCGCTTTGGGTCTTCTTTTCTTCATGGCAGTGGAGTACACGCTCCGCATGGTGCCGCCGTCGTCTCCGCCCTTCGATTTGGGGTTCCTCGCCACGCGCTCTCTCCATCGCGTCCTCGAGTCGTCGCCGCATCTCAACACTCTCTTGGCTGCACTCAATACGGTACGGGGTTACATTCTTCAGATCTGAACGAATCTTAGTACTTTTCATGTGGGTAATACGGGGATCGAATCTTTTTGAAGTAAATGCAGATGGGTTGGTGCAAAAATTTGATCTTTTCATGTTTTATATTAATTTTTGTTGGCATTTATGGCTTTTATTATGGTTAGGTGTTTGTGGGAATGCAAACAAGTTATATCCTATGGACGTGGTTGATTGAAGGACGCCCAAGAGCCACAATCTCAGCACTTTTCATGTTCACATGTCGTGGGATTTTGGGGTATTCCACTCAGCTTCCATTGCCTCAGGTGATTGATCAAGTTACCCAAAGATGGCTAAATAATTTTTTAGTTTTCGATGATAATTAGGTAAAGTGTTTTTTTGTGGTTGTTGATGACAGGGATTTCTAGGTTCGGGTGTGGACTTCCCTGTTGGGAACGTGTCGTTTTTCTTGTTCTTTTCGGGACACGTGGCGGGGTCGGTGATTGCATCGTTGGACATGAGGAGGATGCAGAGGTGGGAGCTGGCGTGGACTTTTGATGTTCTTAATGTGTTGCAAGCTGTGAGATTATTGGGCACCCGAGGCCATTACACCATCGATTTGGCTGTTGGAGTGGGTGCTGGCATTCTTTTTGATTCTTTAGCTGGCAAATACGAAGATAGCAAGAAGAAAATTGCACCCCTCTCCACAACCACAGCTACAAAACACGCTTTTTGAATCAACATGTTCTTGGCTCATAGCTATATCAGACCCAAAAGTGTAACAAAGGGTCATACAAAAAGTACACATGAAGGCGTAAAAAGTGCTGATCGGACAAAAGAAGGGTTAAGGAGAGATATCAATATATCTTCATGTCAGGAGTAGTGTTAATTACCTTGTAATTTTAAATTTAAATTTGATTTATTTCACCAGTTTTGTATAACTGGTGAGTTTCATTTTTAGTGGAGTCTGAATTGGAATTCACTTTTTGTGATAGCTTGCCATATTGCCCTCAAGTTTGAAGCACTTTGTGGACGGAAGTGCGTTTTAAAGGAAGTTGATAGCAACAAGAGTTCATTTTGGCAAATTCATAGTAATTGGAAAACTACTACTATGTAATGTAAATGCAAGTGCAAAGACAAGGCTGTTGAACAAATTAGAAAATTAATCTGATTTTTAAATAACTCACCCGAGTAATGGAAGCAAGGAAAGAGTAACGAGATGTTGACTTGAATATTTTGCATGTTAACGTGTTTTCCAATTGGCATTTCTTGGAAAGAGGATAACTATATGAATATGACAATTAAGCTTTTAGTTGTTGTGACCCACATGATGTTTGCGCCGTTTTAGATTAACATATTTTTGTTTAGACCACCCAATTACCTAAATGTTTTAAGCATTAAGGCATGAAATATTTTTTTAATACAAAATACGCCACTTATTATATTTAAAATAATATTTTTATTTATAAATTTTTATGTAGTGTTGAGAGAATATTTGTTCATGAATATTATATATATATATATATATATATATATATATATATATATAACTTTAATTTTCAGAATTGAGTTTAGGCAGTGAATAATAAAAATATTTTATGGAAAAATATTTATTGTATATTTATATTGTTGATATAATGAATATTTTTTAATAAAAATGTTATTTTCAAATGTTTAAAATAATCCTTTAGGACCAAGACAAACAAAATTATATTTAAAATGTATCAATTAATCAACATAAAATTATATTTCATTAATTTTTAAATTAATTTTAACACATTTTGAACAAAACGTATGCATAGGTCTTTATGTGTTACCCAACATTTTTTTTATTAATTTTATTAAAATTCATTTTTTAAATTGAATTTATGCATTTAAGAGGTAAAATTTTATTAAAAATACATACATTGCATTAAAAATTATAAAAATATAATAAATATATATATCTTTAGAAAATATTATTATTATTAGTTTTTTAAACTAATTTTAAAGATTAAAATAATATTTTTTTATTTAGTCTAACTTTTATAATCTATTTGGTTGCCATGGAAATGGGAAGGAGGGAGAAAAAAAGAAGAAGGAAAGAAGTACCACAAATTGGCTACAAATCTAACTTTTACGTTTATGTTTTTATATTTTAAAAAATATTAAAATATTATAAAATTATAACGAATAATTTTTTAAAAGAAAACTGATTACAATAAAAAAATTTAAAATTGTATATTATTTGTATTTTTTTTATAAATATTGATAATATAATATAAGTATTTATTTTCCTTCTTTTTTTACTCATCTAAATAAGTTAAAGAAATGAATTATTATTTATTTATTCTCTTATTTAAAGTGATCAAAATAAAAAATATATTTTACTTTATTTTTACTATATTTGTCATTCTCATTTCTGCTTTACCTCCGATGGAAGAAAGCATTAATTAGAGTTGCGTATTAAAGAGGGAAATGGAGAGTGCAGAGTGCAGAGTGCAGAGGGAGCAGCTGAAGAGTAAATCAATTCACAAACTCATATTTCCAAATTCCAAAGGTTTGAATTGAATGAGAGGCATTCATTCAAGTCCCCCATTTCAAGCGCCGCATCTTTCGCGTTTTAGATTTTTAATTCAATATTAATACCATTCAAACCTTTGTTTCTTCCTAAGAAAAATAATATGTGAGAAAGAAGAGAAAGTAATGTAAAAATTAAATAATTCAGTGTGTTAAATATTCATAAAAAAAGTTAATCTATTACGCTAATCTTACTCAATTTGAATATAAAATACACGTGTTTTAGATAAAAATCAAAAAATAAATAAATGCTAAATGCTATTTTCATTCTTAAAATATAAAAAATGAAACCAAAATATATTTTGTTTAATGCAATAAATATCCTCTCGTCTTTCTCTTTTTCGAGGCAGAGGTGAGGCGCAAGTCATATGTCATGTTCTTTTCAGTAGTAATAGCTGTGATATCGCGATCTAACATGTTACCATGAATCTGAATGCATATTTATTAACAAGCATGTAAATTGTATCAATGATAATATCATATGCTACTTTTTTCAAGCAGATTACACATTCAGCCAGAAGAGGAGAGAGAGAGAGAGAGAGGCTTGTTTCAATAGAAATTCTTTATTAGAGAAATATCAGAAAGAGAAATAAGCTAGCAAGACCATAGTTTTTTCAATACTGTGTCAGGGCCAGCTATAGTAAATGTTCAATGCAGAGAGTGGAATTTACAATATACACTATATACTTGAGACCATCTAGAAATAAGTATTTATGCAAAGTATAATGTTAATCCTCAGACTCAGATTCCAATTCAATTATACATGATCCATCATCTACATTGGCTAGGGGGTCGTACATATGAGAACTAGGATCTGTGCATCCTACAACAAGATTCAGATCACAGCGATCACCCTGCAGGGATGTTTTCATTCATCATTTAGAAATTGACAAGTGTTCCAAGGAGAAGTAGTAGTGATTGAAAGAGTAAAGACATTAAGTAATGGAAGAATGTACTCACCCCTTCTTTTGACAAGTTACCAATCATAGCACATCTGGTTATAACTCTGTGTGTGTCTGGAAAGATTGCTTTTTCACATGCTCCTTCTTTACTGAGTTCGTCTGCCAAGCCCTATCATGGAATAGTACACGCAATTCAGGTTCATATTAACTAATGCTCAGAAAGATTCCTTTAATTTGTTGTATATTTAGTTTCTTTAATGATCCACTTGTGTCAAAATTGCTGTACTAAATTCTCAAAAGCTAGAATATACTTGACTAGTAATATCAAATCAATAGATAAGACTCATTCCTTCACCACTTGATTAATGTTTTCTTTTGGGGCTACATCATTATAGTTTTATCACCAACTTTAGAATGAAAAGTTTTGAAACTTTAAAATAAAATCTGAGTACGAAACATATATGGAGCTTTGGTTTATGGTTATGTTAGTGCTTTAGCCTTTACTTTTTTTTATTTTCTCAAAAGAAAGTGTGTGAGTTTGACTATAAGCTAGAATGATTTGTGTATAAGCTAGGGCACTTGATTCAGAGAGAAAAGGTCTGCTACCTTATTAAAGAAGTCAATTGGCTTGTTTTCTAAAGCCTTGGGAACTTTAAATTGCAGTCTATACGGACCATCCCATTCTACTCCATTTGTAAATGAGAAGATCAAGTTCAGAGCTGCTCAAATAGGAGAAAGTCAACAAGAGAAGATTGAAAGGTTTTGTGAGCAAAATATGTTGAGAAATATGAGTGCTATATTACCATGCTTAGGAATGCATATTTGAATGGTATAAATTGGAGAATCAGCTTTGCCTCGATCTTTTCTAAGCATGGCCCTTGGCTCACCACCACACATAATTGGCTGATTAAAACCACCTGAATGGATGAAATTCTATAAGTCAATGGGATAAAAACATGACCAGGAAAAGGAAGAAGTTCCAAAAGTATGTTATATTAACCTCCACAGTCTAACATGACAATATAGCTCAGTTTGGATATACTTCTCTATAAATATTTGTAAGAATACAAAATTAAGTAATAATATGAATCAAATTCATTCCATAAGTTAAAATTAACTTATATTTCTTTATTTTTTAGAATCTACTCTCATTATCTTCTCTAAAATGGGCCTTACGAAGTATGATGAAACCTTTCCTAAGGCTCAACATTTATCAATTCTTCAATGACTCCAAACATACCATGCTAAGTCTGAATTACAATTTGTAGTTTATATCACTTGTTCTTGAAATATTCTATGTGTGTTTTAAATGAATCCAAATTTTTTTGCCTTACAAATGCTATGGAAAATGACATTTTTGGGCAACCAAGTGACATCACAAAAATTACCATTAAAAGCAATTCCAAATTCTTCACTAGGGGCGAGTTGAGTTGCGGCTGGATTATAGAATAGTTTTAGCGTTTCTCCCTGCCAAAATTTGTGCAAATATTTACTGAAAGCTGATCGATTAAGTAAATCGCAATGAGTTAAAACAATACTTTCATACTTACTGAAGTAGGGGGGAGTCCATTCATGGTTTTCCAATAGACAGCGGATCTTCCAATTTCAAACGAAGCCCATGAAGGAAGCTTGTACCTGTAAACATTTATAGTAGATAATCATATTGTAAGATTACACAAAAATAATTTTTACTTCTTTTAACACTGAAAAGACAATAATAGAGAATAGTATTAACTATTAAGAGGGGAAATTCATACTCTTGAATTTCCTCAGTTGGAGATGTTGCAACAGCAGCAGCACTGATTTTTTGGCTGAATTTAACACGTCTTTCCTTCACGAGGTAACATCTTGGTAACGAAACATTGAGAAAAGGAGTAGCTGCATAACAAATCCAAGAGTTACGTACAAAAGAGCGTAGACTAATTTATCTCATTTATGATACAAGGTTGTTCACAAACCTTTTTACTATCCATTATTGGTCCTCAAGTTATATGATTCATATGGATCATAGCATACCTTGTGCATATCATTAAGATAAGAAATTGACATTCAGATTATGACGTGGACGGGGAAATGTCTGTGCAGAAATCTAATAGGGGAAAGATATTTTGCAGGTTCCACAATAAGTATTCTAAGTAGCTATAATTTGGCAAAGCCTTTACTTTCCCTGGTGGCAATGAAAGGATTCTGTAATATGAAACTTCTTATGGAATTTGAATGAAATATAAGTTATAACAACCCAACAGCTACTTCTTTCCCAATACGTTTAGAAATAAGAGAATCTTGATCTTTTAGTCCTTTAAGGAAAGAATAGTCAATAGTAAGGCTTGTTGGCGAGTATTTGTGGGAACAGTGCATATTAAAAGCTTTCATGTAATGTCAATGTAACGATAATTTATGTTGATTCATATTTTGGTGGAGAATCTTTCCTCTAGGATTATCACATAACAGGAACTTGAGTCAAAAGAGATATAATTATATAAAATTCCCATAATTAAACCTATGAAAAATTATGCATATTCACATGGTCCCTTCAATATTATTTGCAGCTAAAAATGAAATAAAAGCGTAATAAAGAGACTGACCAAGCGTGTTTGAAATGCTACGAGGCATAGGTAAGCACGGTTGCGTGGAAGAAGCAAAGATATTGGTGGTAGCCATGGATCACACTTTCTTTGTGCCTGCTTGCTATTGTATTGGACTGAAGAAAGGAACTAAAGAGGAGAGAGGAGTCGTAGCCAGCTGAACATGTCCAAAGTTATTATAGCCAAGTGATAGCAAGAGATAAATGATATTTTCAGTGGGCGTGTCCCGAAGTGAGAAGTGGCAAATGGTAAGATACTACAATAACAGCAAACTAAGGTTTTTTAAGATACTTAAAGATAAGGATTAAATAGTCAAATACGGTATCGGATAAAATTGTTAAATTTGGAAATTTTCATTAGAAATTAAAATATTTTATATTAAAATGCTTATTATTTTGAATAATTAAAAACACGTTTAATATAATGTCATTAAATAGGTTATCAAGAAAAGAAATACTCATTAAATAACGTATTAATTGACATTTGCACAAATTTTCAAGTTTCACAAAGTAATAGGATGAAAAGAATGCTCTGTTTTTCAAGAGCTAGTTTTTTATATTATTTAAATCAGATATATCTTTCAAGGAAGATAAATTTACTCAAATTATGGCGAGGATAGAACTAAATTGAAGTTTGGTTAACATTTTCCTATATTTAAATTTGTAATACTGACATAGGCTAGCAGGGGATTTTATCACAGAATTGAAGATATCTGGATCTTATTTCACGAATCCCACGAATGTGATTCACAGGCCAATACCCTTTAAGGGTACACCGCCTTATCCTCTCGAACCCTTTCTTATTCCACTTACTTCAACTTCAGCCCACATTTTCTTTTCCTTCAAAGCCAAACCATTTTCCTAATTGCGGCCACACCACAAGTGGTTGGTTACTTGTGCAACATCACAATCAACCTCACCACATAAAAACCCAAATACACACAAATTGCAAATTGCAAAAAGTGCAAAGCCTTTATACAAGGAGCAAAACTAAACACAAACATTCCTTCAATGGCTCTCATAACCTCCCAATCCAAAAACCCTCTTCTCCATCGCTTCACCACCGTTCACCGTGCAATTCCACGGTTAGATAGGTGTGTAATTGGCCTCGGGTCCTTCTCTAACAATGATGGGGTCATTAAAAATTGTAACTTTAACTCAAAGACAAGAAAAATTTCCCTGAAAAACAACCCCTTTACCTACAACATGCCAATGATAACCAAGGCCAAGGCCAATGCCAATGCCAATGCAGCATTTGGAGAGACAGAGGAAGGAGCGTTGAAGCACAGAAAGATCTTGTTGTCGGATGTTGAGGTGAAGAGAGAAAGGAGCGTGTTCTTTGGGAGGAAGTGGAACTCTTTGGATGTTGGTACTGCGGGTATGGTGTTAGCCATGCATGCACTTTGCCTTTTTGCTCCATTCCAGTTCAATTGGCAAGCTTTTTGGGTTGCTGTGGCACTCTATTTTGTCACTGGCCTTTTTGGCATCACTCTTTCTTTCCATCGGAACCTTTCTCATAGGAGTTTCAAGCTTCCCAAATGGCTTGAATATTTCTTTGCCTATTGTGGGGTCTTGGCTCTTCAGGTGGACTTTTTATTTAGTTGAAATTTTGTTTATCATTCTTCATGGATTGGTTTTTGGTTTAACTGTGTTTTCGCTTTTCATTTGTGTTGTGGTGTTGCAGGGTAATCCAATTGATTGGGTGAGCACACATAGGTACCATCACCAATTCTGTGATTCTGAGAGAGACCCTCATAGCCCCACTGAAGGATTCTGGTTCAGTCATATGAGTTGGCTCTTTGATTCCAATTCTGTGATAGAAAGGGTATATGAATGGTCTCTTTCTCTTTCATTTTGTTGGTCTGTTTCTCTTTTCTGAAGAGGTAAGACAATCTTAATGCACTAGTAATCTATTGTGGCATGTATATGTGCAGTGTGGAGAGCCAAACAATGTTGGTGATTTAGAGAAACAACCTTTTTATAGATTTCTACGAAGCACTTACCTGGTCCATCCTTTTGCTTTGGGAGCCCTTCTATATGCTATAGGGGGTTTTCCTTTCCTTGTTTGGGGAATGGTATTGAAATTTCTTTCATTTTTCTCTTCTTTTAAAATATGTTCATTGTTTTGTTGAATTAATTCATTGGTTAAGTAGAACTCATAACATCAAAGATAAAATTGAGGTCTAATGTGAAAGACTATTCCAATATACACTTTTCTTTAATAAACTTATTTGAATGCAGGGAGTGAGGATTGTTTGGGTTTACCACATCACATGGCTAGTTAACTCAGCATGCCATGTATGGGGGAAGCAGGCCTGGAACACAAGGGACTTATCAAGAAATAATTGGTATTTTTTACTTTTCAAAGTTTCATAGTTTGGTAATTGGTTTGAGTTCACAAGTTATTCTTATCTGTAATGTAAAATTTCTTAGGTGGGTGGCGTTGCTTGCATTTGGTGAGGGTTGGCATAATAACCACCATGCTTTTGAATACTCAGCAAGACATGGCTTAGAGTGGTGGCAACTAGACATGACTTGGTTGGTAGTGAGATTTCTCCAAGCTACTGGGTTGGCCACTGATGTCAAGGTACCCAGTGAGAGCCAGAAGCAGAGAATGGCATTGAATAATGATGGTAGAATAGCCACATGAAACACAATTCTTTATTTACGGCCATGGGTGTAAAAAAAAGGGGAAAAAAAACCATAATAACAAAATGAAAGATAAGGATTTGAGAGGTGCTTGTTGATGGCATAAAGGTTTTGGTAGGATATTGTTCTTTTGGGTGTTACTTTCAGCGGTCATGTATTACGAGTGCTGGATTTGACTATGTATATGGGACTATTAATAATAGTATAATAATATAATAATATTAGAATAGCACAGGAGATTATTTATTTATTACTCTTGTCATCACCTTTCGCTTATTATCTTATCATACCATGACATCTTGTGCTTCCTTGTTCATACCATTGCCACTTGCTCCACAGAACGAACGCAAATTGTGTGGACTACGTGTGAATTCGTCTCTCAGTTAGCATTGAATTTTCGACATGTTAATAGAAAAAGTAATATGTAAAGCGTTTTATGATATTGGTCCCACTACCATTCAGGCAGAGTAGCATTTGCATTTTCCAACCAAACATTAAGTCACGTCATGATTCTTTATTAACAGGGTTTGATTGTAAGTCAAATTCATTCAAACTTATCCTATTTTAATGTTACAAAGTTTTAGTTTTTACGTTTTTATAACAGTTTTCACGTTAAAATAATTATATTTAGTACCTTTCAAACATGAAACTAAAACTAAATATAAAATTTACAAGAGAAATGCTTGCAATAAATTTTTACTTTTAGTTAAAATTTATTAAAAACCATAAAAATATGATGGAGAAACATTATTTTAAGAGTAAAAAAAATAGAATTTACATAATTTTTATAATTTTCAATCAACTTTAACTAATAATGAGAATTTAGTTATAAATAATGTATTAAAGAATAAATTTATATTTAAATGAATTTGATGTGAATTCAAAAACATATGGTCAATAGTTACGGCCTGAAAAATGCACCGTCCACATTTTTTGGGCTTTTTGTTTGGGCTTCACCGACCAGTTAAATGTGAATGATTCATTATTGATTTATCATGTTTTACACGATGAACATCTTATTAAGATTGTCCCACGTGCAACCCTCAGAGGATAAGAATACTACAACCCACAAATACTGCTTTTCTTCATCTTATTGCGTTACAGGATAAAACAAATCCACATGATTTTCTTTTTCTACCTTATTTTATTTTTTATGTTTTATGAACCAGAATATTATAGTATCATCTTATAGCTTTATTTTATTCTTCTTCTACAATAAATTGTATTCTATAACAGAGATTTGGCTATTAAAACTAAAATTAAATTAAAGTCTATTATCATTTGTTATATTGTATTCTTATTTAACTCTTATATTACGGCCTGCTTTAGATATACTTTTTATAAGTATTTTTCCAGAAACTTTCATCTAACTTGTTTAAATAAAAGAAATTTTGGTTTTGGTTGGGTAAAAAACAAAAAAGATTTAGGTATGAACTAATCACGTTGCGGAATTTGGAGAATATAGTGATCGAGAAAGCAACCCCTTGGCATTGCTGTAGTCTCAAGCTTCAACTCACTCATTCAAACAAACACCGAATTCAAGACCTTTGTAAAGCGATTAATCTTTCACTTCTTAATCAACTTATATTTTATTTCATTAAAGTAAAATTATTAAGTTAAAAAGCATTCACTTAGTTGTGAGGTGGTAAAAGGTGCTTGACGGTACATTCTAATACTCAAGTTAAAAGAGTTATCTTAAATTGTTATATGAGTAACTTTATCGTTAAATATACCTATCATAGGTGATTAGATTTAAGTGTACGTGAGTGTCACTGTGTGATAACACAACATACTAAATAAAGCTATTATGTGTCCGGAATGTCATAGTAATTCATTTATCTCAATTTTGATACGAGGAAAGTAATTTTTGATGATCTGATCTAAGTTAGTATGACCCATGACGGATTGTGGATAGATTTAAGATGGTTAGTCCGATTCTAAGATTGACTTCAAATAAAATATTTTATTACATTAGAGATTTTCATAAATAAACATGGTGTGGATTTATAAAGGATTATCTTAATTTTGTAGAATTAGTTTATATAAAAGGGTTTTAAATGACATAATTTAAGGTTGAAAATTTTTTATGAAAGTAAATTTATAACAAAATTCAGTATATTTATTTTCACTCAACTACAAAGTTATAATTTAATACATTAACTCAAACGCAAATTAATAGTGAAATCAATTTTAGTCAAAACCAACAAAACATTCTAAAGAATTATATTATAATTAAATATACGCAATTGTGTAACATTTTAACGTGGATCCAAATATGCACATATTCAGTATCAAAACAACCATATATTTTTTTTATGAGGAAATGAATGTTTAATATCTTTCTTCAATGATACGATAGACATGAACTTGAAATGCAACACCCAATAACAAAAAAGAAAAAGAACTTCGCATATTTCGTTGAGACAAATGTAATTATTTCATTTCAACTGTCTGTTTATTTGAATGAGGTTTCCATAAGACTGAGGGATATTTGAGGATGTACTTGGCATTGAATAAAAGATTATAATTGTTAATCGAGGCATAACTCCTTCTAAAATGTTAATCTGATTTTTCTCTGTTGATAAAAATGAAGAGGGTGGATAATATTAAAAAGTAAAAATAACAGCAACAACCTCGAGCATTGAAGCCACCAGTATTTCATCATTACCTTTTTAACATAATCACCATACCTTAATGACCTCATAGTTGTGTCAATTATATGAAAATGAACAGAATAAAAAAACAGCATGATTTCAACTTTTGGTTTCTGTGGAAGAAGAACAAGAGAATACTATTCTTGTCATTTGGAATTTCGAAGCTACAAGAGGAATGGAATAATAATCATATGAAGACAGACAAAAGGCATTAGTTGCAGGAATTGAATAATAGCTTGTATATAGCACGGGAGAGCAAAATGCAGGATTATGAAGTCTATGGCTTAACTAGTTTAATTAATTCAAACATTGGTAAGATCGCCTTCAGAAGTATGTATATCCTGTAAATTATGTAAAATTTTGTTTGTTTAATCTGTAGCTGGTTACGTCAACACAAAGCATGCTTTAGACATTCACACTAAAAAATATCACATATATTGCTAGAACAATGATAATATTTTATCGCTGAAGGCAACTTTAAGCTTGGTTTCAACAGCTAGTTATTTTAATGGGCATGTGAAAGAAACTATTTTATTTTAACCATTTAATTTCACTGTAATACTTTAAATTATCTCTTCTCATTCTTCATTCAAGGGGATATATTTAGTGAAAATTTTTGTTTTTATATAAAATGAAATGAATAAATATAAATCATACAATTGTACATAAATTAATAATTAAAATTAAAAATTGATGAAATGATATAATTAATTGTAAAAGTTATGTAAAAATTTTAAAAATATCGCATCTTTTTTATGCTTTAATATTGTACATTTATGATAAAATTTAATATTTAAAATTATTCCCTTTATTCTCACCTAAAAATGACTTTTTCGTTTGATATGTTTTCTTTTATTTAGTTATATCTTCTGTGTATAAATCTAATAATCGTTCACATAAAATCAAATTGTTGACATTAATTGTTTTTATATCTCATTTAATACCTCGTGTTCATGTCATTATATATGATTTTGATCATGCATAAAAGATAAAAAAAAAAAAAAATAGGATTGCTTTATCTTACTTTTCAATTGGTAGACACCATATTTCCTTCATTTAACTGTAATTTGGATAGAAGATGACTTTTTCTTTAAATTTTGTCAATTGATTATTACATACATGAACATAATTTGTTATATTTGTAAAAGAATACTAGAAATCAATCTTTTTTATTATCTTAATGTACCGTAGTAAAAGAACCTATTAATCCGGTTGTCTAAGTCTCTAAGAAAAATAATCTTATTTCTTAGTCAATTAATCAGTTTGCTTACGTCAGTACAAAGCATGCCCCGAGAGCAAGCATTTCGAGGTTATTATAAAAAAATTAACATGCCTATTTTGATAGATAAAACTAATTAAGTTAAAGTATTTGTAAACCCATAACCTAGATTGGGCTGCGAGCTTTTGACTGCTGCAAGGTTAAAGTGTATATTTAACGGTTGCATGTGTGAGTGCAGGATGACATATTAAAATATACAAGATAATATTTAAGGAGAAATGTATAAACAAACTTGTTAGACTCTAAATAGCTTGATTTATGTATAATTTGCATTTGTGTAGTATACATGGTTCCACGTAACTAAACAGAAAAGAGTGCTCCTCTCCCCCAAATTTTCTTTCTTTTTCTTTGCAGATAAGAAAAGAGAAAGGAAAAAAAAAAGCTCATGGTTTCCTACATTATACTGATCGATCAGAGGCATTGAAAGAAAAATGGGCAAACTATAAAAAATGTGACATTGCAACTTTTCTTATTAATATATTTATTTGGGATTTTGATTTTTCAATTTGGCGGAATAGATGCTAAGTTGGATGGGTTGCCCCATCAGCAATGGCAATAGTATTGAAAAGTGATCTCATCATGGACTGCTATCTCGATCCATTGAGAATTGAAACCCTCCTTTTAATTTGTTTATCCCATTCAAAGTTATTGCACTTAGCTTGCTTCTCACCATGCATTCCCTTATTAAATTATTAAACTATTTTAGACGATTTTCAATTATTTTTTACTTTTTATTCTGTATTTCTGATGTAGACACTCATATATTTCTGTTACTTCTATCTTTTTCACACTCATTGTTTTTTTAAGACCAACGTTTGCTGTCATATAAAATAAAATGTAATATGATAAAAAATTTCTTTAACTAAAAAACTTGTTTACTTCGGACAATAAAATAGAAAAAGTTAATTGCAGATGCAGAAAGGGACAAAAAATGAAAGTTAAGGGATAATATGTAGCACGTGTGGAGCATGGTGTAAACTTTTCACCACCACCACCACCACCACCTGTGCCTTGTTGAACGGGCGTTATCTCTGCTCTGAGCCCTGACTTCGATGCACCATCACGGTCGCTGAGCTAGCTCGATGATACCTCGGGAAAGTGGAAAAAAGTTTACAAGCAGGAAGAGAGTGAAACATGAGAAAGGTGAATCATGTTCCCAGTGGTTGAGCCTTTGTCACTACAGATACCTCTAAAAGGCTTCGACATCTTTTGAGACACTGCATGCCATGGCTTTCAACTTCAACTTCCAATGCTGTCTCATCTCTTCTTCTTAATACATCACCTACATGTAAAACAACCTCTGCAGACACACTTCTAAATATTATTTTTCAATGATTTTTTTTTTCCTAAAATACTCTATTTTTTTCTCATATAACTAGATAAAAAATTAAATTAAAATGACAATAAACATGTGAATGATAATGAACACTTTCATAAAATAATATCATCATGTTACAGAAAAGATAATATCATTATGAAAGATTGAATAACTTTATATACATATATATTAATTAAAACTGTATAAAATCCACATGTCTTGTTATATGCAAGACTTTTTTTAAATTCTTCTGATTTGACTATATGTAACTTACTTTACAATTATTTTTACCGAATTGAGTTTTTGGAAATTTATAAAAAAATTTCTTTTGTCAATTTTCTTTTACATTGTACCCTCAGTTTTTTATATTTTACTTAAAAATTTTATAAATTAATTTTATTTAATAAATTTAATTAAAATACACTAGTAATATAAAAATATATATTACAATCTAATTATAAATATATCAGTAAAAATTATATTTTCATATATTCTACTTCCTTGATACTATTAATTTTTTTTCTAAACATCAACATTTTATTTTTTTATTAACATTATATTAAAATTATTTTTTAGTTAACTTGTGTGACATAATTCATAACATAAAATTTTACTCAAAATAAAATTTTTTAAAAATCCCTTTTTCAAATTATAATATCAAATTTTATTAAATTTATCAAAATTTATTATTATTATAGATATATTCTATTTAAAATTTTCAAACATTAAAAAATGAAAAAATAATTAAAATTTTATAACTAAAATATCAAGAGATAAAATTAAATATATAAAAAAAAGATTAAAGTGGTTAAAATGATATTATAGTTGTATTTGAAGGGAAAGGGAGAGGGAGACTGACAGGTTACCGGATGCAGGGAGGTGTCGGGGGGAAGTGAGGCTGAAACGGCGCAGCAACCTGCAAAGAGCAGGCGCATGCGAAGTGACCGGGGACGGGAACAGCAGGTACCATACTCTCACGTGTCCGGGAGATAACACACATTCACCTCGATTTAACCCAAAACCCTGCACGCCCTTCCCCATTTATTGCTTTTTGCAGGTTCATTTATTGTACATTTTAATAAAGTTCCTTTTCACTCACAACACCCCCTTTTTTTTTATAGAATACCATTACAATTTTATTCACTTTAAATTTTAAAGATTTTTATTTCCCTTAAATTTAATTTAAATTCATTTTGGAAATTAACAGTTTAAAACAAAGCTTTTATAGCTTTCTCTTCACTTGGTCAATGAGGCATTTAACTGTGTTCAAAGATGGAAGTTACAGGTTATTATTATTATTATCAGTTACTGTTTCAGAAAAAATATTTAATGTTTCATTTTGTTAAATTCAAATTTGAATATTTATTTTAAGCATATAAATTTATATTTTTTAATTAAAAATATTTTACTTATTATGATTTTATATTTTTAACGTAATAACTATTTTTTAATAAAAATTATTCATTTTAATTGTTTAAATTCAATCTAAAGTGTTAAAATATATATTTTATTTAATCAATTTATATTTGAATTTAAATTTTTTTAATTTGAATTGAATGATGCAAAATGATAATTTATATGTAATAAGCCTTTATAAATTAATACAAAATTAAGTGCATTGAAAATCAAACAACAACATTAAATATTATTATCTCTAGTCCTGTAAAAGATAAATATCTAATTCATCAATATCAACAAAAATTAATTATGTATAATAACTTTATATTGTATTCAATAAATATTTACTGTATTAAATGATGAATTTAATGTATTACGTATTAAATAAATGAATATATCTACGTTTATAAATAACCAATTAAAATTAGAGTTATTTTAATAAAAAAATACTTAATATTATTACATGTTATTGAAATAAAACTCTAATTTTAATTGGTGAGTAACATCAATAACATTTATAAATAATATAAATCTTATATTAATAACATAAAATGTTAAAACAAATTTTAAAATAAATAAAGATATATTTTTTAAAAATATTTAATACATATAAAGAAGAGTCTTTATTTTTATATTTAAAATAAAAATATTGATAGTTATTTTTTATAAGTAAAATTAAAAAAGTATATTATTTAAATGTTTTTTACTAAACATAATTTTATTTAAGTTAAATAAATTCAATTCAATATTTAATATAATTACATCACTCTCATGTTCACATATTATTATTAAACATATCAATTTCTTATTTATCTCCTTTTAACACAGATTAAAAAAAGGGTTTGAACATTAGCTTAGGAGTGAGGAGTAGAGAATTGAATGGAAGACAGAGAGGATCAATTAATAAGGTCCAAGTCTTTAAATAGTGGTGTCAATACATGTATTCCCGCGACAAGAATAGGAGGTGCAACACACACAAACCAAACTTCACAGCACACTCACTGTGTTCTTGGTGCTCCCTATCCTCCATTACTGGCCTGCTGTGGTGTTTCTTGCTTGCTTAATTCACACTCCCAATCCCAAATAAGCAAAGTGTTTGATCGTTCTCTGAGTCAGCCAAAACGGGTCTCCCTCTGTGGATGCTTGGTCTGGGTGCGGACCTCTTGTGGGCCGACATGAACCGCCTCCTCGCCTTCCTCTTCCATCAGGTATCAATATATATTTATTTTTTATAAATATGACATAAAAGTTGTGTTTTTATTTTTATGTTATTTCTATGTAATAACATTCGCTTCACTTTTAAGCTTTTCAAAATACCTTTCCGTTTCACTAACCAAACGTTAGTAGTAACTTTATGATGCATATTAATTGGGAAAACGTCATGCATGATGCTTTATTTATTATTAACTTTTTGTTCTGGGCAGGGAGTGTTGGATGAACAATTCTTGCAGCTTCAGCAGCTGCAGGATGAGACCTCCCCAAACTTCGTTTCCGAGGTTGTCAACATTTATTTTCACGAGTCCGAGAAGCTTCTCAGGAATCTCAGAGCTTTGCTGTAATCATTCTTTCTGTATTCTCCTTTATTAATTTGCGTTCTCTACTCTCTTCACCATTTATAGTTCTCTACTAGCCATAAAAATAATCGGAAGACACTGGATGAATAATCTACTGTGAAAATTTTTTATAAGAAAATGCTATCTTTCATTCATTATTTTCACATCAAAACAAATAACAACAATTATACATTATAAATTCATGTTTTATTAAAAAAAGCACTCATACTATTAAATGAGAAGTAAATGAGCCAGTAAAAAACTTTCGTTTATTGATTTAGTCAATATTTTAAAGACGCTCATTAATGTGACATAAAATTATTATATGTAACGTTACTAGCTTGTTGGTGTGACGAATTAACGATGACTGATAATATAATATGCAGGATGGAGAGGGAGTTTTCGGACTATAATAAAATGGGGATCCATTTGAATCAGTTCATGGGTAGCAGTTCCAGCATTGGCGCCAAGAGAGTTAGAAACGTTTGCGTTGCCTTTCGTGCCGCTACTGAACAAAACAACCGTGCTGGGTGGGTACCAAGTTGATTTATTACCATTCTCTCTAAATCTGTGCATAATTTTTTATTCAGCAACCATTCACTGCCACCCTTTTCCCCGTTTATCCTAATCATTTTACACTTTATCCATTCATTGCAATAATCCTTTTTCGCAATGTTATATTCTCACGTTCTTATATTTGCTAATGTACTACAACTCAATGTTTACATTCTCAGAAGAATTTCGATTGAAATATCTGAGTTTGGAAAACCAACTTCATAAGTAGTACAAAAATATTATTTGAGTACCATTTTGTTCATATTTGCCAATTGTCATTGCCAAGTTCTAATTAACTAACTACCATTGTTTAATCTTTACTTGATTGCAGTTGCTTGCGAGCGTTGGAGATGCTGGAGCATGAATATTGCTATCTCAAGAACAAATTGCACGAATTATTCCAAGTAATGTTGCACAACACCTAATTTAGCTAGCTGGCCATATACCTAGTTTTATTAAGAAACGTTAAATACTTAATATTAAATATTTTTTATTATTTGAATATTTTAAATGATTTTTGTATTGTTTATAAATATTTCCTTATTATTATTATTATTATGAAAGATATGAGTCAATTTATGTGACCTTGTGCTTATGATTTGGTGATGAGCAGATTGAGCAGCAACGTGCTTTGGCTGCAGGAGTGAGGTACCCATTGCAGAATTAATAAAGCGAACGAATGAAATGACGATGAAATTAATATTTGTGGGATATTTTTAGTTTTGATTTTGCTTTGTATTCCTTTCTGGTTTCGTAAGGCTAAGGGGCACGTCTTTCCGGTTTAAGACAAACCAAGCGATACCCAGCTTTCGTACTTTGTTATGTAGGGAATAGAAAAAGGGGATCACCGCCTCTGGCGTTTTGGATTCTCTCGTGTACGAAGTGCCATCATGCTCTTCCTTACATTATGCTTCGCTGTAAGCCTGTTAACTTTTTAAACTAAAGTGGATCAAATCTATTGAAAGTTGGTAGTGTTTTGATGTTCACTATTCATAGAAATTATGCTGCGTTTGTATTTTAGCTAGAGAGAAGTTGAATGAAAAGGGTATATTAAAACAGCAAAAAATCTAAAGCATGAAAAACGTTGTACTGAACAACTCAGTATTCATGGCAAAGTATAATTAAATCAGTAACTTTCTACCATTAAATTGAAATCCTGCACCCAATGTAATTTCTTAAAAAACATTTGATATCCTAATCTCATTATGAATCAAGGCTACCAGGGTATTGAATGAAAAGGAATAAAAGTGGAAATGAGTATGGTGTATTACTTTATTTGGGTATACGGAAAGAGAACAAGGGATTGATATATATTTTTTGGATTATTCTTGTATTATTATTTTTATATATTTCTTGATCACATCATTTGTTTTATCACTTTTTTTTTTGGGTCTCGCTGTCCTCTGTGCAAGATGTCATATAAAATGAAGTATAACGCATATTTTATTTAATTTTTTACTTGGACGAGAAATTCTGTTAATTGGTCTATGAAATATATATAATTATACAAAAAAAGGGGAAAACGAATGGAATCATATACAGTAAGATTAATTTGAATAAGAACCTCATTTTTTAAACTTGGTGTAAAAGAAATTTCAGCTAATTAAGCATAGCTATTTAAGAGAGGGTTGGAATAAGAGTTATATTTCAGTACATATGAAACACTTATGATTTTTGTAACTTTTGTGAAGTAATTTTCTCACTTTTTACCACTTTCGTGAAGAAATTGAATTAAGGAAAAGATGTACCACCATATGAAAGGGAAGAGAAAAAGTAAAGTAAAATGAAAGGAGAAGTGAAAGAATCGTGACTTTTCCTTTTTTAACATCATCTAATAATTAAAAAAGATGTCTCCCTTCTTTTACCTGATTTTATACAAATATATATACTGAAACTCGTTAGAGTGGAAGACCAACCAAACAAGAAATGAACTCCATGCACCAATGATTTCTTTCCGCATACCAAATAGAGCCTACATTTGAATCTAGTTTGAATCTTTACGTAAATAAAATTTGACCAAGAAAGGAATATTCAAATTTAAACAATCCAAATAAATTTGAAACACACAATCTGACATGGGTAGTTCATTTTGGGAATACGGTATGATGCACAGAAACTAAGAATTTATCTAGTCATAGAGATATTCTTACATCTCTTTCCTACATGAGAGAACTGTGCTTACACCAGAGACCGAAAACTGGGTGGTGTCAATCACCCTATTTGTGTGAGGATCACAAAAGGCAAAAGGTAACAGAAGAAGGTAGCTAGGACCTCTTTTCTTTCTCTCTCTAGTTTCTAGCTCGTTAGAGGTTCAAGTACCAAACAAAGCAAGTGTTTCAATAGGTTAGATATTGCATTGCATTTCAACGCTTCCCAATGCTCCTTTCCTTTCTTTTCCACCAAACAATTCGACAACGCCACTCTGCAGGAGAATCTATCTTTGTAGATAGGTCAAAAGTTCGAAGGGTCTGCACTTCACTGTCCACAAATATACATTCAAAATTCAAAAGAACATACTTACATGTATATATATATATATATATATTATATTTATAGTGACCTTTTATTCATTCTTTTTGTCACAAGTCATTAGTAAAAGATGGGTCTCTTATAGTTTTCAGTTCTAGGCTATACATATAACCCATATGAAATAACATCAAATATTTGACAAACTAATTCAATAGCGTGAGTGGACGAAACACTGATTGATTTGATTATTTCAAGCTGAGAGGAACCTTTGATGTTGGTAGTCAAATTGTTGACCAAAGTACAACAATTTAAGCCTACATCATATACGAGTCCATTTCGGGTTGTAGTCAGTGCAGAGAACAAGGCTGAATCTGCATGCAGACAGATGCATAATGCGGCCCACTCAGCCACCATGTCTAGTCTAGTTCATGTACAGTGGACATTCCGTAGCTATCTCCTTTGGTCCACTAGGTTATTAGCTCATGTCTAGTCTAGTTCATGCACAATCACACAAACGCACATCAACTATATTTTTAGACTTAAAATCGATGTTAATATTTAGTTTAGTTTTCTTCAATACCAAATAAAATATATTAAATACATTTTTATTGAAGATTTCCTGGATTATATAACTATTATTACTGGCATGCAAGAAAAGAGAGGTATTATATAATACCTCATTTGTGCGTTAACATTAATCATCTTCATCATCTGGCATCAACACAAGTACCTCTACTGGCACTCGAACCTGAATCGACTTGGAATTGTTTTCTAACAATTGCCATTTGGACCAGGAAAGCTGATTGCCATTCTCTGCATCTTTTTAGTTTAAGCAACATTGACATCAGTGCTATTGGTGTCTCTAAAAGCCCAGTAAGTAGGCCCATTATCAATAACGATCATTTGCATCTTCTCAAATATTTCTACATTGGCCTTGAAAAACAGGACACCTAGGCATCCATGGTGCATGAATAAACGCAATTTGCATACGTCTTCCAGCTAAATTTTTCTGTATAACGAGAACATGTGTAATTAGTTTAGGAATGTGTTTGATAATACAGATTAAAACTTGCTTATGAGATGGAAATAAAGAAATCAAAGAGACGTATTACAGAATACCTTACTTGTTCAATGATGAATGGTTCACCTTATCTGTTTACCCGTATTCGAACCTCAATCATTATAGCATTGCCTTACAACAATTGTCATTGCAACTTATTCTTAGAATATGAACAAGCAACATCTATGAGGAATTAATATCCAATTTTTGTTTTTGTTTTGGTTCAATCCAATTCATGTTTAACGCCACATGTATCTCTTCTACTTTTCAGTCAGGTCCACATCCATCTCTTATGCGGCCTGAATTAATAAATTAGGGCCACAGGTTGATACTATGGAGGATGGGCCCAAACCTAAGAGCAATGAAGGAAACAAAATGGAGATTAGAAAAAATATTCTTTTTTAACTGCTCAATGTACTGTTTAATTAACATATCTATTTTATTAGTGCAAATAAGATTATATTTTGAAAAAAATAGGTTTTTCATATAACTTTAACTATAGGTAAACCTATATATTTGTATAATCTATATCTATAGACAATACACAAGTAACTATATCTCAGAGTAGTGTTTTTTATTATAGAAAAATTGGAAAAAAATCAATGAAAAACTAAGTAAACAGTATAAAGTTATTAATTTATTTGTATAGAATTTCAACTAATCACTTGAATTAGGATCAGCATTGCGTCACTGTGTGGTGAAGTTAATTAATACAAACAGAAAAAAATGGCACCACAAAACAAGAAGGTTATAACAATAATTGACTGATAAAAATGAAGTACTAAACCATGCATGACACATATGGTACATTGGAGTATCATCATATGAAATGTAAAAGATGTCTCTCAAAGCCCAGCATAATCAACCACCACCCTACCTGTAAATTAGCTTCGCACGAGTTTTCTTTTCACTTGCCTCACCAAACTATAACAATGAAATGCCAACCTTTTACATTTTGATGTGGCAAATTTTCGTCCACAATGAAATATTTAGCCGGTGATGATTTGTTTGGATGGTATTTACAAACGGCATTATCATGCTACATTTGGAATCAAGCACACCTATTAGACTAGATTTTGCGGAAAGAATCAAGCCCACTTATTTAAAAATTTTCGTTGTTCTTTTATTTAAACCATTAAAAAAATTGAACTATTAAGCAATTTTTCTAAATTTAGTATTTGTTAACTTCTAACAAATCATGTTTAACAAATCCATGGCTTCTAAGTTTTCATTAATATTAACTATATCAATATTTTGTAAAGAAAACACAAATCACTAATATTTTGAGAGAAAGAGGAGATGATTAAAGTTAAATAGGTGATAATATTAGGTAGAGGGGCGGTAAAGGGCCACCCTAACCCACTAAGATAGCGTGTTTTTTGACCATGTAAATTGAATTATAGTCATCCTAGCTCGATTCCATGATAGTGTTATTTCGTACCTTAGAGTTTGAATTTTTGGGTTTGATTTGATAGATATAATTGGTGGGAACGCACCGACCAGCGAAAGAAAGGTTGCCATTTCCATCATCCAATCCCATCCATTCATTGCCCATTTTGTCTACGTTACCAAAGAGGCATTTGTTCCCTCTTCCACCGTGCATTCTGTATTCTTAAGTCAACTCTACATTTTAAAGATGAAAAACGTGGAGTTATAATTGTTACTTAAATTGATATATACAATTGTGATTATGGGTCTGTGATGAATTATGAATTTATTAAAACTTAAGTACATAGTTGATGTGGTAACTTAATAAACACCCATTTTTAAGTTCATATTGTTTTCGTCCCCAAACAGGTGCTTTCACAATTCAAATTATAAAAATAAAGTCAGACAGATCTTAAAAATATATATATATACGTCCTTGTCATTTAGGGCATGCAGATCTTTTCTAATTTAAGTAATTAAGGTTAAGCTAGATTTCTAGTTTTGGTGGAGTTAGGAAATTAATTTAAGTTGACCAAACTTCACCCACATAGTTACCTAATATCGTGTTATCTATTATGGGTCCCAAAATGTTGACTACCGTGAGTGAGTGAGTGAGTGAACGTAAACACTTGTGGATATATATAACACTCTTATCGTAGGCCGTAAAATTAAAGTCTGGGTATAAAAAGGAGAACAATTTATTATAATAAAATATTAAAACTAATATGACAATAAACACGTACGCAATATCATTATAATATTGATTGCTACTTATGCATCTATTTTTATTTTAAAAAATATATAAAATACATATTTTAATACAACAGTGTGTTTTGAAATATGTGCATGCAAATTAAGTGACATCATTTATATTTAGATAATAAAAATATGTCTAATTGATTTTTTTTTTCTTCCTATCAATCTACTTAATAATTTTCTTTTAAAAATAAATATTATATATCTAAATATCATCTTAAAAACACAAAATTTCGCGAATCAAAATTTCATAAATAATCAATAAAAATATAACGCTTTATGGCATATCAATTGTTTTGTATAAACAAATATAAATATATATATATATATATATATAAAGCGTAATTATATTTTAGTTAATTATTAAGTAAAAAAATAAATTCTAATAATTAAGAAATAAATATAATTTAGTTTTAAAAGTTATATAGAAATTGAAGGATGATAACTAAGAAGTAATTAGGCCTAATAAAAATGAAAGATACGTGTAGTGGTTTGTGTAAAAGATCACGTAAATATCTATCAACACGACACACACGCGAGTGGAACCTTTTTATTAATTATTTTATGTTGTCCATTGGTGAACGATGCTGATGATGATTTATGATACCTTTCGCTTTTTTCCATCTAAATGAACGCAAACATGCCATAACCTCAACACCGTACCCATACCCAGTTCGTTTATTCCCTTTCTCCACTCTTCACCAACACACATATATCTTCCTCTTCCAACTCCTCAGGCAAATCAAAACACAGAAGAAGAAGAAGAAGAAGAATGAAGGAGGAGTTCGTGGTTCAAGAAGCGTACGTGTTCGAAGAAGAGACACACCTCACAGTCCTCAAAACCTCTCTCTTCTTCAGCGGTGATGGCTTCGCCGTCTACGATTGCAAGGGCCAACTCGTCTTTCGCTTAGACACCTATGGACCCCACGCGCGTGATAAGGACGAACTCGTTCTCATGGATTCCCATGGCCGTTCTCTTCTCACCCTTCGCAAAAAGGTACAAATACAAACACTGAAGTTTTTCTTTTTAATAAATTAAAAACAAAGTTTTTTGTTTTTATTTACTAATAAAAAAGGACATTGATTTGATTTGTGAGACAGAAACCGAGTCTTCATCAACGGTGGGAAGGGTTCAAAGGGGAGAGAACGGACGGTGATAAGCCCATGTTCAGCGTGAAGAGATCGTCCATCATCGGACGGTCACGGACGAGCATCGCCGTGGAGGTGTACGATAACCCCGGTGTGGAGTACCTAATCGAAGGGTGCTTCCCGCAGCGGTGCTGTAAGATTTTCAACGGCGCGAAGGAATTAGTGGCTGAGATTCGTCGGAAAGTAGACCCCACTACTAGCGTTATGCTTGGGAAGGAAGTGTTCTGGCTTTGCGTTAAGCCCGGTTTTGATGGGGCTTTTGCCATGGGTCTGGTTTTGGTACTTGATCAGATCAACGGTGACCATTTCTTTGATAACGAGATCAAGGAGCCTGCCGTGCACCCTGCCGCGCACCCTGCCGCAGAGGATCGAGGACTTGTTGATCCCGTTTCAATTTGAGATTTGTGTTTATCTTAAGCTTTTTTCTGACTCATCTTTGGAGTGTCCCCTCTGCAAAGGTTCCTCCCTGCCCTTCTTTTTCAGACTCATCTTCCTTTTTCTTTTTCTTTTCTAAAAAGGAAATAACTATGATCTTCTCTGTTCACTGTACAGTTTCTATACATAGAAGATAATGATCATTAACTCATCTTAGTTTCCACGAAATATACAACTGCTTACGACACAAGCAAACCATTAATGCAACGAGAAAGAACAAATTAAAAAATTGTCATTTTCATAAGTAAATAATTAATTAATAAATTGCAAGACTATATTTTTGTATAAATATAACTTTTATTTGTAATTAAGAAATAACTTAATTGCGTTTATGATCCTTCTAGTTTGAATTTTATCTAATTTTTGTCTCTTCATTTTTTTAAAATTAATTATGTATCTTTACGTTTAAAATTAAACAAATTTAATTCGGTTCGGTTAACAATATTTTTACTTTAAATGTTGAAATTATTACTTTTATCTAAATAATTAAGAGTTTACAAGATATGCAATGATATTACAAGTTCATAATAAAGCAATTGATCAAATTTAAATTTTTTTAGATCATCTGAGATTAATAATCGAAGAAGTTTTTTTATTATTTTAAGTGTAATATAATGTTTGTGTTAATATTTTTTAATAGATTATAAATTAATTCACATAATTTGTAAATATTTTCATTAAATAAGTAAATAAATAAATTTATGAATTTTTTATATTAAATAAAATCAATGTGACAAAAACACTATAATTATATATTTGGATTATGAATTTTAGGGAGAGATGATGATATCTTACTATTTTACTTAAAAGAGACGAGTGAGATTTCAACTTTATAATTTATTAGATATAAAATTTTATTTTAGAGATCAATTAATTGAGATTCTGAAATTAAAATTTCTCCTCGATTATAACACAACCCAAATAAATTTCACTTATCTTGTCTAAGCAATTCTTCCGGTTATTTTTATGTAACTTTCCTCTTATATTCATTAAACCATCACCCATTAATACAATACAGCCATTTTTTATTCTAAATTCAAAGCTCCACCAATCACTTAAAATTACTAAAATTTTATATAATTTTAAAAAATATAATTTAACTTTTTTTTTAAAAATTAGGAAGTGATATCCGACCAACTTATAGGAGTATTGTTTATTTAATTCTTTACCAAACCAGAAAATACATTTTCCAAACTCACGTAAACATATATATGCATGAAAATTTTAATAACTTATAAAATTAATAAAATTTTAAAAAATTTGGGACAAAATATTAAATTAAAATAATTACTTTGATTTAAGTTTACATAAAATAAATTGAAAGAAGAAAAGCTAAAAAAATTATAAATATAATAATTTATTATATTTTTTTATTCACACCATGATGTAACTTTTTAAATAATTTTTTCACCACAACAACGTCGGGCTTATGCTAAAAACTTGAATAATTATATATTAAGAGAAAATATGCAATTTTATCTGTAAACAAATTGTAAATTTATTTATGCAAGAAATTTAAAATAATAAGATTATGTTTAAAATTTTTAAACATTGATAAAAACGTGCTAAATTATGCTAAATGTGCAGGCTTTTATTTTATTTTATTTTTCTTATGCTTTTAAGAGTAGAGAGACCCCACTCTTTCCCCAACACAAAAAGTAAAGATGAAAAATCTTTGAGAACTTTTTTTAGTAGCTGGTAGAAGAGAACAAACCAAGCTTAATGCATTTTTTTTATAGAAAAGAAAAGTGAAACTGGTATATTATTTATTCAAAGTAACTTATTTTTAAATGAAAAGCAACAATTTTATCTGCATAATCTCAGTTTATAAAACAAAACAGATGTTTAGATAAAATTGGATTGGATATAAACTCTGATTTCCTTATACTTACTATTTTCTCCTATTATTTTTTTCTATCTGAATGATTATTTCAAAATGGTGCCGACCTAACTTAAAGTTCTCGTACATAAAGTGCTATATCACATTCTCTCATCTCATCCATTTCTTAATCATATATTCTTTGAATAAATTCTGTGCAGGTGATAGTAATCGATCTTTCCTTCTCTTTTTGACTAATAAACATGCATAGTTTATGGGTACCATGTTTTAAGAAAGTAAAAATAACTATAAAAGTAAATAGTAGAAATCAAAGTAGAGAAAACAAAAATGAAGAACTTCAATTACTACCGTGATCTTGCTTAGAACTACATCCAGTGAATGATAATTGTGGTCTACACCAAATCAGAAAGAAATTTAACCGTGCTTCTCATGTACACCGTTATATATTTGATGAATAAAAAAGAGAATCATTTTCGTTTCGATAAACAAGGCTACTTTTGTATAATCCTGAATAAAGAAAGCCAAACCCAAACAAATAGACCAAACATTAACACACACAAATCCGACCAAATTAAAGTGAAGAAACGTGAAAATGGTGTGAGAATCTGCTGAACTGTAAGAGAATCAGATTCCTGTTCATATATCACAATTAACAAATTATGATATCTGTCCATGCCATTTGGTTTATAGTACCGAAAGCGTGTAAAAATGGAGCCCAACCTCTGATTAATTTAAGGATCAATATTCGCATCATGAACATTGCAATAGTCAGCATATCCAATTTTGCTTTTTACCAGCTTAAACATGTGCGACGCATATATAAAACCACGTAAAAACGTCATGGATCATAGTTTGGTTATATGTTATTCTTACATATATAAGAATTATTATTATAAATTTTTTTCTTATATGAAGATATAATATTTATATCGGATCTATAATCAAGCTGTGATAGGTATTTTGAAGAGAGAAATATCTGGTCTTATGAAATGACATATGTATTGATATTAATTAGTATACGGGTAATTATTTTTATTGACATGAATATATTTGTAATTATTTAATAACATAGAGATATAATATATTAATATGATATTATTAGTCTAGAAGCCACCTTTCAAACCTGTGGAGGGAACCCATGTGAGGACCATATTAACTCCTCTTTCCTGAAGGTTAAAATTTTTAAATTCAAGAATCATATTCCTGTGACGACCATATTTTGTTATAATTAAAAACACTTTTTCATGGTAAAGCAAAGACAAAAGTAGTACCCGAGTTCAGGAACCATTCATTGAATGCTGAGTAAGACACATACAGACTCTAAATGTTTACATAGACATTATTACCTGAGATACATACGAATATGAATTTGATTGTTTCTCAGCATAAATACTTTAAATAACAAACAAAATAAAAAGAAAATTGCATTGCATGGACTATTTCATTGAAGAATATTTACAATTTATCCGTAGAGGTTTACAATTTTATGTCTTGATAAAAATAAGTTTTTAATATGACCATTTAATTTATATTTTCTTTTATTTAATCATTTTAAAATTAATCAAGTGGCATTCCACTCATTTTTTAGGACATTATATTTTCTTTAAAAGGAAAAGTCAGACCTATCAAATAGTTAAAGCATAAATATATATATATATATAATACGAGGCAAAAATTGAATCAAACTTAAACCAACATTAGGATTAGGTTCGCTATTGCTTGTAGGAAATAAAATAACCTCAAAGCATGAGTAAAATCCTAATGAATCCATGCTTCAGAATTAAATTTAGAAAACTAAAACTCTTTATTGAACCTATCCCGAAGAATACTACATGCTCTAATAAACAAACACAACAAAGGAAAAATAAAAGTGTACATGAATCGCATAATACTTAGTAGTAGTTAACAATCGCATACCCAAATCTTATTGATTAGTACTCTATGAATGGTCTACATCTAAAGCAACATAATCATGAATGAGGAGAAGAAGAGGAAAGGAACAAAACTAGGAAAAGAAGTTGGCGAAGAAGAGGAAGGTGGTGTTGGTGAAGTGGGTGCAGAGGAAGAGCCTGACACATTGATGGCTAACTTCTGGCCATTGGCACAGTGCTGACCAAACCCACAAATGTAGTAATGTTGGCCACTTGTGTTTATGGTCACATTGGCAGGGCCCGTGCTCAAGGCACTTCCTAGAATTCTTGAATTGCATGAGTTGTATGACTCTTCTGACACTTCTACCACATTATGCACCCCAGTCTCGAAATTGAACCCTGCACAAACAACCCATGATTGTATTTTTATTAATCTAGTGCCAAATTAACATAAGAAAAAGTTAACATTAGTTGAATTTAAAGAATTAATAATAGAAAAAGTTTTATTAAAAAATATTTATCACATTTTTATAAATGTTGATTTTAAATATTTTTTTTCAACTTCTTATATTCAAATTCAACTTTAAGAGTTGAGAATGATAAAATATTTAATATCATAATACTTTTACTTTTATCTGTTTAGAGGATGAAAAAAAAAAAAAACAAAACACAGACTAAAGAAAACAATTATTGAATTTACTAGCTTATTATTTATTGACCAGTCTCTTTTAAATTTTTTACTACTTAAATAGTATAAATATTTTATATGAATAAATAGATACTAATAAAAGAATAATAATTAGTATTATATTAAATTTTTGTGTAGGGAAATACATAATAACAAATTTTTTCATTGTTAGCAACAAGAACAAAAATATTTGTATAATAAGATAGGTGATATATGTATATTAGGATGATATATATAAAAAAATTTGTTGCTTACTTAGAATATCTCCAACTGCAAAACTCTTGTCAGAAGCCCAATTTCGGTATGCAGAGGAATCTGATGGAACTCTCCAACCCAAATCGTCTCCAACAACATGCACTCTTTGTGCCTCTGCCGATTGTGTAAGCATTAATATTGCCAATGCCAACACTCCTCCAACTCCAATAACGTTCATCTTGTTGATGCTCCTTAATTTTTTCCAAACTATGTGTGCTTTGTTAATTAGTATAAAAAAATTGAAGTCATAAACTAACAATTGGAAATGAAAATGAAGAGAGGAGTGTGATATAGAAGTGAAAGCTCATCTAATATATAAATAAGGGAAATTGCATAGACATTGAAGTATATGGTTGAGGTTTTCAACGTAGCATTTGTTGGGTTTGCGTGATCATGCTGGCAGCTCCACCGGTGGAAACGCCGGTCATGGCGTTCGCCATCACGGAGGTGACACTCAAACCATTACCAACCTAAACTAAGTTACCAACTTTTCATACCAACCACAACATTTATTTCTCTTAACTCTTAATTGACTCTTTCCTTCTTCCATTTTGCATTTCATGTTACATTTAATTGAAATTGAAAATTTGCTTTCGCTTGATTAATAATGGCACGTTGCATGTAGTTACAACAGCAACATACTTGGAGATAATGTTGGATAAATTAAAAGATTAATACTTTGGTTAATGATGTTAAGATTGTACGAAACTGTAATAATACGTAACCTGATTTAAGTATGAGCTCGTAAATTCGTTCCACACTTAACATAATTAAAGGTTGTTTGTGATAATACGCCATTTTCTTTATTCCATGAATTAATTGAATCATTGATCTTCTATCTTCCATTTTTAGGTTTGTCAACATAATTATCTTATTTTCTTAACACTAGTCTATTTATGAAAGATTCACTTGAGCCAACGAGAAAATGCATTATTCAAATACCTTAGAATTCGAGCACCTACTGATTGTAATGGATTTGAAACTGGTATAGATCTTAGCTCAATCTTGATTTCCCATTGATTAGTTCGAAATTAATGAAACTGTAAAACACGTAATGCGATCCTAAATAACATATAAAATAAAGGATAGAAGCATAGTTTTACAACTCAGCAAGGTATATTAATTGTTGACCTCACAAGTGGTCAGTGTAATTATTTTTATGTAAAATAGTTACTATAAAATAAGCCTTTAAATCCTAATTTAGGTTATCTCATTTTTTTTTCCCCACCGAGATAAGACAAAAGTTCCCCTATTCCTTTACGATTTTCTTTCTTTGTTATCCAATAAAAAAATAGCATATTAGTAAAAAAAAAAAAGAGAGAGAATATTAAATTTTAAAAGAAACATAAATATGTTGTCATTTTTCCATTGAGGAAAGAAAAAGAAAATAGGAAATCAAGACAAGTGATTTCAATCCATTATAATGTCGGAAAATTAACATTAAAACTTAAGCCTATTATTGTAAATTGCTGTGTTAATATATAAAGAGGAATAAAAAGGTTAATCAGCTAGACATGTCGCATCTGTACTTTGGAATTTTCACAATTTGAAATTATTGTGAGCTCTGAAAATTGTTACAGGATCCAAAGAATCATTGAATTCACATGTACATTCGATCTTACGACTGATTAAAATGCTACAACAAGAAGAAGAACAGCACAACTTGTAGAAACCATTACGTATAAAGATCCAATACCCTGCAATTAATGCATAATTGTTAGAAAATTAGAACTGGAATAACTGAAAATTAAACACACAAGTTATACATAAGTAGAGCTCCAACATTACTCAAACGACAAGTAAGCTAGCGTTAACTTTTTTTAACATATATTCTTAATTTTTGTAATTTGTTCTAAAGTGCAATTCCCACCTCTCACGTTATTGCTTTTTTTTAAGACTCCCCTAAGCAAGAAAGTAGGGGACTATGGTGCTATATATATAGATTGCCTTCGGACACATTTTCTTATGTCAATCTATCTATCATATACTTATTTGCTTTAAACTCATATTCACACTGATTAATCGGTACAATCATAGTTGCAATAAACTATGAAAAACAGTTGTGCCCATAAAATAATTTTGAAGAAAAAACAGTATAGAAGGGTATTTAAGAATTTCATGAACTGAAATCAATAGCAAGGGAAGATTGTCAAATGACATAGTATATTAAATAGGAAAAAAAAATCACATATAGTATCTCAAATTTATGAAAAATCTATCTAGTTCGAATCGAAGTTTCATTAAGTCAAATAAACAAAAATAGCCAATTTGTGTGCAAGTAGATGTCTCTAATATAACTACAAAACATGGGCTCAGTAGCATGCATGGGAGGGGGGGAAGAATCCTATTTTTCAAGGACATTTTATGTTTTGGCAAGTTAGTAGTAATTCAGACTTGCTAGAGACAGGGTACAAGTCCAGTGAAGCCATACCTTGAAAGAAATAAAAGAGGAAGTTGCTGAGGAAGGTACAAGTCCAGTGAAGCCAATGTCATATGCAATGCTTCCATCTGGCTTGAACAATCCAAAGTGTCTCTCGGATGTTGGGCCAGGCTTCAAATTCTCATTGAACAAAGCAAAGACATAAGCCTTGGTAACCATCTTGGGCCTATAAGGGGTGCCCTTCTTTTTAAGAAGCCTCTTCCGCAAGTTTTTATTGTATGTCTTGGCATTTTTCACTGTTGCTCCAGCCTCATTCTGGTCCCCATGAGAAGCCCAGCCAGTCTCGGAAACAATCACCTCCATCTTGTCAAACCCAACCTTCTCCAAAGCAGCATAAGCTGCATCAACTTGAGCCTCAAACATGTTATCATAGTGTAGTTTAGTCTTGGCATCATAAATACCAGGATTTTTTTTAAAGAGAGCATAGTTAATATCAATATGTTCTGGGTCATTCTTATAGGCCAAGAAAGGGTATGCATTAATGTAAAAAGGAGTGCCAATTTGTGAGAAGAACTGCAAGAGAGGCCTCATGAAAGGAAGCACATCCTCCCTAAAAGTGCATGAAGATGGAGGGTAGGAATTCGCAAACACAGCCTCTGAATGTGGACTTGACACCTCAATATCACGTGCTAAACCAAGCCTTTCAAGGGCACTGTAAACATTCTTTGCTGCAGCCAGCAAAACTTCCCACAGTTCCATATCTGTGCCACCCAATATCTCATTTCCCACTGCAATGCCACAGATTTTAGTTCCTGGAAGAAATGGCTGAACATTTTCTTTGATCCAATTCATGGCACGATCCTCCCCGACACTTATGTCTTTCAGAAACTCATTGGGAAGTCCAATAATAATAGCAATTCCTGAACCTTTGAATGCACTGAGGACTTGATGATCAGCATCATATATTCTTATGTTCTTAATCTTTGAAGCTTTGAGTAGTGTAACCACACTATGAGGAGAAGGGAGATTGTCTGCTATCCTACCATAGTTTACTCCATATGTTCCTGTAAATGCTTTGTTCCCTTGAACTGCACCACACAATAATGTGAAAAAACTAGGTTAAAGATCATGACATGCAAAGCAATGCATTAAAAATGGTAAAACGTTAGCACTCTACTAAACAACATGTCAAACATGCATGTCTTCATGCCATTATTACTATGAAAATTTGAAAGCCAGTTTCTAGAAAAGAATGTAAAAAGGGTGAGTTTAGAAAGATCGAGCAATACCCACCGTGACAAATTGTGACAGAGAAGATGAGAAGAAGCCAAAGAAAGAAAGAACTGGAAGAAGAGAACATCATGTGTAGAGTGAGCATATTAAGAATGGGAGAGCATTCCACTTGTAGAAAGGATGAGGGTTCCCTGTATTATGTAATTCAAAAACGGTAACATCATCAATGAAGAAACCATAAGGAGTGATGCAAAACTTTTCCTCCAGGCATGCCATAAACAATAGATTCTTAGCTTTTTGTGAAAAGATTATGACTAAGATATTTGAACAAGATTCCTAGCTAGCCTTGAACCAAAGATGATTGAAACATAAAACAAAGATGTTTTCAGCGGCTTAGAATAGATTCTTCCTTTCATCACCCTTTAACTCCTCCTTAAAGTATACCTTTTTTATTTTCCACTCTTGTTTTCAAACTTTTTCTTTTCATCAACTGCATGTGTCCATAGCGTAGCAGTAGCAGGACCATTAAGCTAGACACGAAGGATATGTAAATGGGTCATCAATACCTTTCGTGACCTCATGAATCACGTGTAAGGGAGAAAATACAGGTCCTGCACAACAATTCAATGTTTGGTCTACAACACATGGAAAACAAAATAAAGTGATGACATATATGGATACGGTTATTGTTTTGCAAAAAGAGTTCAAGCAAAATTTTTTGGATATAAGATTGCACAAATATGAAGAATGGGCAAATATTATATAATGTATATATCCTTATAAACTAATGTTGCACTAATTCGAAATCAACTATCGCCAAAAAAAAAAAAAGTGTCGCTTGAACTAGTAATTAGCTTATTTCTGCGGGTTAACTTTTACTTCGCCACGGATCAGAAAATATGTTGACAAAATTAGACATTTAAGATAAGTCAAACCTTATAATAATTTGGATGCTAAAATCAGAAAGAATGAGGAAGAGACAAAAGAAACGATTAAGCAATTTATTTAAGTCTAAATACACAGTATTAAAAGCTTAGAATAATAGATAATCACATCATAAGGTTAGGAGTTTGAGTTTCTAATTGAAAAATCATTAATCCAATAGTTAAATGAATGTAATTGTTTTTATTCAAGTTTTACACAAAATAAATCAATTATTTAAAATTAATCTAAACCAATTTAATCAGTTTCATTTCTTTTTATTGAGTTCATCATATGAATCAAAGCCAATAGCCCAACATATCATAAATTTGTACCCAGTTATTCCTATTGTAAAATATTCTGGCAAATAATTACATCATTTGCTTAGTGTTTCCCCCCTTGATAGCTCCTGTGATAGAATTAGGGACATGTTCTGCATGTTCTATCTTTGCTGTCCTAAACCAGCCCCAATCTATCTCTACTTTCTCCCCCACCCCGAAAAGATACAACATATGAGAACTTTTGTGGAAAATTTGGATTCCGAAAATCATGGAGGTCCCGAAAATGTTAGATGCCAGGAAACACGGACATGAATATGGTACAGCAAATTTAAGATTTACCGAAGCAAATTCAGACATAATACATACAACAAAAGATTATTATGCATTTAATTATTGTAATATTTCACTTGTTTTATTTTAAATTAAAAAATTAAAAATAGAATAAAAATATCTAGCAAGTATTATCATCAATTACTTGTTTCTTTCGTAACAAATATCAAATACGAATAAGACAATCAATTCAGAGTACCCCAGTTTTATAGAAGTTCAGTTCTTTTTTTCACCCAAAGTTGAGATCACTTTACCTATGCCATACACGTGGGTATTTTTATGATTGAGGAATGCAGAACAAAGAACGCAACTTATTGAACACCACACTTTTTCCTAATAAGAAAACGTCAAATACAGATTAAAATCCTGGATTTACTTTATCCTTCAGGAGCTTAAAAAGATGATTCAAAATCTGAGTCAAGAAATCCGGCAAAATAAAAAAGAAAAAACCTAACACAAATGTGTAAAAAAAGACAACAATCTTGGTTTAGAACTGCACTATGCAAAAGCAAAATGATCTAATCTAGGAGGGGAGCGTTCAATTTCCTAAATACATCCAAATCTGAAGGCATAATACGAGACTACAGTCATCCAGGAAGCACATTATAACTACAGCAACTCCAATAACATTACAAAAGTCAAGAGCATTAGCTATTAGTGAAGTACATTTCAGCAGTTTACACTACGATGATATGAAGGATTTTCACTGAGCACAGCTCCAAATAACTTGTCCATTGTCAACCATTTTATTTACTTGTTCCTCAGCTTGAATTGAGTTTTTTCCATCACTTACTGCGTTTTCTTTCTTATCATTCATCTCTTCACCTCCACCATTTGCCTCAACAATCACAGTACCTGATTTACCCTGCTCACTGTCAACTGTGCCATTTTCTTTTTCTGTTTCCATCGGTGTCTCCCCTTCGGATTTTTCAGTGACCACAGCATTCAAAGCTTCCCCAGCTACTTTCTCCCCTGACTCTGCCAACAATGTTTCTTCGCCCTGAGCCGCGTTAACCCCTTCAGCGTTACCATTCTTAATTTCCTCTGCATCAGTCTTTGTTTCATTGTTATTATCTGTGTCCTTAGCATCATCCTTGGATTCCTCAGCAGCAGACTCAGTTTCTTTGTTATCTTTCTTTGAACCTGATGATTTTCGAGGGCGCTTCTTAGGAGTCTCGGACTCTGCAGGTGGTGTCGATTTGACCTTCTCACTAATCCTCGCTGATCGCCTAGGGGTCTCACCAGTTCCCCAATCAAACTCTGCGACTGGAGGATTCCCAGGATGTGCCTTCAAATACTGCTCTAATTGTTTTCGGGAACTGATCTCTTCACCGGTAGGAGCTATGAATACGATCTCACTTTTTCTTGGTGTTCCTACTTTCTTAGGGAAGAACTGCAGAGTGGAACTAAAAATGCATTACAAAACAATTTCCATACAGCATACAATTCCAAGCAATCCCAGTAAGGTATATCAATTTCATACACACAGCTCAACAGTGCTCTAAGCTTGTTACTGATTGGGTTCAAGATTCAAGAACCATCTACATTAAATAAATCTTTGTACAATAATAGCTAACAAAACAAAATCAGAAGGACCTCATCGTCAATATATCACCAAGCATTTGCTCATAAAATGATTGGATTAGAAAAAGGCAAGTGAATAATTTCCTCCCAAATTCATGATTTTCTGTCGCATTAGTTCACAGGGTGATTTTGAATTAATTAATTAATATTGTTCCCCCAAATTTCACCATTTTTTCTAGTACTATATTTTAAGATATTTTTTTACAGACAGGGAAGTTGCATTTAGCATCCAACGAGGACAAAATTCTAAGAATTTAGCATGGAAAGGTGCAGCAATGGCGTAGAATTCCTCACCAACATTTTCTGAACCACATAATACACTCAGAAACTCGAAGCAATGACACTTGTTAATAAAGCACAGATGTAAAAGCAACCTCAAATCCCGTGAAAACATGGAATTAAAAAAACAACCAACCATTGTCCTGTAGTAACTAGAGTCTGATGCCCAGAATCTTCTAGTAGTCCAGAAAAAAATTGGGCAGAGACTATAATGAAAGCAAGACGCAGATTGCAAAAACATTAAAAGAAAAAAACTGAAGTAGACAAATTTTGCTTCGAAATACGAACTAAGTTAATTTGTCATTATTAAGAAACTATTATAAACCAGAAATTTTTTTTTAAAAAAAGTCCAATTACAATTTAAGCCCTCTCACGAAAACCCTAGACACAAAAATTAGCACCGAATTCTTCCCAACATTTACATTACTAAAAATTTATAAAATAAAAAAATAAAAAATAAAAAAACCAAGGAAGAATAGAGTCAGTTCCAAAATTGAAGCAAGGAAAGTAAGAAATTAAACCATGGTAACAAGCATCACAATAATACAACAACCATAACAACGAAAACCTAGGAAATTGGAAAACCTTTGCTTGTGTGTGTGTGTGTGTGTGTGTGAACTAGAAAACATGAAGAGGTAAAAATAAGAAGAATAATAACAATTAAAGAGAGAATGAGGAATGAGGAAGAGACCAGTTTCTTCCAAGCAGGAGGAGCTGAAAGCTCAACTGATAACACCTCATCTTTGGCACCACTTTGCGTTTCATTCTCCATTTTCTCTTTCTCTCTCTCTCTCTCTCTCTCTCTCACTGACTTTGGAAACTAACTGCTATGCAAATTGCAACAAAAGAAAACGAAGGTAAGAAGAAGAGTGCATAAAGCGTGGAATTAGGATATGGTTTTGTGTGCCTCTTTCTCTCTCTAACTGTCAACCAAATTGAATTCGGGATCGGTATTTGATAACTTCACCCTCCTCTCTCTTCACTTCATTCGTCAACCCTTCGTTTCAATTATCAACATTCACACGTGCCTGGCAAAAACGTTACCCCAAATATCCTGTCACCGACTCATGCGCTTCCCTTTTTTTATTTATTGCCTAAATTTTATTTATACTTTCTTGTTTTATTATACGAAGGTTTTGTGGAAAATTGGGTTATTTAATCATAATATTTGAAAATTGAAATTGTGGAGAGTGAAAGGTTGGGATGGGAAGGGGCACGTGTCGCTCACCCGTGAAAAGCTTGTCTTTCTGGATAACGTTTTGTGTTAACCAAATTCAAATGTGTGTTTCGGGTCCGAAACTCACCGACCAATCACATTTCAAATTTAAATTCAAATTTCTTTGGCCCCTTGTCTTGTCAACATGTTCTTTTATTACGAATTACATTTTTTAAGAATATTTAAAATACAGTTAGTTAGTGATATTCATAAATATTTTCTTAACTTATATCGGACATAAAAATATTATGATTTCTAAATTTTAAAATAATTTAACAATATTTTAAACAAATATATCTTTCACCCCCAGCACTGCATAAATTGTTACGAGGATATTAAGTTTAATTAATATTATAAAACACATTAGATATTCTGATTAAATTAATGAACTGATTTGGAAGCTTCCTCGATTCAATTGTTGCCACAATATTTGCAAGTATCTGAAGATAGATTTTGCTTACTTTTATTAATTACTAATATAATAAAGATTATTAATTTAAAACCTTATCACTAAGTGGGATAAAAGAGAATCTAAATCGAATGTTCCATCACTTGTTTTCTCTAAATCGAATGTTTTCTACTCTCTTTTTTACTGTATACAATAATCTTATTTTATTGCAACATAATTACTTTTAATAGAGAATATATGTGTTTTAAACCAAATTAAATAAATAAAATTTATGGTTGTAATTAATTTCAAATATGTACAAATCGATATAAGAGCATATTTACGTAAATCAATAACTAATCAAATAAATCAATAATCTATCAGATATTTTAATTAAAATTAATGATAAATGGTTTTCTTTAATCTTACACAACTTGTTTAGATGAGTGGATAATAAGTAATATTCAAAAACTACCATTAATGACATTGAATATCACTTTGCAACTAACATTTTATTCTCTTAGGTTTTCTCGAGACTCTGAATTACTATTAAATGTCTTTTACCAAAATTAAAACGGGCTTCACTAGTTAGTCTTTACCGCGAGTTTATCTATGAAACTTATTTTCTAACACATTTTTTTAAAATATTTTATTTATTGATGAGTAAAATTTTTTAGAATTGATAAAAATAAGTATGAAACTTATTACTAAATAAGAAATAATGTCATCTGTATAATTTTATAATTTTTAATAAATTTCAGTTAATAATAAAAAATTTATTTAAATAAAATATTACTAACATTGCTCATAAGAAAATTTATTGTTCTGAAAAGCATGTAAACTCTCAAATAACGGGAGGAATGCCACAACAAAGGCATACTGGGCCGTTACTGTTCAACTACGCGAGCCATGGTTTGGGCTCATTAAAGGATTTATTTTTAACAAAAAAAGAAAATCCTTCAATGCTATTAATTTCTTAATCGTCGATAAAAAAAATTAATTTCTTAATCACGACAAGCCACTAATGAATTTATAAAAAGAAAATTAATATGCAGAAAATTTATCAGAATTTAGAGCTTGTTGAACGATAATTTCACACGTTCAAGCGGTGGTCTGTGATTGGTAAAAGTTAAGAGAATAATAATAATAATAACAAAGTTCACTAAAATTATGCCAAATGTTTAGATTCCGTTTGCTTTAATGTTGAGTAGAATTAATTTTGAGCTATTAAATGTAAATCTAAATTAGCTGTGTCACATTTAAGATTATCATCTCACTCGTTAAAAAAAATAAAATTATTGACATGTGTTAGCAAGATTAGAGAGATATTGATAGCCCATAGAAAATAATAAAATATAAAGGTTCAATAAGAACGTATAAAATAAAAAGAAAACCATTCTATCTCATTTTATATCTGTTATATATCAAAATAACAAATTAGATATGTTATTTTATTTGATCTTGTCTATTTTAATTTAAACTTCTCACACAATATAATTTACACTAGAAAAAAAGTCTATAACATAAACTTCTTTATTGGTTAAACAAATATTACTTTATCTTAAATTTTTTTCCTTTGCAGCAAACAAGTATACGTAAAATTCGGCTCATTTTTTAAAATTTTTCTTATACCACCCCTCATAGAATATTTGAATCTGCCACCATGAGAATAACTTTTGTCTTTGGGGAAAAAAGTGCAATTTATGATGAAGGAGAAGATGGACAATATCCTTATTTAAACAAAAGAAAAAATGCGAAATGAATGATTAGTACATCCCTTCAAAAACTTAAAAAACTTGACCAATCTCAGTAATTGTCGATAGTCACTACTAAATCACACATTGAATTAAACAAGTTGTGCTAAATTATAGCGACCGTATATATTTCCTCAACTGCATCCACACTGATGACAAGAGGCAATTTGAAAAGGACAAACTCTCAAACACTTACCACCTTATCACTTAGTGTGATATGTGAAAAGAGACGGGGAGCAAGACAAGACTCCCATACATACAATAGCGGACCAAAAGAGCCATATGTTTATGTAATTCAAACAAATTATCATATGTTGGAACATATGTAATTATGAATGATATTGTTGTTGTCTATGGCTCCATGCAGATGCTCTAGTCTTTTTCTTTCTTGTTTCCTTTCGCGTTACTTGAAAGATTTCACTTTTTTTTTTTTCAACTCAGTGATCAGCAGAGATTTAAACTTGATTAACAAGCTATGTTGATTTTTTTGTAATATGTAGCTATGTTGAATTATTTTAAAGCATGCTGTTGTATTTTAGTTTTATGGTAAATTGTAAAGTTGCAATGCCTCAATGTTTCAAATGATTTGAAAGTTGAAAGTATGAACCAATGAAAGGTTTATAAAATATAACCCATGTGGTCGCAAAGCTTATACAAAAACCATATGAAAGTAAAAGACTGTTATAAAACTATACTAGTCGTCAGTTTCTTTTCAATTCTCTTTATTACAAGGAAAAAATTCATGAGAGCCACAGCAACTCACGACAATTGGATGAGTTACAAATTATCTATATTTCATATCATTGTACGTAGGTGATTGCTCTTATTGGGAAACCGAGATTATGACAAGATAAACAATTAAAGCTAAATGACAAAGGGTTGCACTTAGCTCTGCAAAACGTTACATTCTCAATGATAAATTGGTGGAAGCCTTACTATTTACTAGCACAAGATGCAATTGTAGCTGCTTTCTCTTATTATGGTCTAAGCTATTTACAGTGGGCACTCATCTCTATTAAACTAACCCCTTTGGTCTGGTCACCTTTACTTTAGAGACAGTGGTAAGGTTCTTGAGGCTGCAGTTAAATGAGGTTGATGGTTTGTTCCCTGAAAGAGATCATTTAGATATGTATGGTTGTGATCTAATTTATTTGGGCAGTCTTTATCTTCCTCATCTTCTTCCGCATCCCAAAGGAATTTAGCATATGAAGCTAGCACATAGCTGCCAATGATTAAAACATTTACATTAGTTTTATCAACAAGAGAAATGAGGACAAAACTTTATTCATTATTTTCTTGGATATCATCAACAAGAGATAATAAAATAGTTTAGGCTGTTTAGTTCATAAATATTCAAGTCTATGTAGAGTTGTATGCTTCAAGCTCTGCTACAAAAGAAACTATATTAACTAACACATGATGTAAACAATTTGGAAAATGTATAGAAGAAAGAAAAACTATAATCAATGTTGAATTGTTGATCATTTATATTACCAATCATCTGGGGCACTTTTAATGGCTTGATCAAAATATCCTTCAGCTCGATCAGCATTCTTCTGTGTTTGCCATATCATCTCTGCATATAGGGACAGAACATGACCGTCACCAGGATTAGCCAAAATCGCCCTTTCGAGATACTCCTCTGCTTTAGGATAATCTCCACGAACCTATTTGAAAATTGAATATCAGAACAACCATAGAAAGAAATATGAAATCCTACGCATGTGTGTGTATATGTATGTACACACACAAGCGTTTAGTTTTTCTTGCATTTCTATGTATCAACAAGGTACACAATCTTCCCAGCCTAATAATTTTTTAAATTAGTGAATGACCTGATCAATTAAATTGATAGTTTAATTTCATTTTATGCATTTTTCAATCTTCAGAGAAAGAAAACATGATCAAGCTCAAGTATCCATCCAAACAAATTAAATTACCTCTTTCAAAAACTTTGCATAATTTCCCAGCAAAAGAGCATTAGTGGGGTTTGCTTCAATCATGTTTTGGTAATATGCATCCGTTCTATCTCTACCATGATCATTTCCTTCATGGAAACCCCACCCTCTTCCGTGTCCACCATCTGAGCCTCTTCCACTACCATGACAACCGCCACAAATCCAACCACCATTGCTCCCCATCCCATCACCCATCACCGAAGTCTGCAACCTACTACCATCTTTCTTTCCCTCCACACACTCTTCATGATCCAGGACTCCTTTATCTAAACCTGAGCTTGAAAACAGTTCTTGAATTGAAGCTTTTGCTTTCATGCAAGTTATTTGTTTTGGATCTTTCACTTCATCACTTTCTTTGATCTTTCCATGCTGTTGATTTATACAAACATTACTACGTGGCATGCAATTTTTTTTCTTAGGACTTGATGAGCTTTTAAGGTCTATATCAGCAAAGTTTTGGCATAGACTTAAAACTGATATTGTTCTAGGAAGGTGAAGAATGTGTTCTGACTCGGGGGAGGACTCTTTGGAACAGAGTACCAATGAACTTAGAATTGGTGCAGAGGAACTTCTTAGTAACATGTTTTACAATTCAGAGAAACGATGAGAAAATCAAGGAGTTGAGGTAATAAAAGAGCTAGCCAATGCAGATATAGGAATGAGAACAGATGCACAATGATGAGAAAGAAATGGCAAGTTGAAACCACCAATGAAGGAAAAGTATTCAACTAAAAAAGGAAGGAAAGAGAAACAATGGGAAAACAAAATAATTGAGAGAGAGAGAAGTGAAGGCTCTCATGTTAAGACATTGAATAATATATAAGAAATGAGCAAGTCCTTATGTAAAATAAACCAACACGAGACATTATTATTACTTAGAAGAGTCTAATGTCCAATCCCTTGCTAGCAATTTAGCAAGTGGGAAACTGCAACCTATGCGGTACGGACACGTTTGACTGTAGGTTGCATGACACGAACTGAGGGGACCCAAGTCGCCATTTTTGTTTGGCTGTGATTGAATGGCCACAAATTAGTTTTGTATCAGCATCTCGCCTTAGCCTGAGACCAACCATGCATGAATACCTGCTTCTCGGAACCATGGGCATATTTTGTTGTCTTACGCCGTTGTTAATAATGTACCAAGCTTCTATAACTAGAGGGTGGAAAATGGAAACAACTTGGGATGTGAAATCCTTGCATACAGTTAGTGAAATATAATGTTATTGCACTACATTCCTTAATGGGAGTCACATCGATCACGTGAATGGTGAACTGCTATTGTCTTTCAACAAGCATGCATCAACCAATTATGTATATTGTATAGTAGTACTAAGAAAATAATTTTATTAAATTACGTTTAAAACTGATATGGAAAGCAATTCCCCTTGTTTTTATGTAATTACTAGATAATTTATACATTCGGTTAAACCATGATTAAACTATTAAAATCCCAAAGTCTAAATTACTTTTCTAATTGTTACAATTTTTGCAACCTTAATAAACTCAATCTTTTTTTTAAATTTTTTAACCTTTTTACCTTTCCACCAACTTTTGGGGCCCATAAACATGAATATAGCACAAACATTTTATTACATTTGCTTAACAATATGTTACAACATTGATTCTTCACACATCCATGAGAAATATAATAGTACAAAATTATGGGAATTTTTGTGATATGTAACATGGCCAAGACGGTAAGTAGAGAAACACCGAAAAACAGACAACTCACACACTACAGCCTAAAGCTGTTGGCCAGAAAATATACAGTGACGTTACATCATCTGTGAGTATCATTTCCGTAAGACCAATGAAACAACTTCATAAGAATATAAACAGTGAAAGCTACAATTGCACGTCAACCCATAATGAAAATGTTGAGGCTTTTTAAGACAAGGAAGATAATATTGCGTGACAACAAATTTCATCTCCATTTCAGGCTGGTGTTACTGCTACGGTCAGGAAAGGAAAACAACAAAATAACGTCGTATCCGTTCACTGCTCCGAAGAAGTAAACCCATGAAATGAAAGGATGCAAACCACATAACCTATATGCAGCAACGAGTCTGAGCAAAAATATCAAGTCCTTGAAACACAGGAAACTGACGGTTAATCCATCCATAAGTGAGTCTAGAAAATGCACTTCCTTTTACGCAGGCTATAGCAACTGGCTCAGGCAAAACAAATGAACAGCTTTGAAAAATTATCAAGTTTCAACATAACACTCGGCCATTTGGTTTAGGGCAAACGGCAACACATCATTCACTGTGAAAGGAAACACTTGTCCATTCAAAATTCGAAGAGAAACATTTAAAAAAATTTAATGCCTCAAAATTTTAGTGACAAATGAAATGGATAGCAAGAGCAATCAGCGAAATACAGCCTTACATTGTACAACAACAACAACTAATCTACCTAAATGAGGTCGACTACAAAACAGACCCATCACTCAAAACGCTAAAGGAGGCGAGTTCCTCTAAAATTTCAGAGTTGTCTTTCAGAATAATGTCAATACGTTAAAAAAATTAGTTAAATGTTACTCGCCCGTGTTCAGTTGTCTTGTCGGTATAAAATTATATTAAAATGTTGATTTGCATAATTTCCATCATTATAACTACACAAGGGCAAACAGAACATGAGTTTAATTTTACAATTTCTATAAAATTATGTTAAAATTTTGATAAAGCATTACGAAGGAAACAGAGAATAGAGTGATAACCATAAGCTGCTTCTGACAGGAGTAATCTTAAAACGTGGAATATTCTAAAGCAGAAATTGTTCGGAGAATCACAATATTTTGTTCAACACATTTGAATGATCTTTCTTTCTTTCTTTTTTTGCTGTTGCCGTATAATTCTGTCCCCCTATGTTATAATTTGATATATACAAATAAATGCTTACATTTTATCTTCTAAATTTTGATCCCTTGTTTGGTCTATTCCTCCCGTCCGAGGCAGAAGCCCAAAAGAATAGAGACATCCAGAAAAGAACAGCAAAGAAGATCTGTATTCTATCTTGAATTTTGGATAAAGATGCAGCAAGATCTGCTCCTAAAAAATAATACAAAAAGTCTTGTAAACACCAAGCTGCACTTTACAATAGAAGCATAAATGTCAAACCAAAACATAAATGAGAGAAAATGTGGTTATGATAAATTTAATATAAAAAAATACAACATTATTATACCAAAAAAATACTCAGGCAATTATAGCATTGAGTAAACATGCAAGAGTTACGCAAATAAGCTTTTATAAATAAAAGCAGAGCGTGTGTGTGTCATGAGTCAAGACTACAAAATGCTGCAGAACAAAAATCAACACTTGACAGAATACAAATACAGTGGAGAAAACACAAAGGAGCTTTTACAATAGAACCATGAAAAACAAACCACACTTAACTTAATTCAATGCTACAGATCATTTCAAACAACTTTTTGTATCATAGGGTGACTTCATTTTACCTAGTTAACGTTCTTGCATATAAAGACTAAGATAGTTACCTAGACTCATTCAAAACTTGAAATCGTTTTCCAGATAAATTTATATTTAACTATCCCTTCATGAGCCAAAGATTTCTTATTAAAAACAACAGACAACATATGGACTTCCTTAAACCTATCCTCTTTCCCCCCTTTTTCCCGAGAGAGCTTCTAAAGATCATTCTCAAAAAAGTAAACAAATCTGTTAAAAAAAAATCCTCATTATAATATTTCGCAGAACATAGACCAAGGCATATGATTTGGCGACTAATATCATATCAGAGTTGTTTCGCTGGGCTTCCGGAAAGGTTGGGTATTATTAATGTTTGCAACTATAGGTGTGATGAGATGCATCATTCTAAATATTTGAAGTTCAAGCCTAACTTGTAGAGAAAATAAAAAAGTTGTTCAACTTTAGTATTATTTAAATGAGTCAAATTTAAAATTTTAGTTTGACTTGTTTAAAGATATGAAGCTTAAGCTTGGCTCATTAACCATGCTTACAACTAGATTATTTTTTCCAACATCAAATGTGTCCTTGAATTATTTTTTATGTTTATTAATTTAGCATCTAGCATATATCTTAGCGAGAGAAGATGAGGAAGTGGAAATAAAAAAAAAAAATTCGTCTGTATTCACAAAGATTACTTGAGACTAGAAATAAAATTTTCCATGATGTAGATGTCATAATTTTTATGAAGAATGACATTCATTCATTGAAAATGTCACTCTAGGAATTTGAAGTTGAGTCACTGGTAGATATAAGATAATAATAAATAAAATTACAATTCCCCAGTCTCCATGTAACACCATAAACAAAATTACAACTCTCTAGACAATGCACACATACACGAGCTATTTGCAATCTATTATTGTTTAATCCTTACTTTATAATTTGAACTTATTTGTTTGAATAATTCTAAATTAGTTTTCAATTTAAAACTTACTTTAGGAAGATTAGTACGCTAACAATTCTACTAATACGGAGCATAACTTGCATATATAACGGTGACGACTTCATATATAAATTAATAAATAAATTAAAGCTAAAACATAAATGAAACCTAACTTGCGAAATTAAGAAAGAAAAAATTGGAAGGAAGAAACCTCTATAGTGCCTTGAATCGTTTCCGGGAGGTGGAGGTGGAGGACCGGGGGAGGCGGCGCGGCAACTATGACGACGGAGCACCGTGGAGTTAGAAGAGAGTGGATGAAATTGACGGTGTAGAGACAAAGAGGAAGTAGGGAAAGGAGAGAGAGTGCATAAAGGAAGAAGCTTCGAAGAATTTGCGGTGGTGAGAGAGAGCAGAGCCATTACGAGGCATTTCAAGTTTAATCACAACCAACGATCCGTATCAAGTGTCTTGTATTCTATGGTACCTTATTGGGTTAACTCTCCCCTTAATGGATCAAAATATTGGGCTCCATTCACATTGGGACATACCCTACTGGGCTGGGCTGGGCTTTGCGAGTCCTACCTGTGTGGATTGTAAATCTCATCTGCTTGTGAAAATTTTTCTTGTTTTATTATCTATTGACTTTTAAAGTTTTTTTTTTCTCTTACAAAAAAAATTGATTGAGAATATTCTGTTAAATCAATTTTCTTACATACCACGTTTGAAAAAATATTGACATAAGATTCAATATCATCTACCAAGCACGTAAATGAATTGACATAGACTTATTCTAATTTAAAAAATAATCTAAAATTCAAGTTTTATGTGTTAATTAATTGGAGAGTTTTATAGCCCATCATGATAATCTTTTCTGGCTCAAACTAAGTATGACCCAAGGGGAAGTAATTTGTTGCAAGTTACTACTACTCACTGGAGGGATTGATTCATAGAACATTTTACAAACCAATGGTTGGATGAAAATTAAATCTATTATTACTAGCATCACATTATTGACGTATTTGACTCAACTTATTTTGAAACAGTAAGTTTGGGTATACTTTTTTCCTTTGAAGAATGTTATTTTCTTTACATCCACACTTACTAGTTACTGTTGAGGGTCAGGTTCTGCATCATCAGGAGGATCAGTGCATGAATCAGGGAATCTGAGTGCATCCACCATCGATTTTCGATTTTGCGGACACAGTATTTTCAATTTTCACAAAGCCATAGCCTTGTAGGGTGGGCAATTACTAAACATGCATATTAATGTTGCAATTGTAAGCCCATTTGGGTATGTCCCAAATAAATTCAATAAACGGATAATATATGGCTGTGCATATAGATATAAATACACTACTTTTGATTAAATGGTTTTTTAATAAAAACAAAAAAAAAAGTAATGTTGTAAAACTCCCATTTGATATTTTATGACTGGTGCTTGTACCCTCAATGATAATCGTCAACTGTGTGGGTACTGAAGAATGGAGATATGACCACCTCCCAGTTTGTATTCTTTTCATGTACTCTACTTTGTTCATGACCTTAATCATAATTAGAAATCACATAAGACAAACAAATAAAATACTTCCTTGTAATCATTATTCACAGCACGATAATAATTAACCAATCAAATAACTATCAATTTATTTTATATCGTCATTTAAAAGAGTGGCATTAAATAATTCTTTTTATAAAGCATTAAGTTTAACCTTCTGAGATAGTTAATTACATATCAGAGTCTCCAAGCCTAATTAAGTAGCTGCAAGCTAGCTCTATTTTTGCCACTCTCTTTCATTTGATGAAAAAAGTTGAATTTCGGCATTAAATACAATCATTTGAAACAATAAGCTCCCAAGATTACATATAAAATTGGATTACATATATATATATATTTCTCTCGAAGGTGGATCTAGACATGAAAATTGTTGACATCTTAAAAGACAGATTGCCAACGGAGGCACCAACCAAAGTTGGGTACTCTGCTCCTTCTTTATACATATACAGGAATTAATGGTAACCAAACAAGTTAAGAGTACTACTAGATGAATCATGGTTGAAACAGCTTATTCCCACATTTGCATTTCCATGAAAGGAGGTAATAGGTATCATCTTCCCCACGAGATAACACTTTGAAACCCTTCTTCTTTTGGTGATTTGGAACGACCAGAGTAGCCATGCAAGGCCTACAATTCATGCACTTGTTAACACAAGCTGGAGGCTTTGACCCTATCACCAGTTTGCTTTCCTCCAAACCCTCCCTCGTGTCCATCATCAATGATCCACCTGCTCAACCACACGTACATAAATAAAGTTCATTAAAACTCAAAAGGGTACCCTATACATGCAAGACCATTAGCAGACCAAAAAGATGAAAAAGTATAGAAAAAATAACAAAAAGACAAAATATTTAGAGTAAACCCCCCCCCCCCCCCCCAAAAAAAAAAAAAGGGTATCTGGATTTTTAACTTAATAAAAGCTTGAAACAGTTTTGAACTTAAATAGGGTATAGGGTGATGGAGGCTTTTTACCAGATATGGAAGGTAGAAGGGAGAGGAAAAAGATGAAAAGCACAGTGAAGGCAAGTTTGAGTCCATGTAGAGGATAGGATCTAGCAAGTTGAGGCATGTGTGATGGGTCTAGGAAGGAGCTTGACGTGTTGATGCAAGTGACAGTGAAGAAAGGTAAGGGGGGTTGTTTGAGAAAGAATGGAGAGGCCAAGAAGCAGTGAAAGTGACCGGTTGTGTAAGTGTATGAAATGTTGTGATAGAAATGAAAGAGATTTAAGTGTGTTGGACAAAGTTGAGGGATGTTTCCCGTGTGAGAGACATTGGTCTGATTCCATGGCTTGTTCACCAATCAAAATCAAATTCTCACAGTGAGAATGGGTTGGTTCGGTCTTTTTGGGAATTTGGGGAACCCATTTTGGATTCATAATCAACATTGACTGACTCAGGAGAAGAAATCTGAATGTGACCCCCTCCCCCTCCTGCCCTTGATTTATGACAGGTTTTACTGTTACCCGCTAAATTACTTACCTACCCTTAAATTAATTCTCTCACATATATAGGTAATAATAATCTTAAAATGAAAATTAATCCTCATCAGTACTATCTCCATTCTAGTTAATTTATCAGTTCAAAGAAATAATAATTACAAAATATTAACACTGTTCACCCTGATAAAATATTATGTATGATTCATTGCTTTTAAAATTAAGTCACACACTCAGAGGATATAACTTACTCTAATCATATAAATAATTCAAAATTATATCATATACGTAATTTCAAAGTAAGATTAAATTGGTTAGATAAAAAAAATATTAAATTGATTTTTTATCCATAGTTAAATAATATCTTTAGCAATAATATGTATAAATCGAAAGATTTTATTTGGATATAATTTTTAATTTCATCTTTTATTTGGGTATCATTAGCCATAATATAGTTTGTGAAGTATTGATTTTTTATTGTTCTCATTTTAGTTTTCATCTTTTACTGATATTTGAAATTCAGACTTACCTTTTATAAAAGCCATCAATTAAATTAATTGTCCAAAAGCACTTCTAGTTTGGTATTGCGAAAGGAAATAAATTACAACAATAAAATGAAAGAAAACAAAAAAAGTTTAAAGTTATTATTCCTTTCATTTTTGTATTATTAATTTAATCCAAGAAGAAAACATTCTACTCACCAAGAAAAGAAAATAAAACATTCCATTTGTTTTACTTGTTCAAAAATTCTAACATTGCATTTATATATATATATATATATATATATATATATATATATTATTTTATTTTTTTTTTATTTTTTTTTATTTTATTTTGCGTAATAGAAAAGGTCTTCGCCTACACGAGTTTATCCCTACAGTCTTCAGCAACTTCTTTGCATTTATTATCCTCAGATAAAATAACGATGCTGAGACAGGTATTACAAAAAAAAGAAGTTACACTAAAAGATAAAAAAGCAAGTCATTAAGATAATTTTTTCGTAGTATAACTTTGTTTAATAAAAAATAAACCATTAATCCATCTTATAAGTCAATATTAATAATACAATATGGTATATTAATTTTTTTATGTTTATATCATAAGAAGTTAGATATAATAATTTTTTACTAAAAATTATAAAAGTGTTAAATGCTATAACTTTCAATAAAAAATTAATATATACTTGTCATGTACCATGTTACACAAATTAAAAAATTGATATTATATTAATAATATATTAATTTTATATCAACAAATTATTTATTTACACAGTATATTTTATTACCAATTAATATAACTAAAAATAATTTATAGTAATAATAAAATTTTGTAGAAAAAATAATACCAACAAAATCAAGTACCTTACAACCCACATACAAATAATTATTTGACACTTATTTTTAAGTGTTAGAAGAGTGAAAAAATAAAAAGAAAAAGAGAGAAAATAAAAATATAACCCATAATATGGAAAATGAAAAAGTATATAAAAAAAATATACAAATATACAATCTCATCTGCCACACTTTCTGACTCAAACTTCAATGAGTATGAATTCGGATTGTTTTTACATTAAAAAAAGAAAATTTGTATACAGTATGAACCACTAAAACATGGGATGAGGTGTGATTGTTTTTAGACTGCACATAATTATTTTTTATCTCAGATAACTCAAATAAAACCTTAATGATTAACACATGAAATGATGTGATTAACCAAAAACGATTAGCTTCTAGATCTGACAGGGTGTTAATATTTACTGTTGCTACTGACATGGGAAGCTTTGCAGACTTAAAGTATGCTTAATATGGGATAGGGGTAGAACCCATTTTCAGTTTTCACCCCACATTTTCCTGATAAAGCAACTTTTTCAGTGTCCTCTTCATCAAACCATAGAAAATTCAACTTCTTTTGAAAACACCAACTTCCCTTTCCCGAAGAAAGAAACTGCTATGTACTATTGCAGAACAGTAATGCATAGTGATCTTCAAGGCAGTGTGGCTTTTTCTTCTAAAACACATTCCTAAACTAATTTAGTTATATGTACATTGACTTGTATCCACTGTTGACCCTGGAAAGTCACTGACACTTTTTTTTAATGTTTTTATTAGTATTTGACTTTATTAGAATTTTTTTAACTAAATACAAAACGTGATTACTAATTACTAAGCACGAATTGATGACAATCTTGTTGTTTATTTTTGCATTGGGCAGTAGTAAATAGAAAAATTGTTAGTGATATGTTATTTACAGATTTTTCGCAATTATTTTTAAAAAATATAAAAATACATACAATAATTGGTTTTCTAATAAAAGAAAAAACTCCCACGGACAGCTAAAACAATTTTTGTGTGTAGAATTCGAGCTTAAGCTAGTAGTCTACACGACTAATATAACAGTGGTAGAATAAGATTAACATGTTTAAAAATGTTTGAGCTGAATTAATACAAGAATATCTACTAATATGCTCAGAAGATGAAATTATTGTACTATATAAAGTATTTTTAATTAAAATTAAATTTATTTGTAGAATTTGAAGAGTGATGCAAGTGCGGTGCACAATCTCCGAAAAGATGGGAGCAGAAAGTACACCCGCACAAGATCACGGATGATAAAAGGTTTTGTTTCCCAGATGAACGCATCGAACGGTTCTTGATGACTTGTTACGAGATCGGACGGTTGGCGTTGTTGAGCCCGTAAGCAAGAAGTGAAGGTGTACGGATAAAGAGGAAGTGTCATAAACAGTTGAAGCTCACAGCGTCAAAGGCTTGCAAATGCACGTAAGTGTTCAGATCAAAACGATGACGTCATGACCGTACATCTTTCACCTCTTCGACCCTTTTTTCATTGTCGAGTCTTTTCATTCTTCACCACTTCACCAAATGCAGCATTGTAGCTACCAACTTCTTTTCTCTTTTCCATTCGGTTTCAGGGTATACAAATTCATTTGTAATACTAATATGATTTATAAATTTTACAAAAAATGTCAATTTATTTCATATTTGTTATTTCTCCTTCTTTTTTTAAAATAATATTACTTATCGTATTTATTATTATTTTTCGTTTGGTAAAAAAATTTGTTCAGTAAGTATTACTGATTGAGGTACCATAGCCGTAGAAAAAGGGCCTTTTCTGCATATTTCCTTTATGATTGACATCTGGACGCTGAAGAAAGTGGGCCACTGGGCCCAATGAGACAGGTCCCTCATTTCGAGGCTGCGTTTTAACATGTTCTCAATAGGGACTTTTTATTTGTTTATTTATTTTGAATAAATCCAAAAATAAATTTATTTGGGGGGATTAAAAAGGGATTTTAAATATCTAATATATAAAAATATTTTTATATTAGATTAAGAGGAGTAAATTTAAATAGTACAACTGTATAGGAAAAGTATCATTTAAAAATCTTACATGATTCGTAACCAGAGCATACTATCAAAACTCGGTGTTTATAATCTTGATAAGGTGATTATTTTGAATTAAAGATTGTAATCACTATTTATGAAACGTTAATCTTTTAAACAATTATATGAGACAGTGAAAAATACTCAATTTAAGAGTTCTGAATAAATCATCAAGAACGTGTTTGGAGAAGATTCGTAGAGCTTGTGTTACCTGGTGCGCACGGATTGCTGTGGACATGGCCCAAGTCTGTTCTGAAAGGTTCTTCGCAACGAGTTCAAATTGCTAACCAAAAAAAAAGTGAGTTTCACTGGGCTCTGGTTCCACCGCTAATGAGCCCATTTCTATTATCTAAAACATTGCCCTTAATTGTAATTTCTAATCATTTGAGATATCATACAATGCTTTGTTTGGATTGAGAAAGAAAATGATAATATAAAATATGTAAGAGATTAAAATGCGAGAAAATCAGAATTGTTACAAAAATATGAACCCGCTTAGATGCTTTCTTTCTTTTCGAGGAATAGTGGATAAGACTCACCAAAATGCTCCATCAACATATATTTACAATCGATATTTAAATTCAAAAAGATTAGTTAAAAAATCAGTACACCAAAGGATCCATTAATAGGAACCGCACAAGCAAGACTTACATATAGTATCGAATTCAAAAACCTTAACATTAATGAGTAGTGATTTTTTATTTATATGTTATTAAGACTTCTTTACTCAACATAGACAGGTATATTTATCAAATGGAAATCTTCACAAAACAGGTTTGAAATTTTATTTGTTTCTTCAACTTAGGGACACACACGTTATTTATGGCATAGGCTGACATATTCACAAAACCATCTCAAATTGAAATCCTCATTTCAGTCTTACAAAATCCCCATCATTGTACAGTGATTTGCTTGACATCCTTTTTGGGTTTGCCAGTCCTAGGAACGGTCACAGTTAGGACACCATCCTTCAACTCAGCCTTAATGTCATCAGCCCTAGCATCATCAGGTAGGAGGAGGCTTGTATTATAGTAACCATAACTACTTGATGACCAATACTCATCATCATCTCCTTCCTCTTTCTCTTCCTTGTGCTCTCCCTTTATACTCAACACCCCATCATCAATTGTGATCTTCAAGTCCTCCTTGGCAATCCCTGGCATGTCATACCGCAGTTTGTAGTGATCATCCCTCTCTTTCACACGCCCACTCAGAGACCAAGGTGTCAAATTCATATTCTCAAACAACCTGTTGATGTTCTCACTTGCTTGCATAAGTGCATTCCCCAGGCCTGAAGGAAAGAATTCTAACAACCAAACACAACATGTAAGTTTTGATTCAAATCCAAATATCTATATTTAGTTATCAATGTTAAAAAGAATTGAAGATTAGTTCCTAAGACTTGTATATAAGTTAATACAAGGTGCAATTAAAAAAAATGGATAAATAAATAATGTTTCTTGAATATTATCTGTGTTGTATCATTACTAAAAATGTGTACTAAGTAGATTGATACCCAACTATCTAATAAATTCAAGTGAAATATCATTTTCAATCTCTAGCTATAAGTTAAGGTTGTGGGATCAAATAAGAATCGAGGGGGCGTTAGGAGTACCATAAAGAGCAGGAGAAAAGTCACGGTCATTGTTTCTCCAAAGCCATCTTCTACCCCTCCTTCTAGGAAACAACCTATTAGATTTTTTCCCTTCAGAGACAGCAACTTCACTGCCTTCAGATCTCCCCATATCACTGGCTGCAGTAGCAAACCTTTTGAGCATTTCATTGCCCCACCTTCGCTTGTGCTGGTGCACACCACCATGGCTTATCAAGGAAGAGGAAGTAGACACCATTTGCTGCAAATTTTTCAGAGCCAAACGAGCCAAAGCCATTTGAATAATGAAACTGATGGGCTTGATGTTGAAGTACTACTTGTTTCTGTTTGTTTGTTTTTGCTGATTGTTTAAGGAACTGAGACAACTTAAATAAAGATATGAGGTTGGTGTTGGGCACTTGGCTATGGATGCTAGAAGTGTCCAAGACATTCTAGGATTTGAGGGAGAGACATATCACACGTGCAATTTCAGAAACAGTGAAATTAATGGAGAGTTCTCGTTCTTTCTCAGACAAGACATGATACGAATCACAAGAGTGTTCTAGAGGTAAAGGAACTATATACTATACACGTAGCTCCCAGCATCTTCCAACTGACTCGGTTTGAATTTAGGCCCAGTCCACAAAAATTAAACTGTTGGGCCTGGACCAAATTGAAACTTTTTTTAATCCAATTTAAAACATACTGTTACATGGACAAAAAACGTATTGCTTTAACATAAGAGAATTAGAGAAATGAGGTCCAAACTACAAAAAATTGGGATCACGGTTAGTTTTGTTCCGGAAACGATTTGGATTTGATTGGAACTATTAGAGTGTGTGTTTGAATCCATGTTTAAATATTTCTAAATCTAGGTTTATTTCAATGTTATTAATTGTAACTTCTAATTTTCGTTTAAAAATCTTTCAAAATGAATCCTTTAAGTATTGCCAAAATGAGCCTAACACATCATTACACTTTCTGCAACCTAGTTTCTGATTGCATCATAATGACGAGTAAACATTTAAGGAAAAACATCTAATTAGAGAATATGCACCCTTCTAATGTGCAACATTGACAGTACTGAATGAAAGCAAAGAGTAAAGAAGAACGATGATGATAAATTACGAGAAAGTTTTATATGTAGCATAAACAAGTTAAAAAAAATAAAATACCCGAATGTGAAATCAAAGTTAAATAGCCTACTTCCACCATTGAAAAACATTCAATGTTTGACCCCCTGAAAAAAAATATATCAATATAAATCATTGACAATTCTTAATATCATTGAGATAATGTTTCCACCAAGACACCCTTGAATTTTAAAATCTCAAGTTCAATGTATATGAAACCAAAGCCGAAACTATGAGTTATTGACCATTTGTACTACATAATTTCGGTCTACTTTAACGGAAAGACAGAAAATAGAAGTTGCAGCCACTCATGCAGCATGCATTCAACAAAGGGAGGAGTTTTCAAAACTTGCCTACTAAAATAGTACTCATAGTAGAGGCAGCTAACGCAATCAATTAAATAAAGTATAATAATACATTTATCTCAAGGCCCAAAGAGAAATTTTCCTCATCATAGGCATGTCACAATTGGTATACAAACTGCAGTATCTGCCCAATATTTCTTCCTACAGAAGCAAGAACGAAAATTATTTCAGGGATCAAACCACGCAGCACTTCCTCAAGCTTCGACGGCTTCAGTCGTATAGGCCATCCTGTTCCCAGATGTCCACAAGAAAATCTACCATTTCCTATCAGTATATGAATAAGCATACCATTAGACCATCAATTTTTACTTAAAACTGTGTGATGATATAGAAGTAGATGCATACAGCAAGAGGAATAGGTTGGCGGAATGGCTTGTTGCTGCCCAGTAAACTCTCATATGTTGCATTCCAACTGCAAAGCCAATAAATTTTGGCAAGGCACAGACAATAAGTTCTGACAAGATAGGAAAAGAAAAGAAACAAATTCATAATTACTGCCAAAAACGAAGTTCATCTGTCAAAAATGGAAATCTTAACTGCCCAATTTGAGCAGTTTTACTATACACATAACAATATGAAAGAATTTGGTAAGCCAGAACTGAAGCCACAATTGAAAATAAGTTAAGCTTCTTATGATATGGCATTGGTAACTATGTAGGAGCAAGGACATATTTACACGAGTTATTTACACACACTTGTCCTTTCAAGGCAAAAACTAGTTTTCTAATTGTTGAGCTATGAGCTTCAATATAGAAGTTGATTGCCCTGCCCCCACAAATCAGTGGTAAAGTGGAAAAGCAGACTCCTTCCAATATTATCATCCAGAGAAAATATACAAGTTTGGTACAAAACTCATACAAGGAGAAAGAAGTAACAAAAACTTGTAGAAAATTGGATTTTCAAGAATCCTTTCCCAAACAAAACAACAAAAAAAGATAAGATGCCAATAAGACTAATCCAACAATGTAATTTACCTCAATTTAGGTTCTTTTAATTGCTGAGTTCGGTTCTCAGACCTTTTATTTCCTACCCAACGTTGCCGAGTCTGATTCCAAAGAATTAAACCTGCAACCACGAATATTTTCATAAATGCACTTGCAAATTAAAATAACCAATGATTGCACCCCTAACTTATCTACCAAAATCTCTTACTAAAGTCAGCAAGATATAGATAAGACAATAAATGCAAAACTAACTAGAAATTTCCATAAAACTTAGTCAATAATAAAAAAGATAGCCTACATCAGATCAGAAAGAAGATTTTGGGTAAAAAGTATATCAATAGAAAAAGAGGAGACAATTAGCAGTGTTTCATAAATGATTGTGTGCCCCAAAACAAAAGTAAATGAACAGTGCTAGTAAAACCAAAAAAAGATATTATTAGTAATTCAATACAGACTAAATTGAATCACCGTGCCAATCAAACCACATTTCTTAAAAGAGCAGTAACATGCATTAGATATATTGCATTTCTTATATGAGCAGCAACATACACCAGATATATCTTGTCATAGTACATAAAATTGGTCAACCCTATAAAGGAAATAGGGAAGTTTAAAGTAACTAATAACTATTACGATCTTAATGTTATGAACATTTAACCCTGCCATGAACAGAAACACCATGTGTTAGCTTTAATCCAGTTGAAAAAAGAGCTGACCAAACCACCAATAGGCCACGGGTGCTTTCAGCTCCCATTATGCAAGGCCAAATCATTTCCCATTTTTATCTCAGTTTTATACCAAGAAAACCACATCAAGTTATGAAATACTTATTTAGTGAAATATATGCACAATAAAAGCAATGAAGAATACCATGATTTACAAATTCAGTGGGGTTGCTACTTTTGGAAGAACCAGCATGAGGAACCACGGCTTGGTTAGTTAGACTGGTCGAGGATATGCTCCCCTGTGACTGAATAGCACTGTTATCCATATCATGCGTGCTGGTGGTCCAGAAATCCTCTGACGAACTAGGTTTCCTCGCAGTCTTACCTTGTGTTGCCAATCCTTTTGATGGCGCATCCACTGTAGTAATCAGTGTAGGTCTTTTATAGCACCCAACACAACCACTGCTCTGTTACAATCACGTTAATTTCTGTTATGCACCACATTATAACCATGTGATTGTCTAAAGCAGTTCTAATACATAATTCACACACTTCAATTTCATAGCTGCAAAAATGTAAATTGATTTACACACTTCAATTCAGAAAAAATTAAAAAATTCTAAGGTCATTGATTGAGAAATTCATCCAAAAGACATAAACACTACAGCTCCCCATCCTCTACTCCCAAAAATGAAATGCTGGCATTGGAACCCATAATCCATCTTCAAACCTTTTCATCAATTTTCTACGCAACCGTATAAATCAAGAGGAAAAAAAAAAAAAACAACTTTCAGGGTCATCATCATCCACCCACATGTTTATCAATCAATAAAAGGAAAAACGCTAATGCCCATTAAGGTATGGAAGCTAATTGAAGGCAATAAAGCAAAAAGGAGAAAACTTTCTTAAGCTATGGAAGGATTCAGAAAACATACCCCATATGCATGCAATGTCTGAAACACCCAAAATCCTGATTAGATTGGATCTGCCACGAGAAATTCGCAGAAAAACGAAGAAGACAAGACCCGATTACACAGCAATTCAACAATTCAAAACGCAGAGATTGAGAAAGAAGGGGGAAAAAGTAAAATTGTGAAAGGAAGAGAGAGAAAATGTAGAAAAAGGAACCTTTGAGTTAGAGAAAGCGGTGTTGAGGGTTGGAATCTCTTTGCCTATCCTAAAATTGATAGCCCTCCCTTCTGATGTGCTAACACACAGATGGGATGGGATCGCTTTTGGATTCTTCTTCTTCCTCTTCGTCCTCTTTCTCTTCTCTCACAAAAAACAGAAAAAAACCAAAAAGGTTAATTAATACAACGCAAGAGTATATTATTTTAAGCAACAATAGTTAATAATTATCATCTGATCTTATTTAATAACAACATATAAAATTAAATTAAATTAAAATGGTGGTGTCTACTATCTACAATGCACCACTGGTGAAGTAGTTGCATCGCTGCACCATCCAGTTTTAACCGTTGATTGTTAATAAAATAATATTAAATGGTCAAGATTTACGACTTGTAACTTAGTGAATGGATAAATAACTCAATTACAGTAATATAAAAAACTCCTCCACCTGTAATTGTGAATTTTGCTGATTAGTACGAATATCTGCTTCACGAAACGCAATTAAAACAACTGGGGTGTTGCTAATAAATGTTCTACAAAGATTTATTAAAAATTATGATAAATATATTAATGATTTTTTGGCTGGTGCATTAATTAAAACTTATCCGTAAACTTTACATTATGATTAGCCTGATTCTTGCCTAATTTTTATCCATTTGTTTATTTTATTTTACAGTTTCGTTATTTGAATCGTTATACACATATTCTAAATAAAAAAATAAAAAAAAAAATTCAATATACAAAATGACACCTTTGGTTGTTTATCTTTAAGATGTTAAAAAAATACTTTCTTTTACACTTTAATAATTCTATAAGGTTCGTTTTTTGTTGTTATTTTGTAAAATTCAAAAACAGTTATTTTTATTTTATCCTTGACATATATTTAGTTGTTTTTTAAATACTCATTTTTCTACTAATATATATCAATTAATATTTATTTGTAAAGGGTATAATAAAAACACAATATTTTTATAAAAATTAAAATATTGATTATTTTCTTGATTTTTGTTCAACATTTTAAACCTAAAATAAAGGGATTATTTCCGGTTTATTTAATGTTCACCTAATCACATAAGACATAAGAGTACGTCATTTCATCACAATTTTCATGAGACGTTATTTTGTACCATCCATCACTACTGTATAGTTATTTTGTTTGATCCCTCACCTTCCTTGCTATAATGCAAGAGCAAGGGCAAGTTCATCCCATATTAGGTACAGTGGGGTGTGTAAGGGGAGATCTGAGAATAGTGGGGACTATTATTCTTTGTATTAGGTGATATGTATATATATATATATATATATATATATATATATCTTCAAGACTTTTTGCATATGCTATATGTGCTCAGTGTAAATGCTTTTTGGATTTTCTCATAATTTTTCCAAAAACTTGAAGGAAACAATTAAGGTGTGTATCCAACATTTAACTACTTGAAAATAAGTGTTTTGTGTCAAATTGGGTGTATGTTATGGCGTTTAAATTTTGAAAATTTTGATTACACCATCGATAATTTTGAACTTGGGTTTTGGTGGGAGCAGTGGGATTCAACAAAAGAAGTCTTCATCATCAATGGATGGAATGGTGGTAGATTAATAAATCTTTGCTCGTTGGACCTGTGATTGATGCAGCCAAAGGTTTGACTGTGAATGTTAAGAATGATTGAGTTTTATTTATTTTATGTTTTATGTATATTAGTAATAATATATTATATATATTATCTGTTTGTTTATTTTAAATTTATGTTTAAGGATAAATCTTACATTATATAAATCTATAAAACAAATCTATCATGTTTTATTAATTAAATAAATATAAAAATCAATATTTTATACATCATTTGAGAACTAGTACAGCATACACGACACCGTTTAACAGTTTTGCTAACAATTATATTATGATAGCGTTTGAAGAATAAAAAAAAAAAACACAGATCGTCTTAGTAAATACTTAAAAAAATACTTTAGATTTTTTAAATACTATTCCAAGAACAATAGTTTGCAAAAGCTGTTTAATGAATTATATTTTAATAATTAATAAAAATTAAAAGATCAAAATTTAAGTAAAGTTAATTTTGTTAGAAAAAGGATTTACTGCATATAAATATTTTTAATAATAAAAATTAGTATATTTAACAAAATCGTTAATTATGAATTTTGAACAATGCATGGTTACAACGAATGGGCATTTTACTTTGTCTGCAAATAAAATATTTGTTTAGTAAATTATAATATAATGTAAACAGGTAGCTCACACAGTTGACAGTTGTACCAAAAAAAAAGGTTGCTCCCACGGTTTGGGTATAGCGTTTAGGTAGACATGGTGAATGTTTAATAATATTATCAAGTTTTGTAATTAAAAAAAAAACATATATGAGATTTATTTTGAAGAAAAATACAAATTCAATATAACAGTATATGTTGCATTGCAATAGTATATTAAAATAATAATAATAATAATAATAATAATATTAAATATATAAGTGTGTTAATACACTCATATGATTTTTAAATATTTTAATGTAAGAGTGTGCCAATAAAATATAATAGTGTATTAAAAAACCATTAAACACAACAAAATATTAAAAATTATGATAAAAATGTATTAATGATATTTTTAATAAAAATATATACTTTTAATTATCATTTATTTCTCTTAATGCACTTAGTTAGCATTTTCCTTGCTTTAAATTTTAAGAATTGAATAATTTTTTATTTAAAATAATTTTCTAAATAAAAATTATCAAAAATTATAATAAAATGATTACATTTTTTTTTTACTTTTTAGACAGATAAATAGAAATAAATGTATTTTTTATAATTTTTTTAACTTCTTATTATATATGTATGCATAAACATGTGATGGAAAAATTATTCTTTATTATAGTTTTGTGTATAATTATTGTTATTTCTTTTTGTTTTTAAGTAAAATAAGCAATGAAAAAAAATTGTTTTTGTGAAGGGTTTTTTTCTCGTACTTTTAATATTGCAAGTAACTTTAAGAAGAAAGTATGAATTTCAGCTTAAGTTAATTAAATAAAGCCATATACTGTTCCACTCAACTAGTTTTGTGATCACCAAACTTTGAATTTCAATCCATTTGTTTGTTAATTTACCAAACATTGTTGAATTTAACTTATGATTTGATCACCAAAATTTGCATCTAATAAGAAAATCACGAGGAAGAAATATGACCGTGGCACAATACTATAGGCATATTTTATTTTTACTCGTGTTTTTTTTTTTACAGCTTTTTTACGATTTACTTTGTTAGTTTTGATGAAAAATTGTGTAGAGATAAAAAAAAGTGTAAGAAATTAAAGGTTTTATGTGTTCAAATGTTTTGTTTTATATAAATAAAAAAACCGTAAGATTTATTAAAAAATTGCTCACGTAAAATAATTAGATTTTTGTAAAAAACAAAGTGATGGGTTTTTATTTTTAATATGTTATTAGTTTTTAAAAACAATATAAAAATAAAAAACAATTACATTTTTTCATAATTTAGAAAAAAAATATTAGATTAAAATGTTTAATTTTCTGTTAAAATAAATTTTTGTTATATAAATCATTTTTTTCATTCATCGTAAATTAATTTTTTTACTATTTTTTCATTTTCATTAATTAAAATAACATTTTTATCTCATTTTCGTGTTTTTTCTCACTAATTTTTTTTTCTTTTTACTTGTTCTTTATTGCATCCAAACATAATATAAATAAAGAAAAATAAAAATATGAGATGTAATTGAGAGAAACATAAATAAAAATGAGTTATAAAAAATTATATAAGAATAAAATAGATACATAACAAATGGCAAGAGAGATGGCTGAGTTAAATTTACGAATAATGTTACTATTAATCCCTTACAATTGTTACTCATCAGTATTTTATAATAATAATTTTAGTAAAAATAAGCTACTCGACTCTCTTAAATTCATTCATTATTGGCCGTTAACTGTAGCACATTGGGTGAAAAATTCGAATTTATAAAAATGATGGTCAAATTTAGTGTTTTTTTTTTAAATTATGAGTTTAGTTCTCATCAAATTATTTTATTAGATCAAACTAAAAAATATATATACTTAATTTATATTAGATTTTAAAATTCAGATTCTATATTTGATTTTACAAATTTAGTAGGAAACAGACCCATTTGATAAACATATTTATAAGAATTCGGTAGGGAACAGAAACACGGGGTTCCCATGGGTCCGAAGCTTATCCGTTCACGGGAATCGTTGACTCCTCTGACACTATATTTGTTTATTTATAACTATTTATACGCAAAACTATGCATGCACTTAATTTCTTAATTTTGGCCTTTAGTCTTAGTAACAGTTAATTGTGTTTTAAGATATGAATTAATTAAAAATTTTATATACCCTATTTACAGTGTAAACGTAGTCATTCTTAAAACCATGTTAGCATTCAATAAGAGTGGTTTTAATGACAAATTATGAATTATTTTTAAACAAATCTTAAAACTACTTGTTATTAACGATATATTTAAAAGAAAATTTACACCTAAAACAAATAGTAACACTCTCAGTAAAAAATTTAAAAGCATTATTAATTAATAATTAAAAATATGTTAAAAAATATGCCATTAATTTTCTGTACACTTAATTATCCTTGCACCGTGTAGGAATTTTAAGCGTTCACGTACTAAATTTATGGAGTATAACAATTACGTATCGTGTACGTGTACCTACGTACATGTGTTGCTTTCCCTTGCACACTTGTTATCCTAACCTGTTGTTCTTGCTCACATAACACGTGTAAATAATTTAAAATATCTCCAATCAAATTAACGTGAGGAAGTTCGTACATAAATCTATCTGTCATTAACGCCTTTTTTTACATATTTACATGATCATTTAAATATTTAATATAACATACTTAAATTTTTGGCATGTATTTTTAAATAAACGTTAATTTTTTAAAAATGAATCATTAATTATAACAAACGAATATTAACGATTTGTGATTATTAACCATCAATCATAAATTAATAATATGTTGTCATAAATATATTATTGGTAATAGTAATCTTACCACATTTAACTTTGGGTGTGGCAGATATGAAGCGGTGAAAGTACTTACGATTTTATGGAGCGGCTCCTTTAACTTAATTTAATAATAAAATTAATTCTGACGTACTATTGATGTAAATGTTTAAATTATTTTTTTTAATCTTTAAAAGTGTGTTTAATATGTTTTAAAAAATAAGATTTGAAATTTATCTTTTAGAAGGTATATAATTGTTTCAAAAACTAAAAGTGAAAGTTAATGTGTTTAATGTGGAGTATAACACTATTATCACCATTGAGATGAATAAAATTAAATATAAGTTTCTTATTCAGATTCTCAGAAGTTATAAACACAGTAGACCATTCATTTGGCAATTTGAAATATAAGTCTAAATGGAAAGAAAAAGCACATTGAAACATTGTGAGGCTTATATTCCACGTCAAGTACATCAATATGACAACATTTATAGGCCAAGTGTTAATTAATATCTTTAAAGAAATAACTAAGACATCAAACAGAAAAAAAACATTATATTAAAATATTTTATTATTGGTAATTTAATTTTAAAATGTAATTTAAAATATTTAATGAAAAATATTGATATCAGCTAATTAATACTGATTAACATGATCCAATTTTAAATTATTATCGGGACTCCCGAGAAATTAACTTTTTCGCATTCGTTGTCTCTTTTCCGCGAGTCTTGTCACGATTATAGACAAGGCAGTGAAGTTTTATTAGAATGTTTGGAAAATAATAGCATTCAAAGTAAAATAATAATAATAATAATAATAATTTTATTGAATAAAACTATACATTCGAAGAATAGTGTTTTTTTTAATAAATGAGTATAAAGAATAATTGATTATACAATTACAGACAAATATAAATAAAAGATACAAGTTATCATTTACAGCTCCATACAATATTATGGAATATTATTTCAAATAAAAAATAAAACAGAAAAGTTGGTTCAACAGCTATTCCTTTTACTTAGATTTTGATTTTGGAAGAATCGGTTTTGTTCAAAAATAAATTCAAGATAATTGATTGTATTTTCAATTAGCTATTATTTTAATTGATTGTTGTATTTCTACAAGTGTATCCTATAATTATAAAGATTAAAGATTTTGTTTAATCTCTTAAAACTGTTAGTATTCATTATATTTTTAAAGGAGTTAATCATTGTTTCCAAATTATAGACATTAAAAGTTTTGTTTAATTTTTTCAAATTATTGTTTGGTTGAAAGCTAAATAAGATTAATTTAAAATTATTAAATATATATTTTGTGTTACAAAGTCAATTCAAATATATATATTTAAAGTATATATCAAATTTCAAAACATCAATTTTTTATTATTCAAACATATATTATAGTTAAAAAAATTATAATTGTTTTCTTTTTCTAATTATAAAATAAACAACACAAAAATTTTGAATAGGTGAACTATTCACTGACCTATTAGCTCTTCTAAAAATTTTTTATTTATCATTAAATTATAATAATTGGTATTTATTTTTTTAATATATGTAAAAAATTAAATAATAATTTGCATATAATTTTTATTAAAATTCATAAAATATAATATATTAATAATATTAAAATAATAATATTTAAAAAATATTATTTATTACACTTATATTATATATCTATCAATATTATAATATACTATGAATTATATCAATGATAAATAATTTCTTATTTTTCTAAACATTTGACAAAGTCACATTAAAAATTATGTAATGCATTGTATCGTTTGGACTTCCAAATTCTGTCTCTGACCATTTCTTCTTCTAGAAATGGAGCATGCTCTTTCCCCCACGACGCTTCCCCATCGCACAAGCATATAACAAAGGCAATTAATGATTTATATATATATAATTCAAAATATTATCAGATACATTTTTATCACAATCTTTAATGATTTTTTAATTTTCAATTAAATAAATCCTACTTTTTAACAGCGTTATGTTATTTTTAGTTATTCAATTATAATTATATATTATCTTAATTATATATATCAAACTTTGGGAAAAAAAAATCATAATAATTTTTTTTACATATTTCAAAAATATATGTTACAAAAAAGTTTACTGTGTATTAATAATATATTAAACAATTAAAACTATTTTAAAATTTTATATATAATTGATATAATAAAAACTTTCAATTTTATTTCATCCCTCTCACACACATGTAATTAAAATACAGAGTTGGTAAAACAAATAATTCTATAAAAAATATAATAAATTCACTTAATATGATTTTTTTAGACTTTTTAAAAGTTTAACTATTGGGTATAGCTTAATTAAATTAGAAATTTTAAAAATAAAATTTAGTTCAAACTCAAATATTTAAATTTAAATCTTACATTCTATTGAACAAAATTGAAGTATACACCTTTCCTCCTATCATAATGAACCAATCAGCCAATGCTATTTTTATTTTTATTTTGACTTTCCTCTTACCATAATTGCTGAACATTTTCTGGGGTCATTGATAATTGTTGAACATTTAAAATTTTAACTGTTGTAATTTTTACATTTAATATTTTCCCGTGAACCGAACGACTCAAGCACCTACGAAGCTTCGTAAAAAGGGAGCGTTCACACATCTCTCTCTGTTCAATATTTATACGCCTCTTCCTTTTATGGTCAACACAAGTCCTCTGTTCCTCGTTCTTCTCATAACACAACAGCGTTAACTTTTCCTCTGTTCCCACAGCATGGCTTCAATCTCGCATGGTTTTGTTTTAACCACCGCCATGGTTCTGTCAACAACCGTCCTTTACCTTGCTTTCTCAAGGCATAAGACTTCCCCGCTATTTCAAATTCTTGGAGATTCCAAATCTCCACACTCCGAGAACCAAATTTTACGCTCTTGTTTATACTCAGGTAATTCCAATTCCATTTCCTTACCCTTTTTTCGTTTCCAAACGTTATTTTACATCATCCGACTTTGTTTTATGGTATTCATTTAACGTGTTGGTGTCTTTTATTTTTCCAGAGGAAAAGAAGAAGAAAAGGAAGAAGAAAAAGAAGAAGAAAGTTAAATTCGCAGAAAATGTGATGGTGAAGGAAGTATTCAGAGAAGAACAGGGGAAGCAAAACAGAGTATCAAGCAGCATCTGCGGAAATGAAACTTCAGAAATTCATGAAATGCCAGCGAATCGAGTTGCTCTGTATAATGGGATTTTAAGGGATCGAGTGCACAGAATGGCTTGCTGTCACTGATCAGTGATCACCCTAAGGCTTACGATCCTTCGTGTAGATTCTATTTTCCAAGGTGGAACAGGGGAGAGATTTTAATTCGAGCTGTTTCTTCTTCTTCTTCTTCCTTCGTTTCTTCTTTTTTAAAAAATTTCAAGTTATAGGAAACCTGAAAATAGGAAATTTTATGCCATAATTGTAGATGTAAGAGTCTTAAAATTTGTAAATATTTATAAAGAACTAAATAAATATAAATTTTTCAGAAGAAACTCTATTATCAGCGTTAGTGTGTTCACTCTGTTCTGCTGTTTTTTAAACCCAGGTTTTGAGCCATTTGTAACTACGGCTTATGGAAAAGTTGTTTTGTGAAGAAGAAGGAAAAAAATCTGATGTATTTTTGTGGTTGTAAACATGTACTTGTTCAATTTATGATTTTCTTATTTCTCAAATAATCAGCAAAGTCTAATTTATTTAAAAACTGCCCTGTTATTGCCTCTCTTTTTTTTTTTTTTGAAGTTCATAAATATAAAATAACCTCTTAATTAAAAATCTCTTTTTAGGAAAATAAGATAGATTTGGCATTCTTGTAAATGAAATGGATGGAAGAATTAAATGTTTAACATATTCACCTTTTATTGTATTTGAGAAAAATTATTACTAAAATTTAAATAGTTGTCATGCAAACATTTCTACCTGGTGTGCTGTAATAATTATTACCCGAATATTTATTTATTTATTTATTTATTTCCCCTAAGTGAGAGGACTATTCTTGAACACAACCAAACATGTATATTATTTGGTAGTTATTTTAGTTTATCTGGGTTCTGAGTTCAGTTCAAATTCCTATGAAACAATTGTACTAAAAATTCAAAAAACTTCATCACATATAGCTTAACTGACATGGTTAAGATTTAAATACCAGTATGATGCCTAAAGTGGGTTTTACATAAAGAAGATTAATTTTAACCATTAAATTTTATATGAATGATATATATTAATACACAAAATCATATTTTTTTAAGCAGTTGTATAACCTTTAACTTTTAATTTATTTAATTTTCTTTCAAATAAAAACAATATCAGTGGATAGATTCCTCGTATACAAAGAGGATCAGAAATAATTGGCGCTGTAATCAGGAACAGGTAAAGTGGGTTCATGAATAGAGACGTCCATATGAGGAGTGTGATGTGAAACAAAAACACGAATCAGAATGGACCACATAACATTACATGTTTAGATGTGTCAAAGTTTGAATGCTGAGTCTTGGCCTCACTAATCACCCTTCAACGTCGTAATCTCTTCAAATTTTCGGACTTTGTTGTTGAATTGGAAAGGAACCCATTTTAGTCTTATTAAGGTAGCCCACAAATTTGACCAACCCAACTTGAACAACTGAAATCAAAACTATATCGTTTTAAACAATTTTAAACAGTACTTTCATTCATAGCTTACTATAAAGTTACATAGACATGTAATGTAAGAGCTACAACAGTTAAAAAAACTTAAAAATGATAATTCATTAAAAAAAGAAATCAAAATAAAATAAAAGACCATTTAAAAGAAATTAAAACTAAAAATTTATTAAAATATCATGAGTGAAAATACATTTAAGTCTTTTAAATATTATGACCTGAATTTTTTTAATCTGTATCTCATTAATCTGGATTCTGATTTGGATGTCAATTTTTTAAAGTATGACGTTGTTTTTAAAGAGAAAAAAGGATACTATTATAGAGTTGAATATTCTCCTATTGCGACATTTACAGGTTTTCAAAATGGGCCTTACATACCACGCCCAAAAAAAAATCTTTCAAAAAAAAACTTGTCTTGACCTTTTCTCTCGGATTAAAATCTTATAAAGTCAATGCTTTTCTAGACATAAATGTATTAATTATTTTACGAATTAGCCACGAACTATGCGTACATGTATTTTTTTTTAAAAAAAAAATGGAAAACAAATCTAAAAGTTACCATAGTAATTTCCCACTTTTTTTACACCCTTTTTCTGTGCTAGGTAAATATTCTCATAATCATATTAAACTCGGAAAATAGAACTTGTCATTAGCAATGAAAAGGAGACAACGGAACCTGTACACTTTTATAGTCAAGAAAAAACTTAAAAATAAATCTGTCTCAAGACTCTAAGCACATCTCTTACATAACTATTGATAAAACCATGTTAATAGCTACATAAAATGCAATATAGTTAGGAAGATAAAATGTTTAAATAAGATAAAATTTATGCCATACTTGTTGAATTTGCGTTTATATCGATTGCTTTCACTACCCAAATCATTCTAAAGGAAAACGGGGACAAGCTTGGTGAGAATAATTTAAACCAGAAAACAGGTAGAAAAACAACAAAGACATTGTGGGAGAAAGGAAACGCTAATTAGAAACCAGTCAAAGTCATAGCAGGCAACAACATCGGATAACTAAAACCTGTCATAGACATCTTCAGAAAAACAAAAACTTCTCCACCAGGCATCACGTACTATATCAAGATTATTACTATGCAGTGATGAAAACACAGATTAATTACGATGTAAGCAATCAGAGTTTTATAACAGAGTACAAAATCAAACTAGGTAGTGAGGATAGGGGGGAGGTAGTCAGCTTTGCCACCAAGAATGCGCGCCTTGGTGTCAGGGAAGAACTCAAATCCTGGCAGCTCTGTGACATCACCTTCACTGGCAACTCCGATAGGATATCGGAGCAGGTGACCGGGAAGGTCATGTTCAAGTGTCTCACTAGAATAGAGATCCCAATATTTATCAGCAATCTGGTTCACCTTACTAATGCATTCGTCACTTTCCGGCCGGTTGAAGGAGTCGTGAAGCATGCCGAGGTGCTCATACCACAATGACATGCGGAAGCCATGGATTTGACCCCGTGCCGGCTGCCTGGTAGCCAAATGATAGGGCTGATAAGCGCCCATGGCAATCTCAGAGTCCCTAGCACCATCCATGGACCTCTGGTTGATGTTGGCAGATCCAATGATTATGTATTCATCATCAACTGCAAAGGAAGAACATATATAATTTTGACAATAATGATAATAATATCCAATGTCATGGATCCAAAACGTAAATCATTTGTAAGTTTGTTTTCCAATTTACCTATCATCATCTTGGTGTGGACATAAATCATGAAACGTCGAGCCTCTTGGGCTCTCATATAATCTGAATCAGGTTCTGGTTGTTCAGAAGGCTCATATTCTCCCTGTTTCTTCACCTCGCGATTGCCAAGGCAGAAGAAAGTTAAATAGTTCCGAGGATCTTCCTCAATTCCCTTGGCCCTGAGTGCTTGAATAACGTCCTTGTACATCATCTCCATTGTTCTCTTCTGCCAGTCCAATATTGCCTGAACTGATGCACTTTCTGGGACACCCTCTGGCCACATTGGGACCACAACATACACGGCAAACCTTTCCCCAGCTTCAATCTTACTTACAATCTTAAGTGATAGTTCCTTCGGGATTAGATGCAAGGCGCCGATATCTTCAGGCTTAATTCCATCGGCACTCCATGCAAAACAGCTGCCAAGGAAATACTGATTTTCAATATAGATGAAATTCTTTGCACGTCGAATAGCATGAATATAAGCATCTTGAATGCTACGATCTATGATATTATCCTTCCCACTAACAAGTCCAGCTTTGGCAGCATCTTCAGGAGTCTCTGGGAACCCAAAAGCAGCCCCCCCATCAATTGATCTAAATAACTGAACATTCCATGTCTCATGATCTTCAGGAAACATTACTGGGGATGGAGGAATGATGTCATCTTCAAGCTCTCTCAGTGGAACAAGTAGGTCCTTCCCACCTTGCTTCCTCCATCTCTGCTCAAAGTTAAACAAAACATCCCAAGCTATGGGTCCCTCGAGTCGGGAGTGGATGTCATGCCAAGGTTCCCTGGGACCACCTTTTGTGATTGCAGCACCAGGAAAGTTAGGCTGATGAAAATCATCATGGTGTGCCGTGTCTAGGGTTCTGAAAAGTGAGTGGAAAGCAGTGTCATATCTTCCATCACAAAGGTCAATACCCCCAACAAAGCTCACAATTCTTCGCTTATTTGACCCTCCATTAGGCAATTCACTGTCAACCACCACAATCTTCTGGTGATGAGTAAACATGGCAGAAATTTGTAAATCCTGAACAATGCTGCCACCATCATCAGGATTGCGGGGGCATAAAACACAGTGCACCTCGGTGCCATTGAAGAACTGCACGGTTTCTTCATCATGAGTAGCCATCAATCCATCTTTTTTCAACAAACCAACTGATGTTCTATCATCCCAAACAAGCATCAATACCCTAACACCTTCATTTGCTTTTTTCTTAAGAAGCTCACCAAGTGTTGCGTCCCCCCCAGCCTTAGGCCTTCTAGAATCCCTTACCAATGAAATTTCAGTATAAACAGACCAACCAGTAATGTATATCAAGTGTTTTGCATTCGTTATTGCATCAAAAATATCCTCCCAACACCTATGAGGCTCATAAGTCTTTCCTCCAGCAAGAGGTATTTTAGGGACAAAATTATCTGGCACATGAGCATCTTGGTATAGAGACACCTTACATCCTTTCCTCTGTGAGAAGAAAGTATAGGGAACACCAGGGAATTTAGCACTTTTAATGCCTTGAGCCCAGTTACGGTCTTTTGTGACATCAAAATATTGCAGCTTCACATGGATTTTTGAACCTTCGCGTATTGGATTTTTATCCTCATCCAAGATTTCAACCCACCTATCTATTTCCTCACCATCCAAGACCTCCGAAACAGGCACATATGCTCTTCCAATTAAAGTTGCCCCAATAGGATTATCATCTTTCACAGTGAATACAATATTCGAAGCCATATGGCCACAATAAATATGAAAAGACTCATACCATCTGGGATTAGTATGTTCATTTTCTATAATTCTAGTCCTTCCCACTCTTGCCTTCTCCAGATCAATGGTTGCATAGAGTTTAGTAACTCCCTTTCCAATACCAACAGTCTCCTCAATGTTTTGCTTGAGCTGTAATAGAATAAGCATTACATACATCAAATGTGGCTTGCTAAAAGAATAATTAATAGATAAGGCTACACATATTGGCTCGTACATAAAAATATTCAATCCAGCTTTTGCAGAAATAATATGCAAAGCAAAATACACTCTAAGCAAAATACATATGATAGAATTAATGGCTGAGGTAAAAGACCGTTAAATGAACATAAGGTGGTCTCAGCTGAAGACCAACAATTTGATTCATGTTTTGTAAACAGTTAAATCACAACTTGTAATTAACATTTATTTCCAAAACCCTTGACTACAAATACTGATATAGATTAATATTGTTCTTATTTTAATGACAAAAGCTGTTAAATATCATCACAATTCATTTCAAGATAGAATTCCAATACAGGTTTGCAATCAATTGGCAGTACTAGAAACAAACAAGAGTTTAAACCAGATAGGAAATTTAAACCGATGAATCATTTGCACGGAGGTTCATGGACAATCTCACAATTGCATCATCTTTAACTTCCTTTTCCTTATAATACATCACAGAAAGCAATATAGCAGGAGTAGTTTCTTCTTTTAATAAACAAAAGTTCCCAGATCCTTCATTTTGAGTTTAAATCACTGAAACATCATCACCAAGACATTTATTCGATTTAAGAATTCGTCAACACAGATGGAAACACATGCACTTGAAAATCCGAAAAATTGGAAATCGAAAAAATCAACCAATTAAATCACCAGATTCAACAAGATCCAAATAGGCCAAAAAATACACCTTGCTCAAAAAATTGCCACCACCACCAGCATTGAGCTTATCAACCTCATAGATGGTGGCATGAAGAGTTCCATGAAGCAGAATTTGCGCCATGTCTCACCTACAACACAAATTCACACAACCCCACTTCGCATTAGATAACATAAAGCTGAAAACACTAGAAAAGCGTCACCTCAGAACAAATAAGCGGAATTGAAGTGTATGACGCACAAAGATACAAACTTTGCGAGATGAAAGAGTTAGATCGGATCACGGGTTGGATCAAAACGGTTTAAAGTTGAAATGAGGATTTGTGGATAGAAACAGAGCATGTGAAAAAACAGAGAAAGAAGAGAAAAGATACTAACTTGGGCAGGGAAAACGTTGAAGAGGAAGAAAGGAGGGAAAGGGTGTGAGAGAGATCCGAGAAAGGTGCAGTAACAATGGAGGAGTAAGTGTGTCTCAGCTTTTAACAAAGGAAGAAAGAACATGCATATTTTTCAACTTTATTATTACATAATAATTTTTATATATATTGCAATCTAATCTCTTCGTGTCTGTGGGAATGCATAATCATCTCCTTCACTTGACTTCTTCCATTCCTGTTGATGTTTTGTTTTTAATTATAAATTTAATACAATTTAATTTAAAAACAAATGATTACTTAAGATAATTATTCAAATCAATTAGTTTTCAATTAACCATGATTAATATTACAAAGATTTCCGTATATATTTTTTCAATTAATTTAATACATTTACTTATTCAGTAATTCCTAATAAAATAAATGAAAAAAAGTTGTCTACGTCTTCCATTTTTCTATTTATCAAAACCAATATATCTATAAAAAAATTAAATATGAAATATTAAATGCACGATTAAATTTTTTAGTTCTTATTATTATGTAGACCACTTGCATATATAATAATTTAAACTTAAAATAATTATGATTAAAATAACAACAGTATGTTGTTGGACAAATAATATAATTATTTTAACAGTAGCAGTATATTTAACTAAGGAAAACATTAAAGAGAATTTTTACGACACATGTTAAGAGTTTAAAAATGTCAAATAGAGACTAATTTTTCAAATTCTCAATGCATTAAAACACAAAACAATATTTTTATGACTGAACAATTGTCATTAAAATAAACTTATAGACAGTCTCGTATTGAAAATAGAAAATAAATCTATTATCGCGGATCTGAATAGTTAAAGATACAAAACCGTGTAGCGTTAATTGCACGAAACAGCGATTAATGTCGGTAGGAAATCAACGTGTCAATTTCATGCCTCACTTTTCAATTTGTTGGATATCAATTAATTCAATGCTTCTCAAAGGTGTATATAAAAACAAATAATCTGAGACCAGACTATGTTTTTTAATCATTTAAATTATGTTAATATAATTTTTTATAATTTAAAAAAAATAATAAATATGGATGATTATAACGTGATTAGTTGAGATTATATAGTTTTAGATATTTTTTTCAAGGATAAAATTCTTTCTAAAATTTATTAGATTTTTATCTGAGAAAAGAGGATAGGATTATAATTTTTGCATGTGATAAGATTTAAAGTTCAGTAATTTCTTCCATTTCATGTTTTTCTAACTTTTATCATTGAGGAACTATGAAATTTTAATTAAAATAATTAGTCGACATTGTTCAGTTGGGTTCGTTCTTTAGCCCGTTTCTTGTCTGTCTTTGGGCCTTTAATCTTCAGGCTCTTGCAATCCAACTACTATTGACCAAAAGGAGAGTGCTTAGTATTTTGGGCCCTTCGTGGGTGCTCTTATATCTTTTGGGCCTTTTTCGCTTCTTTTGTTTTGAACAAAAATTCAAGAGGAGAGTGAGGAGATTTTTAAAAAAAAAAGAAAATAATGGTCTTATTTTGTTGAGCATTACTGCATCATTATAACCATACAAATTTTATTAGACATTACGTTACATTCAATCAAATGGCACACATTAGCCACTTTATCCAAACCTTACGAAATATCAGTCGAGATTTTCACCCCTAGAAAATATTTTTTTTTATTAAAACCACCCTAAAAAATGTGGTGAAGGAGATATAAGGGGTTTTTGAGAAAGTTTATTGAACTTAAATAGAAGCAACGACTTTTTTATAAAGTGCGTTTGTCAATGTAACATTTTAATAATATTTTCTCAAAAAGTCCTATATGTAATTTTTGAACATATAATATCTTAACTCTTTTTTTATAAATTTTTATCCACACTATATTATGTTTTTTGTTTTTCCTCATCCTCTTTAATTCTGTAAACCCTGAGAGGAATTTTAACGACCATTGCACAACACTGTTTTTCAGCTTAGGAATCATTCATAACACAATACCAACATTAGAGTTGCATCACGTGGCAGATCATAGAATCAATGGTTCCTTCTACGATGAACAGTTCTAAATGTGACAAAAATGGACAGAATAGTGTGATTGTCCTTGGTGATCTTTGACTGCTTCAGCGTGGATGACGTTCTTCACCAGTGTCACTGTCTCTTCCCACTATGCCACGGCCATCCACCACCCCAAGAGTACAGAAAGAAGATTGGGTGGGAAAGGAAGAAAAATTGAAACGATGAGGAGGAGATAGATTCGGTGAGGGAGGAAGAAAATCTGTCAAGAAAAAAATCAGTTGGGGGGAGGAATATTGTAAAAGAAGAGAGAGAGAGGGGTGGATGAACACACAAGAAGGAAAAATATAGTCTCAAAATGAAAATAAAAGTAAAAAGATGCGAAGTAGACTTTAAATTGGAACCTATTTAGTGATTTTTTTTAAGTTACACTAAAAGAAAACAAAGTTGCTTAAAGTGAAAAAAAATTTGTCCTTGATATACATCACTTTAACCATAGCCATTTGGTTAATTATGACAATTATTTAAAAAAAAACAAGTTTGTAAAATTTACTATTATTATTATTAATTGTTTAAATATTGATATTGAAAAAAGTTGTCAACATACTCTTAACATATTTTTTGAATATACTTTTAATTATTAACAAATTTATTAAAAATAATAAAAATTATACAGTTTTTACTCTTTTTCACTTTTAAATTGATATTTTTATTTTATATTTTTATATTTTTTAATAAATTTTAAGTAATAATTAGAAGTATATTAAAAAAGGTGTGTTATAAAATATGTTGTTAAATTCCTCATGTTATATTAGTTGAACAAGTGGACTTGTCCCATTCATACTATTGTCAAACTATTGATCATTAATAATTAATTAATTATAGACATGCTTGACGTAATGGATAGACAGAGGTATTAGACCATGATTACCTCATGATCACACATGCATGCAAAGATATATGGGTTGAGAGAAAAAAATTTGTTGTTGGATAATGACAAGTTAACTAGTCCTCATTTAGTGCCATGTTGCCTCAATCATATGTGCGACTGAAAGTAACTCCTAATTTAATATCATTTATGATGTAATTAATTACGTGTAATTAGGTTTAATTACAAAAATCCTTTTAAGACAGTGATTCTTCCTGGCAAAGTATTCTTGTTCCTAATTATTGATAACAATGCTTATGCTAAAATCAAGGCAAATTAAGGGGCGGGGATTAGTGGAAGGACTGAGTTTAGAAATTGAATGGAACATTCGACCCATGTCACAATGTCATTAAGTTCGGAATATTAGAACTTTTAATGTGATGTAAGATATTTATTTTCTTAAGATTTATAAGAAGTGGGTAGTGGGAGATAGCTGTCTGAGTCAAGCATCAAAATTTAGACAAGGCAAAGCGTTAGGCCAAGGTTGTCCAACGAAGGCACTGACCCTAATCAATTTGATCGTAAACCCTTTAGTTAAATCAATAAAATGACAGGGTGGTTGATACACAACGTGAATCCCCTTCCACTAGATGGAGAGAGAGAGAGAGAGATGAAAAGTAGCTTGCACAAGCAATAGTTAAACTTGGAGTGTTCAAGGGAAGCCCCTCCTACACATGTGCAATTGTGTAATGCTATCCCAGCTTGTAATAAAGGCCTTGCACATACCATGGTAGCTATGAGGAAGCATGCACGTTACCTTGGGGTGTTCAACCCCGCTAGCTTCTATATGTCGCCATAAATAATGCTCTACCACAGTGCAATCACTTGTACTATGCCACTCAATGTTTACATCAGATGAGCTGTTAGTTTTTCTATTACGGTGAAAACACTCACGCTATGTGCTCAACTTAGTTAGGTAGTTGCTCCTTTTGAACCACTAACCTTGATACAACATGCCACTTTATGAAACAGGACCACTCTTCTGTTACCACAAGGTTAGAATCAAAAGACAAAAAATATGAGAAAGAATATATTGATGCCGTGTATAATTTTTTACTAGTGAATTCAACTATTTTGCCATTTGAGCTTTCTATAATTTTAAGTCAACGTAAAAATTCAAGAGCCAAGATACAAGTAAAAATGCACGTGCATTCCTCAATCATGATAGTGATCACACTCCTAAATTGGAAGGAACGTCTTTGCTGTTTGAATTACCAATGCGGAATAATCAAGGAAAAGTGCATTTACTAAATACAGCTTTTTCCCTTACATAAAATCCTACCCCTTTCCTTATAACTTTTTCATTACCTTTATATCTGTATGAGAAATACATAAAAGCTTTCTATGTCACTAACATGCAAATTTGTTATTCCAAGTATAAGAAATGCATCAAAACTTTCTTGAACATATTCACATGCAAATTTGTTGGTCCAAGTATTTGTGCAGCATTTTCCTAAGAAAAACCAGCACGTTCTCACACCTCTGCTTGCTTTCTGGAGACTCAACCTTATTTTCCTTCAAAAGAAACATTCGTACTGATAACTGAAAAGTTGAAATCAGATCAATCAATGTAGGAAATGAACGCAAGAGAATACTTGGTGAATATGTATATATCAATGACTGGAGTATGCTATATGCATATCATGCTTCAAAATTCATACTATTCTTATATCTGCACATCTATGTGCACACATCTTGAGATACACAAAGTGATGTGGAATGATAATAGTGTGGCAATAGAACAAGATATAGGTTGGTTTGAGACTGCAGATAGAAATACACATTTTTTTGTACTTTGCTATCAAAGATTAATAATGGATTCGGACATGCATCATTTTGTGTCCTTTTGTCCATGGTGTTTTGGGAGATAATGAAACCTTGAACAAGTTTCTGATCATTTTAACTTCTTCATTATACACTAAAAAGTCAAGGCTTGGTTAAAAAATTCTTGGTAGTGGATGCTAAATTCTAGGACCATATGCTTTTAACCCTGAAAAGATAAAAATTGATGAAAACCAATTGCTGCTGGGTTTTGTTTATCCAGAACTGTGGGACATGATTTGTGGTAATATATTCAAAATTACAGAATGGTTTTTGAATTTTTCTTGAGATTTATTCACCGTTACTTGGCCAGACTAGTATATAGAATAAAGGAACTTTCAAAACTAGGACTATTGGTTACCACTTTGTTGCAATTGACAATCACTTCCAAATTATGCTGAACTGAAGCATTAGAAAAGGACAGCCGCCAACCTATATATACATATGCATACATACATTACAGATACGTATATGATGAATTCCACCATGCATGGCGGAAGATGTTTATATAGATTTTACAGCTTGGATCTCCATCCACTGTATTTATGTTATGAATTATATACTCATCTTCCTATATCATGATATTCTTTGAAGGTTGAACTTAAGTGATAACTTGAGTGGAGATGTCTCTATCAAAGAGCCAAGCATGTTATATTTATGAGGTCACTAACAATCACAGTCGCCAACTTGCCATCTACATAGCACTGGATAATGGACCACTACTTAAGTATATATATTAACAGTGGAGTGAGATATTAGTTGAGGTAGAAGGTGAAACTCTTATTATTATCTTAGAAAGAAAACTGAAATAACCAACTTATGAGCTTACCAAAATAAGATAGCAGTTTGTGTTTGTAATTGTAACCCTTCCATGGAATTGGAATATCAATATCAGTGGTAAAAAGAGGGTAAAACAATTTGGTCCATTGGTTTACCTTTGGTGTGTGGAAATCCTACCAAACCAACAATCACGTGTACCCTTGTGTGGAGGTAGCCTTAAATTGCTGCACCATCACCACCCCGTGCTCTATAACTTGGCATGACTTTCTCATTCTTTCTCACAAATTCCATATACCCTCTATCACTCGTTCTTTCTTTCTCTCTCACTCTCTCTCTTTGGTAAGACAAGATAGTTCTGACCAACATGGTGCAATCAAAGAAATTCAGAGGTGTAAGGCAACGCCATTGGGGCTCGTGGGTTTCTGAGATTCGTCACCCTTTATTGTACTCTCATCAAACTCAACTCACCAAAGATTTTCAATTCTATATTTATTTTTTTCACTTCTCGAAAAAGTTTGCACAGCATCATTCCTTTTTCGTTTCATCTTTTAATATGCTTTCGTACACTCCTTGCCTCATTACCAAGAGATATTACTTAAGATCTTTGAAGTATGTGAATTAAATTTGGTGCCACATGAAACTGTGCATTAAATGTGAGTCTTATAAATTTTGTGGTGTTTGAATAGGAAAAGGAGGGTGTGGCTTGGGACATTTGAGACAGCAGAAGAAGCAGCAAGAGCATATGATGAAGCAGCCATTTTGATGAGTGGTAGAAATGCCAAAACAAACTTCCCAGTTGCTGATAACCCAATGGCAAATCAAAGTTCTACTTCTTCCTCCTCTTCCACAACATTATCTGCAGTTCTAAGTGCAAAGCTTAGGAAGTGCTGCAAGTCCCCTTCACCTTCTCTCACATGCCTAAGGCTTGACACTGAGAATTCTCACATTGGAGTGTGGCAGAAGCGAGCTGGCCCACGTTCTGATGCAAACTGGATCATGATGGTTGAGTTGGAAAGGAAGAAAAACCATGAGGGCAGTCCTTCTCATTCAGAAATACCTGTACTTGTTGATGCACCAGAGAAGGTAAAGCCTGAGGAAGACAGTGGCTTAGATGAGGAGCAGAGAATGGCTTTGCAGATGATAGAGGAACTTCTCAATAGGAATTGAAATAAGCTCGTTTGTTATGTGCTTTTATTTTCACGTGGGTTCAAGCTCATAGGAGGAGTTTCAAGTCCCATCTTAAGTCCTTTTCACTTCGGTTTTATGGGTTTGTTGTTTGTCCCAAGTAGGATAGGAGAGTGCCATACATTCATTTCGTGAAGAATGAGGATGTTTAGTGTTTGTGTTAGTGTTTGTGGCTGTTAATGCCTCCCAACGTGTGTAACTAGTTACCTACCTAGATTCACTGTGGTTAAAGTTCCTTTTCTCTGTAAAAAAAAAATATTCCTTGTATTTGGAACTATGCTTGAGTTCCATTCCATGCATAAATTTTATATCATCGATCTTATTATTATTAAATGAATGAAATATGAAATGCCTTGGTTATTTTTTGTCCAGAGAAAAGTTCGTAGGGGATCTTATATTTATGTTTCTTTTATTCAACATTTTTAGTAAACTCATATTAGAATAGGTATTGAGAAGATAATTTAAAAGGACATAACATTTATCATTTTATGAATAGAGAGATTGGTTCTTTAAGTCTCTTTCTCATTAATAATTATGGTTTATACTATCACCATCGATGTCGATGTGAGAAAATAAACAAAAAAGTTTCGTACAAAGATGGAAAAATAAAATAATGAAAACGAAAAAAACCATGGGATTTTCCGAAGTCAGTGCATCATTATACAGTGTTTTAAAAAAAATTAGCCTTGAAAATATTTAAATTATAACTTTTTAAAGATTTTATCATCAAATTAGCAACATGTTTTTTCAAATACATTATTAAACACATTTTTCTGTGAGTGATAAGTTTTTTTTTAAAATAAAATATTTTTTAGAAAGTGTTCCATTTAGGAAATAAATATTTTGATTTTTTTAAAATAGACTAATTATAAATAGTATGTTAGAGATTGTATTTAAAGAATATAGTGTTATTATTATTTTTATTAAATTTAATTAATCCCTAAAATTTCTAAAATTTCATTGTATTGATTATTATAAAGTGTTAAAATGGGGATAAACAATATTTTAAAAAATTAACTTAGTGACAAATTGCACTCGTGTATTTTAAAATGAATAAAATGTAATGTTAGATGTCTTTATTATTAATATAACACATTTTTATTTCATTGTACATAAATAGAGTAAAAAAATTAAATGGTTAATGTTGTAAACAAATAATTTCCACTACTAGAAAAGTGCTTAATACAGACAGATTTTATAGACGGATTTTAATCCGTCTGTATTACAAATGACTTTACAGATGGATTTGTGGAATAATTTTTTTTTTTATTTTCTAAAAAATCCGTCTGTAATATAGATTGATTAAAATTTGTCTGTAAAATCCGTCTGTATTTAGCCCGCCTTTTGGCGCCAAACGTTATAGACAGTAATTAGTAATTTGAAAATAGGAGGAAATATTATAGCAGGAAATTACAGACGGAAGCGAGAAATTACAGACAGATTTTCCCATCTGTAAATATGGCGATTTTAACCGACCTTTCAGGTGGCACATTACAGACGAATTTTTCCATCTGTAAATGGGATTGACGCATTTACAGACAGAAAAATCCGTCTGTAATGTGCCACCTGAAATGCACTGTTTCATTAAACCCATTACAGACAGATTTTCCCGTCTGAAATGACTGACACCCATAAAAAATGCGTCTCCTCTTCCCTCCCCCATTATCAGAACCCCCTCTTTCTCTCGCTCCTCCCTCTCTCTCTAGGAGCTCAGTGTTTTGGCCATTGCGAGTGATTGAAGCAACCATTTGAAAGTTTTTTTACATCATTGTATTCCTTGTACGATACTCTAACTTTTAATCAGTTTAGTTTTTTAATTTTTTATATTTTTTAGAGACTTAAAATTTCTAAGATAGAGTTGTAGGATTGGAGATTGTATGACTAAGGGAAGGGCGAGGTCCTTCTCTGAACCTGATTATTGTGTGCTGTGGATTGTTTGTATTTGTGCAGTTTGTAGAATATGCATGTTGTGGAGTTACAAGGAGATGTGCTCTAGAACGGTTTAGGATTGTGATGTGTTTATGTTTGATGTATCGAATAATTTATTGTTATATAATTTATTAGTTGATTTTAGGTGAAATTTTCATTTTTGTAAATTAATGGTAAACAAATGTAAGGAAATTAACATGTATTAGGGGAGATTCTGCCAAAATTTATATTAAAAATTTCTGTAATGTATTAGGGGAGATTATGGATGAACTTTCATCGAATAATGATGAAGGTAGTCTTGAACTATCAGAGTAAATGAGGTAAAGTAAGTAGGTTTGTTAATTTACTATATTGTCATGATTATTTAATTTGAGTTATCACCAATATTATTCATATTTTAAACAAATTATAGTATTTGTCTCTAAACATATATATGGTTTGATTCATATCCCCTGCATCTGTCACTGGAGATGCCCCTTCTCTTGCACCTGAGGATGTGGAGGACATGGTCCGCACTCAGGTCCATGCCCTCAATGAATAACTCCAGAAGCAGAATGAGAAGATGTGGAAGAGCAAAGAAAGTGCATGGAAGAAGAAGTGGGCAAAGAAAATGGAGAAGAAGGTGGCGTCGAGAATGCAAAGGGAGGTCCAACAGCAGATGACGCAACAGCATATGCAAATGCAGCAGATGCATGCTTATTTTGAGCTCATGAGAGCAAGCAGTTCTACACCTCTTCCTCCTCCTCCACCAGCTCCAGCACCACTGGTTTTCACCTCCATGCATCATTCCTCTACTGACTCCTCTTCTATTGATGATGATGCGCCTTCGGATTATGACCATACAGATTATTCCTGATGAAGACTTGTATTTTATTTTTAAATGTATTTATTTAGATGCTTTTTTGTCTTCCTTTATAATAACATTTAAATTTTATATTTTATAAATCATTTTGGAATGTTTAGATGTCGAATCTATAGTTTCTATTTTGTTTATAAATTGTGATAATCAAGAACAGCAGAAAATAACTATCTATATAAATAAAAAAATATCAATAATAGTAAAATATATCACCGACGAATTACAGATAAATTTTTCTGTCTATAACTTACAGACGGATTTAAAAATTCGTCTGTAATTCTTTACCGACGAAGATATTACAGACGGACATAAACCATCTATAAATCTGTCTGTATAAACAGACTTTTTAGTAGTGTTTCAATCCAACTCATTATCTTTATATTTATTAATTGAATATGGTGCATTAAAATTTAAAATCAAAATTGGTTAAGATTATAATAATATTAAATGTTAGTTTATAAAAAAAAATCTTAATTTATTCCGGTGAGTTAAGATTGAAAATATTATATTATATTTAAAACTAAATTAACTCAATTGAAATAAAAATATTATAGAGGAATAAATAATACACAATATAAAATAGTAATCTTTATGCAAAAAGTTAAAGACATGTGATTTAATAAAAGAGTAATTTTTAAACAAATTCTTATTAAAAAATGGGTGGCAAGAATGTATAACACATAGCTACATGGTAAGATTGAAAATTCATGTCATATGGATCATATTTATAAAATATTAGATTATATTGATTTAAAATTATTTAATAGTTGATAAATTATGTTAAAATTAGTATAATATATGCTTTTAAAATATAAAAATAAAAAAACTTTAATCGTATTTTTACTATTATCAATTTCTTAAAAAATTGACATAATCAATCAAGATAACATGGAATCTAAATTGATAATCAAATCAATAAAAATTACATTTTACATAGAATTATTATTAATAATGTAAAAATTGATATAAGTTATAAATATATACTTTGTTTCTTTCTTTAAAAGGTTATTAATTTGGTGATGAAATTTTAGTTTAAAAGGTTAATTTGATAATTAAAACTTTTAAACAAATTATATAATGGCCCGCATATTACATATGTAACTTTGATGGATGAAATTTAGAGTTTTGTCAAATCTATTTCGCTCCAAAAGAGAGTGATTTTACGGTTCCTAATGAGAAATGAAAATTCCTGTCCATTACCAATGCTTCAGTTTCAATGCTCATCCATCAAGCCATGCCAAAGTCATCACACCTATAAAGAAGGAAGCACAATAACACGTAAAAGTTGCAATCTTTTTTTCAAGATGCTAACAATATAATTTTTTTATCACACTTTTAATTATTATTAAAATTTGTTGAAAATACAAAAAATTTGTAGACCCTATACTTTTTCACTTTGGAAATATTTTTCTCTCACTTTTATAATTTTAATAAAATTTAACTAGTGTTAAAAAAATACATTTTATCAACAGAGATTAGTGCTAATAGCAAGTAGCTCAGTATCATTTAAGTAAAATTTTGAGTTTAAATTTTTATATATATAAAAAAATTTCTGTGATAAATTTATTCATCTTGTTCTGATGCATGACTAGATCAAATTTAATTTAAATCAAATGTAAAGAAAAAAAAACATTTTTAATACTTTTCTTTTGTTATAAATAACTCGCAAAGAAATGCTGATAAAATAAATTGACTCTATTGCCAATTAAAATATAAATGTAAAAAAACCTTATCCCTTAAATTTAAATACTCAAATAATTAGTTTGGATTTCTTTTTTCAGTTTGCTTCGATAAAACCTCCTATTTATGTGAGTTTAGTGCAACTTAGCTTGCGTGGTTTTTGAGCTGACGACATTAACACCACTTTTAAATTTTTTTAATACAAAAATAATTATTTTTAAATGTTACTCTATTGCATATGAATAGTAGATGTCACTAATAATTTTTTAAAATAATAAATATCACTAAAAATGATTATTTTAAATTTATAAGAGATGATATATTTTTAGATTTGATAGATGAACTAATGATATTAAGTTGTAACATGTTTTAATTTACTTTAAATACATTATAATTTAACACTTTAAATTAAAAATGTGAATATTTTTTTTGTTTACATCTCATGCATATTTCATGAAAAGTAATACTACATTATCATAGACGATAGAATTAAACTAAAACAATCTTGTAATAA